ACTGTCCACTGAAGCCCACCACACCGACTAAACTAACCGAAGAGGGCGACGATGTTTTGGGGGACTACACGGTGGGCGAGCAGGTCTGGGTCAACGGGGTCAAACCAGGAGTCATCGCCTACCTCGGGGAGACCCAGTTCGCCCCGGGACAGTGGGCCGGCGTGATCCTGAACGACCTAGTTGGCAAGAACGACGGATCAGTGGGCGGCGTGCGCTACTTCGAGTGCCAGCCGCTGCAGGGCATCTTCACGCGGCCCTCCAAACTCAACCGACAGCCGGTCGGGGAGGGGAGCGACAGCCTCTCCACTGAGTCGCTCTCTGCTCTGAATCTGTCTCATCTGGGCGGCGGCCCCCAGAGGGTGGTGGTACCGCTCAGAGAGGGGCTGCTTAACAGTGCAGTGAAGACCGGAAACGAGTCCGGGTCCAACATGTCCGACAGCGGCTCTGTGAAGAAAGGAGGGGATAAGGATTTACGAATCGGAGATCGAGTTTTGGTGAGTCAGTTTGGATTTGGATTTTTGTATCAGTGGATTCTAAAACAGTGACTGCTCAAAAATATCTTAAAGGAAGAATGTTCAACATGTTCCACATAAATAAATCATAAAGTCTGTCCTGTGTAAATGTGTCTCTGAGTCCTGACTGTCTACAATGAGGGAGAAGCTCGAGTCCCGCTGGCTGTGTTGTTGTCAGAGCCGTGTTTACATGGACGGGACGGCCGGCTCCTCCCCTTGTGTATAAAAGCTGTTTTAGTCTAGAACTAGAGAGAAGAAGAAGAAGAACATACTCACTGATTATTTGGATGTTAGTAAGAGTTTTTAGATCACGCTCATTCTGTGTCAGTTTACATGAAATGTGAATCTACGAGCTAACTAAAGAGCGCTAACATTAGCATGCTAACACAACAATGTGAAGCTACGAGCTAACTAAAGAGCGCTAACATTAGCATGCTAACACAACAATGTGAAGCTACGAGCTAACTAAAGAGTGCTAACATTAGCATGCTAACACAACAATGTGAAGCTACGAGCTAACTAAAGAGCACTAACATTAGCATGCTAACACAACAATGTGAAGCTACGAGCTAACTAAAGAGCGCTAACATTAGCATGCTAACACAACAATGCAGGACACAGGTGATCGCAGCTCGAGACGAGGGCAATTTTGTCCGCACTTTGCGCTTAATGGTGTTTCATTATGTTGTGTTCTAATTGATAACTCCTTCATGTGAACGAGAGTGGAGAGGGGTTGGAGGTGTGTCTCTGGAGGAGAGAGGAGGCGTGGCCTAACATCAGTTTGTTTTGATTTTATGCTGAAGCTCAAGGGCGACACCTACTGGATCAAAAAGTCGCTCATTCTTCCTCCCGTCCCGTCCATGTAAACACGGCTCTGACAACAACAACGCCAGTGGGACTCGAGCTTCTCCCTCACTTATCATAACCAAGACGTATGGTTAATTTCTCCACCGATGCAGATCTTGGAATCACAATTCTTTTTACGTCTTGATTGATTATTTAAAAATGAGTTGCGACGAGTTGATCATCTTAAAAAGTCCCAGTGGAAGATGAACGACTGTTTTATGATGCCCTAAGTAAAGACGGAGTCATGCGGTGTAATGTGATACGGTCGATCCCCAGAGGAAAACTCTGCGTCTCTCTCTCTCTTCTGTCCATCACTGAAAGTCTGCCTTCACACATCTTCTGTTGTATTTTTATCCTCTTGTGCAACCTGGTCGAAAAAAAAATATGAAAGGTTATTACATAATGAGTAAAAATAACCCGCCTGGCTGAGATCATTTTTTTATCGGCTTTATCCTCATTTTCCCATTGACCCTTATTAGTGTACACAGGAATTATTGGCCCTGGGTCAGATTGCTTTTCCATTAACTGATGGGCACAGGGGATCGTAACATCAGATCCTGTGCAGCTGCACACGGGGGCAGCCCGAGAAGCCTTCCTCCTGCTCAATGTTTGTAAATCACTCCGGATTACTTTCAGCACTTAAGAGAGCAGAGACGATGCTGACACATTGATCAGTGGATCCATCTATTTCTTTAAGCGTCTCCCGTGTAATCTATCTCACTGCGGGGGCAGCCATGCAGTTGTGTTACGCCCCCTCCTCCGCTGCTGGAAACGCAACACCGCCATTACATTTTTGGTGAAATTAGCACAAATTGTGGACACAGATTACACTTCATGGGCAGAAAACTATTTTTTTTTCTATTTTTTCTCCTGCTAGGTATTGAATTATGTGTATAGTAGCAGGAGTAAGAAACACTTTTTGGTTGAAATCAAGAAACTGCAGGTTCCACAAGCGGGCCTGCATAATATCTTAGGGGGGTTAAACATGCACTATGAGCTCTTTGAAGGCTTTCTATGTGATTGTTCACACTTAAATGTAGAAATCAAGTTTATCCTCTGAAAATAACTCTGTGAGTCATGACTGTCTACAATGGGTGTAACACCCGAGTCCCACTGTCTGTGATGTTTTCAGAGTTTTCAGAGTCCTATCTTCACTTTGTTTACATCGCCGGGACGGCCGGCTGACTCCTCCCCTCGTGTATAAAAGTTGTTTAATTGAGGGACTAGAGAAAAGAAGAATAACATACTGTACTCACTGCTTAACTGTGTTTCTAGATCACGCTCATTTCAGGTAAATTTACATGCAGTGTGAAGATACCAGCATAATAAAGATCGCTAGCATTAGCATGCTAACACAACAATGCAGCGCGAGTTGTTTTGGTTTCATGCTGGTGCTCAAGGGCGACATCTGCTGGATCAAAAAATCACATATAAAGCCTTTAAGGTATGATGGTTACCGACTGCTAAGAGCTGTGATGAGAAGAAGATTTAAGGTTAAAATAAAGTTCCAAAACTGTCTGTTGGCGACTAAACAGCAGCCACCTAGAGGTTCGCTTTAAGAGATTGTTACTCTGAATATTTAAAAAAAAAAAAGAGCTGCAGAAATGTTTCCAGACGGAGAGACAACCTCAGAGGCAAAACACATGATTACTGTCACCGCTCGCCTCCTGATGTCTGAGCAGACCTGCCTTTCTGCTGCTCAGTATGTAACCAGAGGCCGACTCTGCTAACAGAGACTTTTGGAAAGGTTAAAGGAATGTTTTCTGTCACTTGTTTTTGCACGTGATATGGTTAATTTTAATATTTTCAAAGCTGCTTAAAGGAGCAGTATGTAACTCAGACAACTAGTGTTTAAAATGTGTACTAGAGTCCAAATTCTAAACATCACAGAGAGCTGTCTCCCCTCCTCCTCTCTAGAGTGGATGCTCACTCAGGTCACCATGTGGTGGACTCTGAAGCTTCAGTGTTTATCCAGCTCTGCATGGGTCTGTAAACCTTTCTGTGTTCTAACCTCTCTCCATTTTTCAAAAGCATCTCCAATATTGATCCTAGTTTGAGCACGTTTCTGCTCGTGGAGCTTATTAGAAACATGCAGAGGCTTTTTAGGTCGGGTACAATCACTTCTATCTGAACCACTTCTCTTGCCCGCTTCCATCGCTGCAACACCTGTTGGTTTGACCTGCAGTATAAGTGAGGCACTTAAAACAACAATATAGACTGAATTTAGTGGATGCTCTTTGATCGAGCACTGCTGCCTCCAAGGACTTTTATATTGCCATCACAGCCTGGTGATTGGCTGCCAGCTGGGGCGATCTGTGGACCAATTCCAAATTTCTTTGTACCTGCAAGTCATTTAGACCAAAGATTTTAAATGAAGATGGCAACAACAGGAGCCAAGACGGGGCGTGTGCTGACTTTGACGCTGAGTTGCTGAGACATGCCACAGTCAGGCTGACGGCTCACTGTCTCAGTGTAATGTCTTCTGACAACAGAGTATTTTCTTGCCACGGTTTCTTCCTTGGCGTCAGTGGGTTTTGAGACGAACAAGTCGGAGGAGTGGACCACAGAGAGCTGAAGAGTGACTCACACAAGCTAAACCCAGCAGTCAGTAGTGTTATATACGAGACCTGTTTCCACACATGTGAGAACCTTCTTCTCCAGGTCAAGATATCTACTGAATGAGATGATAAAGGTATCTTACTATCTGATCAGACATTAAGGAAACATGCTATGTTGAAGTGCTGGCTTCTCTGACAACAATGCAGCAGCCAGTATGTCCTCCTTCTAACTTTAGATTCTGCTCCTGAATGCTCTGGATTTGTTTGGACCACAGAAGGTAGGCGCTTTTAAGGCGACCCCCCCACATGGCCCGTTTTGGACGCCCCTCGGTTTGCCAGATATGAGAGCAGTTATCAGGTCAACAGGTGTTACAGCGATGGAAGCGGTCAAGAGAAGTGGTTCAGATAGAAGTGATTGTACCCGACCTAAAAAGCCTCTGCATGTTTCTAATAAGCTCCACGAGCAGAAACGTGCTCAAACTAGGATCAATATTGGAGATGCTTTTGAAAAATGGAGAGAGGTTAGAACACAGAAAGGTTTACAGACCCATGCAGAGCTGGATAAACACTGAAGCTTCAGAGTCCACCACATGGTGACCTGAGTGAGCATCCACTCTAGAGAGGAGGGGGGGGAGACAGCTCTCTACAATGTTTAGAATTTAGACTGCAGTACACATTTTAAACACTAGATGTCAGAGTTATATACTGCCCCTTTAAAGTGTAAATAACAGCAGATGTGATGCTGAATGATCTGCTCTCTACTTTCTTTTTGGAAGTTATTGGGAGTCGGCAGAGGTAGAGAATAAGGCGCTTTTTTTAAACTTAATTTGAGTGAAACATTTTGTGCTCAGCGATTGTCTGGTTGTAGTTTGTTGTTCTTGTTTTGGTATTTAGTTCCTGCCATGCTTGGTGTTTCTCTTTGATGATTAAGAAAAACCACTCAGAATTTTTTGCAAGTCTTGAAGATTTTTTGTGTCTCATCCACACATGTTCACCATGTGAGAGTGACACACAGAAGCTGGACTGCTGAGATCATTATAACAGATGCTATAATGTTTTCTGACTGCAGAGAGCTGCAACATGAGACCATGTGGCAGTCTCGGAAAACAGATATTTCTCTGCATTTTATTGGAAAATATTGGGTTTGATTTTATTTGGATGCATATCTATCAGTGGGGAAAAACCTGCAAGACACAAAGTGAAACAAATAACCTCAAAGAAAAGCTTTTCAATTTACATAACTTTTATTTTGTAACCAGCTGAAGTGGATAAGAGAACACGTTTTGGTTTGTTGGCTAGAAATATCCACAAGCTGAACACAGATTTCTTTTTTTAGGCGCCCTGGTGCTCTGGCAGTAATTGGGGTAAAATAATCAACCTAAAAAAGCATGAAATGAAGCCATTAGAGCGTCGCCTCTACAGGGCAACAGAAGTGTGTTTTAAAATTCCCCTTTCTCTGCTTCCATATAGTAAATATTTGAGTGTCTGTTTCAGGAGGAAAAGTGAACAAGTGAAGGGGAAAGATATTTCAAACACAGCCCTGAGGAGAAGGTTAAATCAGCACTGAGGCGCACCAGCGACGTGTGAGCTCAGTCGCCGAGTTTAAGAGTTTATACATTTAAAGTCAGGGTTGGTGATTTCCTCCAGATCCACTTTTTCAGATTCTGGTGTAAATTGTCTTTAGGTCCTGACAGACATTAATAACTCATGTTCTCTGAAAAAAGGAACAAAGAAAATCCATCATCTGTATCAGTTTGTAAGTCTGTAAAAACTTCAACCAATGTCTGCCACGAGGTACCAATCTGATGAACCAATCAGACGCCTCCCTGTCTCCCTGCTCGCTCTCTACCTCTTGCGTGCTCTAGCTCACACTCAAATCGCGTCACCGATGACTTTAGGAGTTTATACTGTGAAGAGCTGAGGTCCACTTCTGGAGCAACGATGCTCGTGCATGTAAGTGAGGGGGCGTGGCTTTAGAGGGAGCACAGAGGGGGGGCGGGGTGCAGACGGAGCACTGAGGGAATGCTACTTTCAAAATCATGCTGGTTTTTTCGATAAATTACCAACCCTGCCTTTAATTTGTTGTAGTTCAAAAGCAAAATAAACCCAAATGCTCGACTCAGATCAGTAGCGGAGGTCTTAACTCACAAGGAATCACAAGGATACAAATCCAGGGAAGGAAAACCGACTTAAAGGGGTCAGACTGAAGCTAAAATCCAAGCTAGGCCACATGTTACCACTTGTGTCCATTGTTTGTGCTAAGCTCACCAGCTACTGCCTCACAGTTTAACTTAAGGCATACTTTATTCCAAATGGAACCACAACATCCAGTTTCAATGATGGTGCTTAAAGGGTTAAATAGGATCAGCTAGCAGTGGGACCTTTAATCACAACCTTTCCTCCTCTGTTGCTGCAGGTGGGCGGCTCTAAGATGGGAGTCATACGCTACATCGGGGAGACAGACTTTGCCAAGGGGGAGTGGTGTGGGGTCGAGCTGGACGAGCCCCTGGGGAAGAACGACGGAGCAGTAGCTGGTACAAGGTACACACACACACACACACACACACACACATTGTGTATGCTTCAGGCTCCCTAAATTCCTCTGCTTTTCCCCCTAAAAGGAAACGGAGCGGAGGACTGTGGCTCCATCTGTTCACTCTGTTTGTTCTTTGTCCTCTCGTGTGTTTGTCCATGAAATCACAGCGACTGACCGTCCAGCTCACCGCTGCTCTCTGCCGCTCACTCAGCTGGATTTTATACTTTATATTCATTGAGCTTCTTCTCATCCAAAGATCCCACAGAGATTTTACTACTTAATAAAAATGTTTAAAATGTTCACAGACTTTTAAGCAAATTTTTAAAGCCGACAAGAATTCAGAAGCACGTTCATTTCTTTTTTACCGAAGTTTGGTTCAAAGATTTGACTTTATTGTGAAATTTTCACCAAATGTTATCAGAATTAGGGCGGTCAAACGATTCAAATTTGTAACCGCCTTTAATCCCTGAATTTTAGTAGTTAATTATGATCAATTGCATGTTTGAAATGTCATTATTTTGCATTTAAAAATAACAATGGTTAGGCTTTTAGAAGTTTTTAAGTTTTAAAATGTGTTAAGCTGACAGGTGTGTTATAGTGTGTGTTCGGAGGACAGGACAGTGGTAGAGTCAGAAATCAGAGAGAGAGAGAGAGAGAGAGAGAGAGAGAGAGAGAGAGAGAGAGAGAGAGAGAGAGAGAGAGAGAGAGAGAGAGAGAGAGAGAGTGGGGAATGACATGCAGGAAAGGAGCCACAGGTTGGACTCGGGCCGCCCACTTGGAGGACTTTAGTATCCATACATGGCGCGGGCACCAACCACTAGGCTACCCCTCAGAGCCAGAATAATTTGCACCTGTCAGGACTTTATTTAACCTGCTTGTATTGCGGTACGTAATTGTAAAGTTGTTTTTTTAAACTCTCTCCTCTCCGTCCTCTTCATGCAGATATTTTCAGTGTCTTCAGAAGTTCGGCCTGTTCGCTCCGATCCACAAAGTGATCCGCATCGGCTTCCCGTCCACCAGCCCGGCCAAGGCCAAGAAGAGCAAGCGGATGGCCATGGGGGTCTCCTCTCTGGCCCACAGCCCCAGCAGCTCCTCCATCAGCTCCGTCAGCTCGGTGGCCTCCTCCGTGGGCGGACGGCCGAGCCGGACCGGACTGGTAAGAACACGGCTGTGAAACGTGCGACTCAATAGTTTGGGAAACATGTTGATGATTCATTTAGATCTACACTTTTACAAGACACGATCTGTAGGCGGCAAAACTACAGTACAGGGAATATCATACATTTTGAAAAGAGCGCCGGTGACGTCAACAGCGCCGATCTGAAAAGTTTACATTTTTATTTTTTATTTTCATTTTTATTTTTTTATTAGGTGCAATAGAGTGACAAACTGGTGTCATGTAAACATGAACAACAAAAATCAAACAGACAAGGTCAGGACAACACAGTAAAAAGAATAAAAACAAAAAAAGAGATTTGAAAATCAAATCAAAAAGTTGGAAAGTTTAAATATTTTCAAACTTAAACGCTCGGCCGCTCTCTGCTGGGAACACTCTCTCCTTGTTGGGAACAATTGAAAAAAGACGATGGCGCTCAGAAAAAAAATGCTGAGTGGACAAGAGGCCTTAGTCGACTAATAGTGCACATCCTTAGCAAAAGAAAAAAAAACCCTCGTGTTGTCTCCTCCTCTTTCACTACCAAACATGTAAAATGTGAATCTTCCTGTCCTGTATTTCCAACATCAGGACTATGAACGGGTTCACTGTCTGACTTCTCTCCTTTATCTGCTGATCTGTTAATAATTCTCCTTTTGACTCTCTGACTTTGTATTCTGCTCTTCTCTGAAGAACGTGCAGAGCGCTGTACCTTTAAGACAGACAAACATCCTGAGGAGTTATTGGCAACGGTCTATACAGAGCAGACTTTCGGGGTATCTCACATCGATTTTTAGCTGCTGGTCAGGAGCCAGATCTGGGATGGAAGACACTCCCTTTACTCTCCTTAATTGTTGTCAGCAGGTTGAGACAGCAGTCAGAGAAGAGACTCTAAATCATGAAGCAGAGCACGCTGCACCAAATGGCCCTGACTTCTTACTGTCATGTCTTTAAAGACTCAGACTGCAGGGCTCTCACTCACCGACACCTTCCAACGATTTTTCTTAAATTTGTTCTGAAGAAGATCGCAAAAAAAAATGTCTTCAGCAGCCGACTTGTCACACCTGTGTTCTTAAATCGATGAATGCTACATCCTCATATACTGGAAGTTCCTGCATGTTTTTCCTTATTAGCAAATAAAAAAATGCCTCCTCCACAAACGGCTCCAAACGAGAAATATTAAAAAGAAAAGAGCGGCAGATACATCGAGCAGCAAAAAGTGAAGTCGACGACAGTGAACCCAGCACGAGTGCAAGAGGCGACGTTAGCGCGCCCGCTAGCAACAAACGACGGAAAACTGTAGGAAAATATGACTGGAGGGACATCCAGTTTGGATTCTTGTTATTCTCTTGGCGCAGAGAAGGAGCCCGAGCTCCTGTGTAAACTGTAGATGTTGTTAAAGAGCCCTACGCTTCTGTATTTCAACGTTGGCTGTAATGGTGCTACATGGAGAGCCAGATATTCTCTGTGGTGGTCCCTCACTCACTCACTGTGAGAAGTTTGAGATCCACTACTAAAGACAGTCTGAGAGTGTAGCCTAACACGCTAACGCTAGCTATCTGACTGATATTAAAAGTGACATTTTGAAGTCTCACCTCCTGCTCCTGCTGGAGAAAAGAAAACCCCATGTTGACAGCATCTAACACCTTTCCTCTAAGACTTGTTAAGCGATCTTCTTCTTCTTCTTCTTCTTCTTCTTCTTCTTCTTCTTCTTCTTCTTCTTCTTCTTCTTCTTCTTCTTCTTCTTCTTCTTCTTCTTCTTCTTCTTCTTCTTCTTGTTTTGTGTTTTCTCGCTCGTTGTTGTTGCACCACATCAGTTTATCTGTCTGTGTGAAGTCATGTGAGGAAACACTCCTCTCTGTCTCACACGCTCATCATGACCTAAATACTAACCTGTGTTTTGGGATGTTATCGTCACAGCATGTTTGAGTTTCACATCGATTAAACCTCGATGATGTAGTTTTATAGCTCCTGTCTTTCTTCTCTCGTTTCACGGTTTGGTAACCTGTCTTTTAAAAACAAAAAAATGCTCTCAATCAAATCGTCAAACGGGCGAGCAAACTTATCACTGAGTCTCAGTCCAACCTGTCAGATCCTTACTCTTTCTGAGCTCCTAACTCCACGACTGTTCTCATCCTTTAAACGAGGAGGTTCAGCTTCTCCGCTCAGGCTGTCGGTTTGTTTCTCCTCCTAAGAGGAAAACAAAACGCTACAGGAACGTTTTTGTACCAGAAGCTGGAGCACATGCTGAACAAAGCTAGCACAAGATGATTCACTTCAACCATGTCAGGATGTTTTAAACTCGAGTGGATGTCTGTGTGAGGACTTCTCTATGACCTGATGTAATCGACCGTGCTTGTATCCATGTATCCTGTCTGGTCTTGTATGAAGCTATTGGGACGCTGACTCTCAATAAAGAAACCTGAACCTTGTACCTTAAGAGCAGGATGCAGCTTTATTGTAAAGAAAAGTTTAAAATCTTAGTCGGGCTTTAAACTCCCCTTCCTGAAGACATTAGGTGGACACTACCTGTTTTAAAATCTTTAAAATTGATGGGTAATCCATCACAGTTCTTGTTCCTGATGTGATTCATTCATTCTGGCTGATTTTTAAAATGTTTTCGTGTTGTATCTCTGCCCCCTCCATGGAGAATAAAAAAAGTGTTGAACTGGTCTCAAAGATCAGGGAGAAATCCTGTCACAGAGCACCCTCTAGTGGTCAAAGAAAATATTGCACCATTAGCAGGGGTGAAAGTAGACATTAGTAGACTCTCCTTGGCTTCAGACCTCCTTAAAAAACACACACTTCTTGCTCAGCATCATCTTCCATACGTCTTTATTTACAGGACTTTATCCACAGAACTTTACATCTCTGTCTTTTCTTTTAATCATTTGATTTTTGTTTTCTGTGTTTAATGCTGGAAGTGCGACCGTGTCTGTTTTTTTTCCCCAAAATCTTTTTATTAGTTTGCACAGATGATAAGAAAACATACAGTTGGCATAAGAGTTGACATTCTACTGTGGTCATCTTTTGTAAACCCCATTCCTGCCTTCTCCCGCCGCCCATCCCAGTTAACCCCGTACCCACCCACAGAGTCAGGAATCCTACTCCCACTCCGAAGGGATAGCCTGTTTCCACACTAGCCTACCCAGGAGTCTCATTCACACTCATGCATACTAGGACAAGGAGCAAGAAGAGAGAGGAAATAATAAATTAGGAAAGTAAATTAAGAAAAAAACCATTAGAAAAAAAACAGACACAAAACAAAACTTCAAGATAGTTTGGTTCTGGTTTTGGTTCTGGCAGGCAGCTGCTGTCTGCTCTTTCTGGTGACTGAATCTGTTAGTGGTACAGAGTACCGGACCGTACCGGCCTACTCTCCCTCCTGACCTTTAGAGACGTTAACTCTGGACAAAGGGGCGTTTGAAGGCTGTAAGTGTTGCTTGGAGTGTACTGAACTTTTCCTGTAACATACCACATGTCGAGTCCTGACTGAAGACTGAGGTTTGATTCCAGCTCAAGCCGTACGTTTCATCCTCTGTCTCTCCTTTAGTCACAGAAAAAAAAAAAATGTCCATAAATTATACAACAATGATTAAAAATACAAAGGCGTAGCTAATCTTCAAGGTGGCTGAATTCATTTCAGTGTTTTCAGAAGATCTTCAGCTTCCATATTTGGAAAGTTTAAACGCACCTCAGACCACGACTTTGACTTTTCATGATCAAATATTTAATGTGTTATAACTTTAAAGCAGTCTGCATGTCAAGGTCACAAACACTTCTTCCCTGTCTGTGTTTTTGAAGATGTTTTTTTCTTCTAGCTCTTTTTTTTCCCACAGTAATACTTTTAAATATTTTAATCTCAGGCAGATTGTGATCTTGAGGGGTTCGAGTGTGAGTCTGTAACTCGTGTTTGATCTCGTCTGTCCCCTCCAGCTGACGGAGACGTCGTCGCGTTACGCCCGTAAGATCTCGGGCACCACGGCCCTGCAGGAGGCGCTGAAGGAGAAGCAGCAGCACATCGAGCAGCTGCTGGCCGAGAGGGACCTGGAGCGAGCCGAGATGGCCAAAGCGACGAGCCGCATCAGTGAGGTGGAGAAGGAGCTGAGCATCTTCAAGGCGCAGCACATGCAGGTGCTAACACAGGACACTTTTTGTTTTTTAAAATCTGTCCTCTGAAGTACTGCATGTGTCTTTAACAGCCTTCCTTTAACTTTCCACAGTACCTGACGGAGAATGAAAGCACCCTGCAGCAGGTCAAAGCCATGCTGGCCTCCACACAGAAAGACAAACTGGAGCTGGCCAATCAGCTGGAGGAAGAAAAAAGGTGACATCACAGCTGTTTTCATTAGCATCATTAGCCGTTTTAGCATTTGCACTCCTGAAAAATTCTAGAGGATTTCAGGAGGAGTGCTTCTGACAAATAACCAGACGGGAGTGTCACATGTTTAGTTTAGAAAGAATGAGTATAAGAGTGAGAGAGTAACCTTTTTGCACACTCAGACAATCCAAAGATGTTTATTTGAGGGATCCTCTGTGTCCGCTTTACAGGAAAGTGGAGGATCTCCAGTTCAGAGTGGAGGAGGAATCCATCACCAAAGGAGACCTGGAGGTAATTATCTGCATTATTAACACATAACAACTCTTCTTCCTCTGTTTACTATAACCTTTAAACATCTTTAAAATGTCTTTAAATATCATCAAGGAAGAAAGAAGATATACACAAAGTTAAGGTTTGATGTGAGAGTGTTTCCTTTAGTGTAAAATATATTCAGATCAGAGACGAGGAGTTTAGAGACGCTTCAGGAGGGAGACGATGATCTGGACTTGAACCCTTCCTTAACAGATTGGCAGCTTCCCCAGACGCTGACCTCAGAAAAAAACACATATTTTACTAAGCTCTCAGCTGGAGGAGATTTTTGGGGCAAAAGTCGAGGAAAAATGCGGAGATTTAAAGAAGTGTGGATAAATGGTTTATTCAGCGGAGGTAATGTGACCTGAATCCAGATTTTGAAGGTTTGCAGAAAAATCTATGAGATATGATATCAGTCCTCTCTCCTCGGTGTGCTACGTCCAAACCAGAAAGTTAAACATTCACATGTTGACATTTCTCTGGTTTTTATTCAAAGTTGGACTCAAGAAGAAGCAGAGATGCAGACCTGAATTCATATTAATAAATAAAATATCTGTCAGGTCACATATCCTCCTCCTCCTCTTCAACAAGTTTAAAGAAGTCTCAGAGCTCCTCAAGACATGTGTGTGAAGTTTCTTGTTCTAAATCCACTCTGATCCTGTTTTTGATCATGTCTATAAACCCCTCTATTTCAGCCCTGCTCAGAACAGGCTGTTTCTGTGTCTGTACCTTTAAATATGTAAATGAGCTGTGTCTGACCACGCCCCCTCTCTGGAAGGTCTTGGGTGTACTCGGTGCTTTCTTGCTCCATGTCCTATTGTTTACGGTGAGAAGGCAGACTCAGAGGGCAGAACAAACACCTAGCTGTGGGAGTGTCACCCACCTGGGGGAGGGGCTACTGCCCTTTGTGATGTCATGAAGGGAAAATCTCCAAACGGCCTGTTAGAGCACACACTTTCTGAAAAGTGGAGCAGGTAGAAGACAGAGAGGATGGACTTTTCTCATGATTGGGGGGTTTGTAGACAGACTAGAGACACATGTTAGTTTTCTTAAAGTTAGCATCATGTGTGACCTTTATGTGTCTTTTTATGAGATGTACTAAATGAGTAAAGAATATAAGATGTTCATCTGGACTTGTCAGGTGGATGTGGTTTACGATAAGACTAGAAGTCAGACAAATAGAGTTGCTGAGTGAAATCAGTCGGTCTTTCTTATTTTATGGTAACAAGACAAATCTTTCTATTGAGAGTGGAAAACAAGCCTCCTTTAATAACACACCTTTTCAGTCACAGATCAAACGCTTTAGCCTTGTCTTTAAGTCGTCAGGCACCAAAAGAAAAAAAACTAAACTCTTGATTCATATACAACATGCAGTAAGGTCTGCTTCTGCCAACAGGGAAGATGCTCTCATGATGCAGCATCCTTGAGGTTGGGTAAGAGAACCAAGGTGATGACAAAGGGACTTGATCTTTTTTTCTGCCTTTGATCCGCCGCCGAGCTATCTCAATTCCTGACTTCGAATTGAAAAAACTTCAGACGCTGTCGAGGACATCGTTAACCTTGCATAGACTCTCTTTACTCTTTCACTCCTCTGTGTGTGTGCTGCTGAAATCTGAATGCTGTTCAGAGGAGATGACACCTGGGGCACCGTGCAGCGGGTTCCTCTCTCTTAATCTCTCTTTTTGTTTTGATTGGGTACGAGTGTGTGGAGGATGTTTCCAGCCGTGTGTGTGTGTGTGTGTGTGTGTGTGTGTGTGTGTGTGAACAGAGTGTGTTTGGCTGCTTCTAGATGATCAGAGAATGGCCGTGCTCTCGTCTCATCTTTTCATCCTTTTCTGCACAAATATTTGGACGGTGACACATTGATTCTCCGGCTCCTTTATTTAATAACTCTAGATGGATTGGTTTGGTTAGATGGTTTGAGATGAACTTTCAATCATTCATTAATTAAAAAAAATAATAACTGTAGTTTAGTTTTGCTTGGAATTGCTGGATCAGGGCACAACATGTAAATAGTCCTAAATGACATGTCTGCAGTCCTACATGCGTCCTAACCCTGAAGCCATTCAGTGGATGAAACAAAGTTAAGAGGGAGCAGGAGGCTGAAAAGTTAGGGACCAATTTTCAACTTTTCAAAAACTAAAATTGTCTGTAGTTGAGCATGATGCACAGATGTTTGTCAGTATTGGATTTTGAGTTTCCAACATTTACAGTTTTTACGCAGCAAGAACAACTGCTGAGGTAGGGATCTTAATATGAACTCAAAACTTCTTAAGCCTCGTCCACACGTAGGCGGGAATATAAAAGAATCCCGTCCACACACAATCAGTTCTCAAAGACATCTTCGTCCTCTTGAAAACGTAAAACACACTGTTACGGCTGTCATGAGCACGCCAATGTGACATTCAAAAACAGTCCTCTGCAACAACCATTTCATTTTACAAAGTCGTCCAATCAGGCGTCTCTGCTCGTCGACATGGTGGGAGAGTAACTGTGCATGTATGTGTTAGCATGAGAAAAGTACAGTTAGCAACGTTAGCACCAGCGCTAGCTTGGTGACGTCTGTCATTGCACTAATCTCATGAAAACAAAAGTGAAAGCGTCACATGATGACGTCCATCGGAGGAGAAACAAAACTACACATAAATTCCCTAAAATTAAAAAAATAAATAAACATAAATACCCTAAACGGAGTTTCTGAACATCTTCACCTGCCTGGAAGGAGTTTCCTCTTCCAGGTCGCTTTAAGAGGGAACTCTTAAGGCGACAGTGGTCATTATTCTTATGCGCACCATAAATAAAACGTTTATGTTTAAGTGTAAAATAATCTCTTATCTTAAGAGCGAAGCAGGCCGGACAATGTGTCACTGTTTGCAAATGTCTTGTGATTTATTGGTACTGTATAATTACTGGAATGCACTTGGATTTTCTTTCATCTTTGCAAAGACCTTTCAGGAGTTTCCTTTGCGTTTCCTTTTTTCCTGAGGCCTGATTTCTGCTCCCCCTTTTCTCTGGAATGACCTCGATCTGTTGCAGGTTTTTTCCACCTGTTACTGCAATTCAAAATGTGACATATTCCTTCTGCGATCAGAGAACAAACTTCCAGCAGATTTGATGGATTTTTGTTTTGTTTTTTCTCCTCAGCAAACCACGGTTGAGGAGCAGAGTCGTATCGTGCAGCTGGAGGAGGAGCTCGGCCTGCGGCGGGCCGAGATCGAGAACCTGCAGACCAAACTGAGAGGAGCCGACGCAAACTCGACAAACGGCGGTGAACTCGGCCCGGGGTCGGACGCCCAGCCGGAGACCCTCCACCAGCTGGCGTCGGAGAGCAGCGAGCTCAAAGAGAAGTATGAGACGGCGGCGGCGGCAGCAGCGAGCCGGCAGGAGGTAGAGGCGCTGAAGGCGGTGGTGGAGAATAAGAACCAGGAGCTCAGTGAGATGAAGCTGAAAGTCCAACAGGCCACCAAAGAGAACATGGACATGATGGACACCTGGAAGGTATTCTATTGATTCCTTTTTTTTAAAACATCACAAACTATTTAAAAAACTTTAGCAGAAGCTGGAGGGTCACTTCAGTAAGCTCTGAGTCGTAAAAAGTATGTATGCAGAAGAGGCAAAAGGTTGAAAGTCAGAGAGCAGTTTGTTCTGATTAATTTCTTTCAGAGCTTTATTAGCTGAAAAATCAATGTGAGCGTTATGTTTCTAAAAACAGCCGACGGCTACAAGTGTAAAAAAAACCTCAGTGTTAGGTGGAGGCCAGCGAGGTGAGAAACCAGATGCAGAATCCAGACAATGAAGCAGGTCACAAAAAGTGCTATGAATTAAAGTGAGAGTCTCGAGGTCAGGGGGAGTGCAGGGTCTGAGCGGTGTGCCAGGGAAGAGGAGCAGAGCAGGTCAGATGAATAGCCTGAGGAAGGCTGACGAGCCTGAGTCCAGAGATCCACGGGATGAGAGGTGAACCAAGTCCAGAGATCCAGAGAGGGAGTGACGATCCAGAGTGGACGCAGGAGTTCAGATGTAGGCAGAGAAAAAACAGGTGCAAGTGAAAAGATGCAGAAATTAGAAGAGACTTGCACGAGACCGTCTGGTGAACAGAGTCGACGATCTGGGCAGAGGGGGGGCAGGTGAAGTCCAGTATTTGGAGCAGAGTTGATTGTAGATGATGTGCAGCTGCAGCCCAACTCCTGCACACCTGATCACAAGCACAACACACACACACACACACACACACACACACACACACAACACACACACACACACACACACACACACACACACGGTTGTGACTGGTGCATGTTGTTCTCTTGGGTTGGCACAATTTCTCACAAATGTACCAGGATGTATATTATATAGTTTGTTAGCTTGATGCTAACACATACTGGAAATTGCCATTAACTGGCTAACTGAATTAGCATTTGGGATAATTTTAGACTTTTTATACATTCATGCCTCCTCACAAAGCTTACATGCTCTGAACTCCGTGTTTCATCACTGATGTTAAATCCTCATCACTGTTTCTTGTATGTCTATCTCCATCAGTCAGATGAGTTCAGGGACTTAGAATCTATGATCCTGGGACCTTTGACCTTAGTACCTAACTTGAGGCAGAGGGCATTGTCTGTCGTTGTGAATGTGAGTGTGGCTGGTTGTCTGTCTCTGTTTGTCAGCTCTGTGATTGGCTGGTGAACAGTCCAGGGTGTAACCCCGCCTCTCGCCCAATGACAGCTGGGATCGGCTCCAGACCCTGAAGTGGAAAAGCGTGGTAGATAATGGATGGATGGATGGCATTTTAATTCTATTCAAAGGGTTATCTGCCACTTAAATTCTCAGGATCTTTTGTTTCTCAAAGTTTGGAAAATTGATCACCAGATTTTTGTTTTCCTTCTTCTTGGAGCTTCTTAAAATTTGAGATCGGCTGACGCAGTCCAGTAACTCTTCCCTCTTCCCCTGTTCAGGCTAAATTTGACACTTTGGTGAGCGACCACCAGCGCTCCCTGGAGGAGCTGAAGGCCACGCTGAGCAGCGACCGTGCTGCTCCAGAAGGTCAGGAGCAGGACGCCCAGGAGCTGAGGACCGCTCTGGAGAGCCTGAAGATGGAGCACCAGCTGGAGGTGGAGAACCTCAAGGCCAAGCACAAGATCGAAGCCGCCATTCTCACCAAGGAGCGCGAAGACTTCTGCTCTCGACTGCAGGACGCCAAAGAGCAGCTGGCAGAGGGGAACCAGGCGTCGAGGGCCGAGCAGGAGGCCAAAGGCGGCAAACAGGCGCTGGACGTGGCCACGGATAAGCTGCAGAAGGCGGAGCAGAGGCTGGGGGAGATGGAGAAGCGTCAGCTGGAGCGGGACAGGAGCACAGAGGAGCTGAGAGAGAGGCTGGAGCTGTCGGAGAAGAAGATGAAGGACTACCAGGCTCTGCAGAAAGCTCAAGCCGAGAGCCGGGAGGAGATCCAGAAACTGGAGGAGAAGCTGAGGGTGACGGCCAACCAGCTCCAGGCCATCCAGGCCGACCGCTACACGTCCAACGATGCAAATGTGAGAGGATGAAGAGAAGTCAAGATGTTTCTAATGTGCACACAACTTTAATTTAACTCGTGTCACTGCTCTATCTTTTACAGGTGATTGAAGATAATGAAATATCAGACGAGAAGATGAAGCTAAAACAAAACATCGAAGGTAACAAAAGTCATATTTTTTTTTTAGGACTGTCAAATGGTTCAAATATTGTTTTGCATGTCCACACCACACACCAGACTCTGCACCTATAGAGACAGAGCCTTTGGTGTATGAGCCACGCACCCTCTTGAACACCCTCCCTTCAGACATCCCCATCTTTGGTCCTTTTGTTACCTGTCCCCATTATGTTTCTGTTTTGTTCTTTGTTTGTTCTCTTCACCATGAAAACATTTTCTGAAAAGTGGAGCAGGCAGAAGACAGAGAGGATGGACTTTTCTCATCATTGGGGGGTTTGTAGACAGACTAGAGACACATGTTAGAGTTAGAGGAACATGGGGAAGTGTGTTTAGCATCAAATGTGACCTTTAAAGAGCCCATATTCTGCCCTTTTTGGGGTTCTTATATTTAATCTATGTTCCTACTTTTGTACGTTCACAATAGATAAAGTTCTAAAAAAGTGTCTGTTTTCATGAACTGCTCCTCCTTGCTCCCTCTCCGCTCTGAGTCCGTCAGCTGCACTCTGTTGAGCCCACACTGTTAGACCCCACGTGGGCCAAGTCTGCTCTGATTGGTCTGCCGATCTGCTCTGTCGTTATTGGTCAGTTGCTCAGCACAGTTCTCAGAAATGTCCCGCCTCTTTTACCATATTGGGAATGCAGCCACTGGCTCCGTCCGAGGGGAGCATAAACATTAGCACCTTAGCACTACTGTGCTACCGCAGGCTACAGCATGCCGTGGGCGTGCTACAGAAGTTAGCGGGCGTGCAACATGAGCTGCAGGGCCACAACGAGCCAATGGGCTTAGATCAGTGATCTCACACTGACAATGACGTTGGACTGACAAATTTTTATCGAGGGGGGCTAGAACCGAGCGTTACATGCGGCTAATGCTACAGCTAACAGGAGGACGTAGGAGAAGCCGTGTTTCTGTGGACTTTGAATTTTTGCACATAGATGTGACTAAACATGTACAGGACACTTGGAAAACACACTGAAGAGCATATAAAACCAGAAAAAGCAGAATATGGGACCTTTAAGAACAACGTAAAGGAAGAAGGGTTAAAAAAGTGCATTCTTTGTGCATTCATCCTGGTTTTCTTGAACTCTGATTGTTGTTTTTGTCTTTCTGCAGAAACGATGGAGAAGTTGTTGAAAAGAGAAAAAGAAGTCTCCACTCTCACGTCCCAAGTCGAAGGCCTCAAATCCCAGATCGGAGGTAAATGTCGAGGAGCATTCGGACACCTTTTCACAGCTCTGTCACCTGATACACTGACATTTTTTATCTCAGAATATTTGAGTGTCTGTGGAAAGATCACATCTTTTCAAACCCAGCAACAGAACTAAGAAAAATAAGAACTTTTAAAGTGTAGCCTGCAGGGGAGCTCACGCGTCTCGCCCTTCATCTCGTTCATGTTCTGGTCCTGTGGAAATCTTCATTTTCTTAGTTGAGCCGTGCGAACAACCCCCCCTCATGTCTCACTACTTCTGCTCTCTCTTCATTTTTTCCGTCAGTCACAGCGAGGACACCGCTCCGTCTAACGCGCTTTGATCATCGCTGTGAAATCTGTTGATGAGCTGATTCTTGCAAACTCCCGTCGCATCAAAAGGACCTGAAAGAGTCCTCAGTTAGCTCTTAAAACCACACTGACACACTTTGAAGAAAACATGAATCGGTTGAAAAATGGAGATGAACAATGAAGCAGACAGAGGAAGAGTTTCATCATTCCAGAGTCGGGCTCGTTTTTTAACATGACTTCATCAGCTCGGTTTGAATCCTCGACCCTCCAAAGTTTAGTAGATTTTTAAGCTGGACATTAGAGCCAAATACTTTCACAGTGCGCTGTGTGGCAAACATTAAAGTCTTTCTATGTGATTTTTCACACTTAAATGTAGAAATCAAGTATCTCCTCTGAAAATAACTCTGTGAGTCATGACTGTCTACAATGGGTGTAACACCCGAGTCCCACTGTCTGTGATGTTTTCAGAGTTTTCAGAGTCCTATCTTCACTTTGTTTACATCGCCCGGACGGCCGGCTGACTCCTCCCCTCGTGTATAAAAGTTGTTGAATTGAGGGACTAGAGAAAAGAAGAATAACATACTGTACTCACTGCTTAACTGTGTTTCTAGATCACGCTCATTTCAGGTAAATTTACATGCAGTGTGAAGATACCAGCATAATAAAGATCGCTAGCATTAGCATGCTAACACAACAATGCAACGCGAGTTGTTTTGGTTTCATGCTGGTGCTCAAGGGCGACATCTGCTGGATCAAAAAAATCATCTAAAGCCTTTAACGCACAGATCTTTATAAAGGGAAGCATTAGTCGTATTAGTTACCTGAGCCTCGTTTCCACCAAGCGGTTCAGTTCAGTTCGGTCCACATTTATTTGTGTTTCAACTGTCAAAAGTTTTGAATTGTACAAAAAAGAACTGAACCGTACCGTCCTACTTTCTTGCTTCCCTTCTGTTGGGGTGCCAAGCGTACTGATCTGACCCTAAAGGCGGTACCTAGACACACTGCAGTCTGCTGATTGGTCAAAAGAATCCTCATCTGTAAAACACAAAGCACACGATTTTTAAATATCCTGTGGATTTTGAGAGAGTAATGTCAAGGCTGTTTTTTTGTTTTTTTTGCAACTAAAGTCAGCGTGTAGCTCCGCCCCCATGTACGACCTCAGAGGTGCTGCTCTTTGTTGAACGCCATTATTGCCCTTTGTTTATGGCGTCCCGTTCTTCTTCTGTACACACAAACACCACTCCTCTCCTGCCCGTGTTTTGACAGATTAGGCGGGAAATATCTCCGATTCTGAGTGTTGGATATCCCATCATAACAATCTGTTTCATCTTGTTAATGAAAACAACACGTGTGTGTAGTCAGTGTTTTAACAATAAGAGATCTATTTCTCGCCCGCTGTGTCATCAAAGGAGGTCATGGCCGATTTTTCATCACATCGTTTTGTTAACATAAATTCCCGCACTTCCCTTTATTGAAAACGATGTAAACACTTTTTAAATAAACAACAACATCCCGGCTGATTCTTTTGGAAACATCACAAACCTCCTTTTCTTTTCTATCTCTCCAGCGCTGGAGAGCAAAGTCCGCTCGGGGGAAAAGAAATCCGAGGCGCTGGCCCGGGAGAATCTGCGCGTGGAGGCAGAGCTGGAGTCTATGACCAAGAAGTCCCATGATGCATCTGGGCAGCTGGTCCACATCAGCCAGGAGCTGCTGAAGAAAGAGAGGTAACGCAGACAGCGGTTTAATCGATTGAACAAACTCGCCTTGGCACTTACAGGGAGTGAAAAACGATGCAAGAAAATACATCACATGATCAATTTGATAATGGACGCCAACTCGGACGCCAACTCGGACGCCAACTTGGGCGCCACGGGCTTCATTGTTTGAATTATGATATTTAATCTGGTGATGTTTCATTGGGGTTAAAACGTCTATAGTGCTTATCAGCTGTGCCAGGAGTCACATTACAATCAGAGCTTTTGTTTCCCACTGCAGCCGGCCGTGCAGTTAATAAACACGCTCTCTTTGTTTGTCATTACAAGTGTTTAAAACTGCGTTTAAAACTTGTGAGCAACTTTTAATGCAGTTTCACCGTCCCGACACCCGAGCTAATGAGAACACGGGGACTTCTTTCTCCTCTCCTCACTTTTTAATCTAAAACTCGGTCGTCCCTCTGGGGAAATATTTCCTGCATTCTGGCTTTATGGTGAGTATGAACACGTAATAAAAAAGTTAAACAGAGAGCAATTAAGCTCATAAATAAATATATTCTTCTGTGGAATAAGACGAGCTCAGCGAGGAGACGCCTCTCAGCCTCTCAGCAGAATATTTAACTTCAAACCCTCGTTGTTGTTTATTCCCCTCACACTCTTCTTGTGTGATTGTTTATTTAAAAGCATTTGGACTGAAGAGCTGTTCAGTCTCATGATTATTAAAAATCATTAAATACACTTTAATAAACTGAGGGGGTCTGATGAGTTTGAACTGAGGAGATTTTAAATATTTTGGATTTTAAATACTAATCAAATGTGAAAGTTGAGATGTGCGATCTCGTTGTCGAGGGTTTCCAAACTAAATCACAGCATCACAAGTTTATTATGACGATGAAATGAATACATGAAGTAGTTATTAACACACAGACAGACATCAGAAAAAAACATGTTCATAAGAGAAATTTAAAAAAATCAGAGAATTTGAAAAAAGACCAAGTACTTTGAGTTTTCTGTTGTATCTTTCATCACAAGAAGTTCACTGTTTTACATTTTAAGATCAGAAAATGGATGAATGCTTTGAACTGCCTGTCTTGTATGTAAAGTGCTGCCGTCTGCAGGCTTCATATTTTGTGTGTTCACATTTTTTTCACCTCAAGAGATAAAAAAACACAGACTTACAAAAACAATTCCTTTAAAATCTTTAAAAGCCATTATTTATCCACCGAGGTGCAACAGAGATGCTTCACAGGTAGGGCTTCATGCAACAGGAGGATCCCACCCTCACAAACACTGCGCTGGAGGAACTCACACACTAATGCTCTAATTGAATTACACTCTTGGCAATCTTACATGCTGCACCTCGTCCATTATTGATGCTTATGACGGTAGTAAATGCTAAAAGGCACTTAAAAATAAGGGCCTCAGGCCATATAATGTTTTTTATCTCTGCATCATCTCGACAGCAGTTATGTTCAGTAAAGGTATAGAGTGTTAGTGCTTTTGGATGAGGATAACATTAGCTCTCTCTTTATGCTCCTGCTGCGCCTTCAGGCTGTGACCTGCTGTAAGGGAAACAAACCAGAACATCGCCTCGAGCCTCGAGATGATCAATGTCAAAAACTCTGTCGCTCATTTCTATCCGTCTTTAGAGTCTCAGATACCGACCATGACGCAGACTGTGGGCTTCTGATGCTCCCGCACTGTACAAAACTCAAATCTTGGAAAGTCAATCTGTTTCATTTCAAGTCAAAATATCTCACTGCTGGAGTGCTGGTGGTACAGTAGCTAGTGCGCATCCCCCCCATGTATGGAGGCTGTGGTCCTCCAAGCGGGTGGCCCGGATTCAAATCTAACCTGTGGCTCCTTTATTCTCTCTCTCTCTCTCTCTCTCTCTCTCTACCCGGTTTCTGACTCTATCCACTGTCCTGTCTCTAAAGTAAAGGCATAAAATCCCAAAAATAAACTTAAAGTCTTCATATGTGATTTTTCACACTTAAATGTAGAAATCAAGTATCTCCTCTGAAAATAACTCTGAGTCATGACTGTCTACAATGGGTCAAGGGGCGACATCTGCTGGATCAAAATATCGCATATAAAGCCATTAAATAAATCTGACTACATCATTTACATATATATATAAAAATAACATTTTAAATGGATCCCTCTTAAAGGATGCTTTAAATAACTCCAGCTTAATGAAGGCCGGATGTTAAAGGAGCTAGCCTCTCTTGGCTACTTGTGGATTCTAGTTCACAGGAAATGGCTGCTGGATGTACAGTTCACTAAAACCTGCCAGAATAAGAGTTTACACTAACTCAGCACGGAGAGTTTGGCTGAGTCAAAGGAGCATCCATCCATCCAGCAGCCAGCTTGACGTGTTCAGAGACGAGGGCTGCCTCCACAGTCCCCACGGGCCACGCTGGCTCACATTCTCCTAACAAACTGGATCGGTAAGCGTTTAAATAATAACGACCTCAGAGCGAGCAGATGTACGGCTCGACAGATAAACACATGACTTCTCTAATATTACTGCAAGTCAATGCCGTCCCACAGATCAGGAGGAGCTCTCGTGGGAAATTGGTTCGATCTTTTTTCAGTTTTATGAAATGCACATGCTTTATTTATGTTTTTCCTCTTCTTTTTTTTTGGTCTGTAGGAGTCTGAACGAGCTGCGAGTTTTACTCCTGGAATCACATCGTCACTCCCGAGACATGGAGAAAGATCTGACCCGAGAGGTGCACAAGGCCGAGTGGAAGGTCAAAGAGCAGAAACTTCAGGACGACATCAAGACCCTGCGTGACAAACTGCTGCTCCTGGTGAGAAAAACAAACACTGATGGAGCTAACTCTGCTTCCAGCTACTATCCCCCTTTTTCAAACACATTTCCTCTATTTCCTTCTGCGTTCTTCACATTGAACAAAATCTGAATGAAATATAACTCCAGGAAAACAGGCGATAAAAGCTTAGTCGTCACAGACAAAACCCAGCGTTTGACATTTTATCTGATCATGAATTGGTTGAGATTTTGGGAGATGTGCTAACAGAGCTCAACAGTGACCATGGCCTGGTTCCTCCATTGACGTTTGGAGGAAATCCTTTTATCTATATTTTTTAATCCTGGAACCATGGCAACCAGCTACCCGAATACTCTGGGCAATAAATCTGTTTTCCCTATACTGGGGAGAACAGAGAAAAAGAAGACTGAGAGCATCATTATTTCTGGGAGTAAATGAATGTGATCTCTACTGGTGGTACTACATTGTTTAGCCCTATAACAAAACTAAAGAGCCTTCTTGTTTCAGGACAGATCTTCTTATTTAACTGTGGTCAAGAAAGAGAATTTCTCAAACTTTACATATGACCTAAACCTGTGATATAAGTCACATTTATTTATAAAGTCAAGTCACATTTATGTTTAATGCACATTAAACAGTGCTGTACAATACATTAAAGAAACAACATGAGATCACAACAGCCACAGGAAAGAGAAATATATATACATATATACATATATAAAGAAAGAATATACTGTACATACAAATAAAGAAAACAACAAAATAAAGAAAACAACTAAATAAAGAAAACAACAAAGGAAACTGAAAGAAACGGTCTATTCAGGACCAGAGGACTCAAATGCTAAAATGTTAAAATATGTCTTGAGATGGGACTTAAAAGAGTCAACAGAGGATGCAGGATGAGGATGATAGGATGATATATATATAGATATATATATATATATATATATATATATATATATATATGAGGATGATTAAACATTCAAAAAGTGACCTACAGCTTGACACAAGTTAAAACATTCACCATCAAAATCAGTGCAACAGAGGCAAAGATAACCTGACTTCAAGTGTTTGTTAAAAACTCAGAATGTTGGATCTTGCATTTCTCAAAAACGACTACCATGATTTAAAAACATCCAATCTCATAGCTCGCTTAAAAAACCTGTGCTTCTCCACGCTGACCTACAGGAGTGTTCTGGTGCTGCTAGCTTAGCGCACACTGCTGTGAAGGCAGCTGCTGCTTAATATGTACTCTGATGATCCCTGAGAGAAAAAGTGCTGATGTTAAATGTGCTCAAATAATCATCTTTTATATTCCAGATGTTTTGCTCACACACACTGAAGCATGAAGGATGATTACAAAATGAGTTGCTTACAAGATTAGTTTACAAAAGATGTTTGTTTTTAGCTCGGAAGATGAAGAGCATAGAATACATTTTTATTTTAAGCATCAGTTTGCACGGACAACTTTAAAACAGAAGTGTATTTCTGTAATTGGAATTAAATTGTGGAATTCTTTAATTAATGATTTGAAGGGTTGTGTTCAGATATTTCAGTTTAAGAAAATGTTTAAGAACAGAAGTTATCAGACTGTATGAAATTGGCAGTTAGTGTGTTTTGTGTGTTTTCCTTCTTATTTCTGAGGAGTTAGGCTTAATTGTCAGATTTGTTTTATGTTGGCATGATATTCATTCATTGATTGTAATTTGGACAGAACATCCAGACATTTATTGTTTGCTTTTTGAGTAAGGGGGCAAGCAAAACAAGATTTATTCTTCTCCCTGCTCCTTTCCGTACATGGGATAAAGTGTGAATTGTTCTTTCTTTTTTTTTCCTGTCGTGTGTTTTGACATGTAGGGAACAAAATAAAAAAATTAAATGAAAAATGAAAAATGAAAAATGAAATGAAATGATTAAACAGCCGTTATCCTCCCGCCTTGTGTGTGTGTGTTTCAGGGTCGTGAACGGTCCTCCCCAGACCACCGGCGGTACTCCATGCTCGACCCCTCTGCCCTGGACTCGGAGGTGAGCCGCCTCCGCCAGCGGCTGCTCAACACCGAGGACGCCCTGAGGAACGCGCTGGAACACAACCAGCAGGTCGACCAGCTGGTGCTGGCAATGCGCAAGCATCCGGAGAAAAGCCCGGTAAAAAAAACAAACTGCAAAGACTTTACTTTCTCTCAGGGACAGATGGTAGAAAACGGGGTGAGCTGGGTTTTTAGTCTGTGATGGGACGTCTTTCACACCGTTTTCACCGTAGTCTGTGTTTTTTTTTAGGCGCACGGTGCCAATTCAGCCAATGGGATTCATCATCAGGAGGCGGACAGCACTCGAGATGTTGGTACTCTTTCTTTAAATTATCATCTATAAACCTCGATATCACTGAAGCTCTCCTGAACTAAATCACTGATCCTTTGATTTTTTTTTTTTGCTTTTCAGGGTCAACACTGATATGAGCAGAAGAGACGAGAATAAACCGGGACACGCAGAGACTCTCACCACGACGTTTCTCCTGATTCTGATGCAAAACGGACAACCTGAAGAAAAAAATTCCCGTTTACATTTAAAAAACCAAAACAGCGACATCTCTATCCTGAGTGAATTTATGTGTTGTTGCAGAACGCTTTCTATTAGCCAATCATGAAGACCGCTTAAAGTACTATACAAATACAAACAAGGACATGGACATGAAGATTTATTATCGGTACAGCTCCTGCAGAGAAAAACAAAATGGCGACTTGTGATGCTTTACACTAGTTAGAAAGACCAAGCTGCTGGGAACTCTTGAGACAATTCTGAAATTTGGATCTGAAGACTAAACACGACCGATGGACAACGAGCTGGAGAAACTGGGTCTTTTCTCGTCTTTGTTTTTATTTATTACTTTTTTTTTTTTTTTTGCTCCTCAGCTTTTGTAACGATACTTTATGGATGAGCTGTGTCGGCCTGTGATACTCTGAGCAACTCTTTGAGGATGATACTGACGAGTTTTTTAACGGGGGGTTTGTCTCATTGGTCACCTTTAATAACACCTGATCAGAGAATTAGTGATGAAGCCTTTAAGGCCCTGACACACCAAGGAGGTCGTCGGTGCGGTTGGTGAGAGGGATCTCTCTGATTGGCTGTTGGGAGGTTTCATTTCTCTCCAGCTCTCCTCTCAGGTTCTCTAAAGCCCCTTGAGCATGTCTCTGTAGTCTCCATGCTTTCACCCATTAGTGAGGTTTCTCCTTATTTGTCTCCTCCTCCTCTTCTTTTCTTTTTTCCACTAAAAGACCAAGAACTGACAACGCCAGCGCCATTTTCTACTTCTTATCAGACATTATTCTCCATTAGTAGACGACCTGTAATACGAGTGGTGACCGACAGCGGTGTGAAAATGGTCTTCTCGTATCATAACAACGGACCACCTACCGCCCCCTGCTGGCATGGAGAGTTATTTCCTCTCACTGCATGAGCAGAACGTACGTGGTGGTTGGCCATCGGCTGTAGTCTTTGCGGTGTGTTCAAGTGCAACTTTTTTGGCCACTAATTCTTTGCCGTCTGCTTGGTGTGTCAGGGCCTTTACAGTTAGCTCAGTCCAGGGTTCAAGGTCCTGGTAAAATGACCATCCAGTATTTATACCAATTTTCCCGTTTGGGGTCACATGGGGCTGGAGGCGGGGTAACACCCTGGACTGCTCACCAGTCAATCACAGGGCACCAGGAAAATATGTGGTAGTCAACGCTCCAGCCTGAGAGCTTGTTAAATTCTCAATTATATACCAACAACTGCTTGACATATTGTTCACAATCCTCCACTAGCAGAGAGTTACAAGCTTTGACATTTCATCCTCTAAATCCTCTCTTCAGGTGTTGGAAAAGGTGACAGTCAGAACAAACTCCTTAAGAAAACAGTCAGTCTTCAGCCTTTGCACATCAGTGGACTCCCTGCTGGAGATTATTATGAATGAACCTGGGAGGGAGGGAGGGGGGGGGGCTGCTGAATCAGCTCTATGTCATGTTACTGTATGTTTATAGGATGAATATAGTGAATCATTCCAGACTTTTTTTGTGCTCTCTTAAAACCGTCTGACCCTCTACCGACACACCTCTTTTACTCCATCAGCTGTTTTTATTTACAGTGTAACATGACAGACTCTGGTGCACCAGTATTAATTCATTAATTCACATAAGGTACAAACAACCGCAGCCCCGCTTTGAGCCCATTTTCATGCTGTATGATAACGTCCTCTCTGACCTTTTTGTCGAGCTACTGAAGGGCTGTCACAGGAGCTAAAAAAAAACAGCCAAACTATGGATGTAAGATGTTACGCTCAACATCTGGATTTTCCCATTTATACTGTAAGTCTTCCAAATATTTTTTTCTCCATGTGTCTAAACGAGGACTTCCTGTTTGCAGATTCTTTTGCTTTACAGGAGACATCGCACCCGGGAGGTGAGCGGTGAGCGGAGGGGGAAATATGGGGTCTCCTGAGCAGAACGTGCAGGGGCTCGAGCTAAGATAAAGCCTGCTTCTTCTTCTTTTTTTTTTCTTTCCCCCACATTGGATATTGTACATGGCCTTTTTTCAGCTGGAGGGGAGTCGTACCCTTTGGATTATTGCTGCAATGGTTTCGGAGATTGAGTCATTAAATATTAACAATGTTGGCGAGGGCTTGGTGGTGTTTTATTTCATTCTCGTGTCCCTTCTGTGTGTTTGTTTTTTGAGGGCAAAGGCACCAGGAGATCAGAACGCTTTTTAAAGAGCGGTGTTAGATTTCACCACACTAAAAAGGTTGGAGGAGTTTTTTTTTTTTTTTACTATTTCTCTATTCCCTGAGCTGCTATCTCGTAAGGGCTTACACTTGTAAATCCTGCCCTCGTCTTGGGTAAATATTTGCTGGATGACGTCCAGGAGAGGAGACAGTAATTTATTTATTCCCCCCCCAAAAAAATGGTTCCAAGCACTTTGATTGCTCAGATGAAACATGAAGACGTGACATGTTTATTTACAATCTCTTCATTTCTAACCTCCAGACGTATCGGCAAATGTCAGGTCTGAGCCACACGTCCTCGGTTTCTTTGCCAGAGGGGCAGAGCGGTTATGCGGCTGACATTTGGATAAAGAAGTGATTAATTATTCACAGAATCAGAGGAAGAAGTGCGAGGCAGAGAGGCTCCTATAAATCACAGTTTGACTTCATATCTGATGATGTTTTAGAGATTACAGATTCATTTAGTCACAGATATAGAGCAGGCGTTCCCAAACCTTACAGCTTGTGACCCTCCAAAATAAGGGTCCCAGAGACTGTGGACCCCAACTGACCCTGAAGGGGAGGTGGTTAAGATATATAACACACACAATAATGGGCCAATGAAACAATGGTAACACAAAAGATAACAGCCTAAAAAACAACAATAGAATTAAATAATTTAGTCAATTATTGTAAGAAAGGTTTGAAGAAGATTACAAGTCATTTTAATGTTTAGACTTTAACGCTGAGTGGACGCAGCAAACGTAATAAACAGACACTCAGGTGTGTTCATGTTTATGTGTAAAGAGCAGCAGACGCCTGCTCTGTTGCCGTCATGTGCAAATTTAAATTTTAGGTGTTTGAACAGTTTTCATGTCACTTGATGGTTTGGTTTTTATTCAAAATTTAATTATTTTTTGTGTGTTTTTTTTTAACAATAATGGTTCAAATATACAATTTCAAATGATTTTAATTAATTAATTAATTTTTTTTGGAAAGCAACTCTTAACCCCCTCGGAAGGGTCCCAACCCCCCTTTTAGGGACCACTGATATAGAGGAGTATACATGTCAAATGATTATTATAAATGAGTTCTCACACATTTATTGAACAATGTCCTTTTCTCAGGATTTGAACTTTAACCTAAATTTACTTTTTTAAGAGATGACAAGAAGTACGGATGAGGATAAGGGTCAAGTATGAGAAATAAAAAAAGAGAAGACAATATTTCATCAAGCTCTTTGATCTAAAACATTTAAATGTCAAGAATACATTTTTAACACAATCGACTTTTTCTCAATATTTCAGGACATTTCGTTTTTATTCTCAAAATAGTTTTACTTGACTTTTTTACTTATTCTTGAAGAAATATTTTGACCTTATTTTCACCATTTTTTTTTTCAATATTTCGACTTTATTCTCTGAGAAGTATTTTAACTTTACTGTCAACATTTTGACTATTCTTAAAACTGCAAAAAATGTAAACTTTTTTCTTGACATTTTCTCAATATTTCAACTTTATTTATATAAAATTGTATTTGGACTTTATGCTCAGCATTTCAGCTTCATTTCTTGACATTTTGACTTTATTCTCAAAATAGTTTTTTAGCTTTATTCTCAACATTTCGATTTTTTTCTTCTTAACATTTTTGCTTAAATTCAAATTTGTATTTTAACTTTTTTTTTTGCAACATTTTGACTTTATTGATTATTATTCTTGAAGTTGTATTTCAACTTTATTCTCGACCTTTTGACTTTTTTCTCTACATTTAAAAAAAAAATCTCCTCCTATCAATAATTATTTCTCCTGTCTGGCCCTAATCCTCTTCCGTACAAGATGGCAAAGTTGTAATAGCAATAAAATCCAAGCAACAGCAACAAATCAACTTTGAATAAACCCTTGAAAATAATCTGTAACTATTCCTGCAAACTGCTGTCCTGCAGTCTGAGGGATTTCTCACAGTCTAAAGTGTGAAGTTGCATTCAAGTGGCAGACAGAGAGGACAACAGGCTCCTGATAATAATATAAGAATAAATTACATTCTGAATATTTCCCCGGCTGTGTAAATGTTGATCCCTGAGGCTCTGTTTTTTTCCTCCGTTAATCCTGTATGTAAATCGCAGCCAATAGATGCTGTTGTTGAGTTGGGCTGGGATTAGCAGGAGGCGAATGAGTTTCAATTTTACTGGATTACAGAACAAAGAAAGGGGAAAGGGACACCCTGCTCTGTGAAGGGGGACACTAAAAGAGAAATAAACTTGGAATAAATACACAAATAAGACACCACAAAACGTGCCGTCGAGGTGGACAGTGTGATGATCCGGATTATGATGTTTTAGCAGAAGCTGCGGCGACATTGTGGATGTGAATTGAGAGCGATTCTGATGGATTAAAACGGGGGAATAATAAACCTATTCCGGGATTGACAGCAGCAACAAGGCTATTTAATCGCTAATTAAGGTGAGATTTCGCTGCTTCTTTTTATATTCATAAACATTATTGCAGTTTGATTGAAATCGGAGTGTCGGTTCGTGTGTGTGTGCTGTTAGAAATTACAGATTATAACCTCATTTTCTGGACTGGGGGAGGAGATGAAAGGAAAAGTGCTAACGCTAGTTAGCAAGAGAGAGGCTAACGCTGGGGAGCTAGTTAGCTCAGGAGCTAGTTAGCACAGGAGCTAGTTAGCACAGGAGCTAGCCTGCCCAATGTTATTGTGAGCCCGTTAGCTAATTATCAAACGGTGATTAGTTTAGACAGACGTTAATTAACGAGTGAAGAAAGGTCATGTTAGCGGAGAGGGGAAGCCCCCTGTAACCTTTGCGAGTGGACATTTAGTCTGTGTTTTATTATTATTAAGATTCAGCGAAATTAAGCTCTCATGTGTAATGCTAATCAGTAATAAGGTTATCGAGGCAGAGCAACAAAAGCTAAAGAGCTAAAGTGTAAACAACGAAGCTAACAACAACAACAACAACACATTTAAACTTATTAAAAACTGCCTTTTGTAGTTAATTACAGCCTTGTTACACCTTATTAAGAAGCTACAAACATACATAAGACATATAAACTGTCCATTTAGAACAAGAGTGAGTTTAATAATGAATCATCTTATCTGGTTTAGTGAGTTTTATTAGAAATATAATCACAACTTAAACTCCAGTTAACTTTTACAGTGACCTGTCTTTGTTATTTATTTAGGATAGACAAGGTTACTCTTCTCCACAGGCAGGTCGTTTGTGTTGCCCCCCCCCCACAGAGCGGGTTAAATTAATAAATAATAACCAAGTTTTCACCAAACAGTTTCTATGTATGATACAACAACACTTTACATTAAGGTCACCATCCCTTCATATCTTCAGTAACAATATTTAATCAGCTAGAAGACATTAATACACATTTATTACATTCATAACAAACAAACTCAAACTCTGTCTGACACAAACAGCAGCTCCACATACAGGAAATATTTATGTCTTCGAGTAGTTGAGAAAAAGAAAAAAGAAGTACCAGCAGCAACAAGATCACAAGAAAAAAATAGATTTATACCTCTGAATCCATTTCATATTTAAAGACCTTAAAATATCACAAACACTTCAAATTAAGGGCCACAACATTCACCATTAACTAGTTGATTATTATAATGCTAATTAGCATATTGGCTGCTTATTAATCATTATTAAGCGCTTATTAGTACCTTTCTCTATGTGACCATATTCTAAGAGTTTTCCCTCCTTATTACTGCTTTTTCATGGTAAGTTAGGATGTGTAATGTGCTTTTGCTTCGTCTAATTTATAAGGGGATTCGACTTACAGCACTCTGTTTTACTTTTATTCTCCCCTTCTCTCTCTCTCTCTCTCTCTCTCTCTCCCTCCAAAAAAAAACGGTCACCCTGCCTCTCATAGCAGCGTGCTTTGAGGTGAAATAGCACAAACCAATTTTCTTGTAGCATGTGCAACATGTCTCACTGTACAGTCCTGCAATCAGGGATGCACAGATGTGTCAGTTCAACATCAGTATCGGTCGATATCGGTCTGTTGACAGACATCGGCACCATTGCAAATAATGTGGCATTAACCGACATCAGTAGCCGATGTGAATTTGTTGTACCGTCTAGTTTACCTAACTACTGATTCAGAGAAGAGGTTTTTTATTGGACAGATGAAATCACCTGTTGAACAAATTTCGGCATGTTTTCATTTTCAAACATGGGCGAACATTTTAGTCATCCCGGGAGTCTTGCGCCTAAAGAAGTCATGAACCAAACTTTGCTATCCAATTCGACAATGTGGATAAATTATTTCAAACATCTGTATCGTCATCATCATTTTCCCAATCATCTCTTGAAACAAACAAAAGGTAAAGAGTTATAAACAAGTTTAAGGATCAAAAAAGAAGCTGCAGTTTGACTCTTGGCTCTCTGATAGAAGTCGTTTAAAAACCTGCCGCCTATAAAACTTTGTCTGTTGTAACTCTTCAGATTAAATCCACAACACTCAGACGGATTTGTACAGACGCTCGTTTCCTTTTGGCAGAACAGATCTCGATGTAATTTATTGAGCCTGTGCAGGTTTCTTATCCTCTGTAGTTCCAAGACGAGTCCTGCTTTTTAAAGAAGTTTCTCGCCTCTCTCGTGATGTGAACTTTAGAGTGATTCGTTTTCAGGGACCAGAAGCTTTCATGTCATTTATTTTTTTACAGCTCAGGACCATAAAAACATGAACACACAATAATAACAAAATAATAGTGCACGACATGGTTGAAATACAACAGACACTACTTAAACGACAGCGGGACATTCTCTGCAGGGTTATTGTCACTGAAAACGTTTTGAAGACATACTATGCTGTCCATCCCAACATATGAAAGTAGATAAAAAGAAGAAAAAGAAAGACGCTCTGTGAAGTTCTGCATGGAGGTTAGGTCATCAAAGTCTCTGTTTGTCACCAGAGAGCCATGTATGTGCATTTTTAAAGCCTTCAAACTGTCTGTGTCCTGATGAAAATGAGCACGGTGTGTTTATCATTCTTCAAAAAGGCGGCGATTTTACAGATGACTTTTGGCATCTCCGATTTTAACAACAATAATAATAGATGGGCAGTTCATAGGTTCCTCTCTCTGTCGTTCATGACACTCACATCCATCTATTATCTATACCACTTTTTCCGTTTTGGGTCGCGGGAGACTTGAGCCGATCTCAGCTGTCATTGGGCGAGACTGGACCCTGGATTGGTTGAAAGTCAATCACAGGGTTGACCACAGAAAACTCCTGATATTTCCAGGAGGGGTTGCATGTGTCAACGCAAAACTGAACTTTTTCACTCGGTCTTCCCCTGGAGTTTCTTCTTCCAGACCTCTGGTATTTTTCCCGTGTTCAACTCTCCTGCTATTCAATGTGTGGTCTGCCATGACAACTCTCTGATCAAAAACACCTCACATCAAATGGATTAAAAATATTCCAGTGTCAGGTTATCATATAAGTACAAGACAGGCTAAAAATGTCCTTTAAATAATAATAATGTATTATCATATAAAATATCCACTCTGCGCTCGTCTTTCTGCACGACAGCAATTGAAACTTTTATTCTTCATATGTTGAGTGTGATCTCTCTGGTCTGTTCTTGACCATTGAATGCTTCCTGGCGTTGCAGCAGTTAAAAATCAGAACAGCAGTGATGAGGACATTCCCTAAATGTCGCAGCCTGCAGGCTCTGGGTGTAAACAAAGGCGTGATGTTGTTGTTTGCTTTGGTGAGAAGTTAGATTTTGTGCTGTCACACCACTCCCTCCCTGTCTCACTGTGACGCTACTTGTTATTGTAAAAATATCAGATATATAAAGTGAAGGAAACTGCGTATTTAATGTACAGATGCAAACTTTTAGCGATGCAAACAACTGAAAACAGTTCTCAGACCTCTAAAAGGTTGCAGAGGTCACATCTCAGTGACATCGCTCTTAAACTCTTTTCTTGCAAACAGAGAAGTTGCACTTTTGTGAGTAGGCTGCAGAAAACATCTGTAACAGTTTGAGTTTCAGACGATTCATTTCAGCACTCAAAACATCCGGTACCACTTTTGATGATGACCTGAAATGTATGAAAATTAAACACAGATAACTAAACACATTCTCTGCAGGGTCATTGTCACTCTAAACATATTCAACACATACTACGTCGTCCATGCCAACATATGAAAGTACTTAAAAAGAAGAAAAAGAAAGACACTCTGTGTGAAGTTCTGCATGGAGGTTAGGTCATCTGTTAAGTCTGTTTGTCAGCAGAGAGCCATGTATGTGCATTTTTAAAGCCTTCAAAATGTCTGTGTCCTGATGAAAATGTAGCACTGTGTGTTTATCGGCTCGTTGTATCACCTGAAGTTCAGTGGAAGAGTCAGAAGCGGTCTGCAGGAATGTGAAATGTGTTTTAAGAATCCATGATCTCTTCCTCTACACACCACTAACTCCTAATGTCTACATGCTCCATCAGCACCGTGCACTATGCCGCCGTTCACTGCCACATTAGTCAATACTCCTTTTTCCACAGCGAGTGCAGCGGTCCAATCTCTGGAGCGTGTCAGCAGCGCCGCTACACTCTGCGAGTCTATTTTTCGACGTAGGACGCTGCAGGCATTCGTCAAGATGGACAGAATAGAACAACCCGAACAGGAAGTCAGACAAAGAAACTCACAGCGAGTTCGGTCAATTTCAAAATAAAACACAACATACAGACTCCTGATTGTATTTTTCATCACTTTATCAACATGACGTCAAAACAGGCCCCGAGTGAACAACAAATCAGCAACATGTTGTTTGCATGTTTTTCTCTCTTTATTCCTGCGTGATCTTGTAGTTCTCCTGTGATCTTGTAGTTCTCCTGTGATCTTGTAGTTCTCCTGGATCTTGTAGTTCTCTTGTGATCTTGTAGTTCTCCTGCATCTTGTAGTTCTCTTGTGATCTTGTAGTTCTCCTGTGATCTTGTAGTTCTCCTGTGAGCTTGTAGTTTACTTGTGATCTTGTAGTTCTCCTGTGATCTTGTAGTTCTCCTGTGATCTTGTAGTTCTCCTGGATCTAGTAGTTCTCCTGGATCTTGTAGTTCTCCTGTGATCTTGTAGTTCTCTTGTGATCTTGTAGTCACCCCCCCCCCCCCCCCCCACCGGATTGTTGATGAAAGGTCTGCCTCCCCCCACCCCCTTGCTCCCTATCCCTCTTCCTGCATCTTATCCCATCTCTCCCCCTATCCCTTTCCAAGCCCGGTGCAGTCTAGACCTGTGAAGGCTGTTTCGTCATGAACCGGGGATCCGGCTGAAGATTTCTGCCTTTTAATAAGACAGTTTTTTCTTACCACTGTAACTTTTGCTGCTTTGCTAAAGTGCTCATGATGGATAGGCCGGGTCTTTGTAACATAGCAATAAGTAAGGTCTTTTACCTGATTTTTCTAACATAACAATGAGTAAGGTCTTTTTACCTGCTCTTTTGTAATGTTAACAGACAATGAGTAAGGTCTTTTACCTGATTTTTGTAAAGTGTCTTGAGATAACACTTGTTATGAGTTGACGCTATACAAAATGAATTGAATTGAATTGTAGTTCTCCTGTGATCTTGTAGTTCTCTTGTGATCTTGTATTTCTTCTGTGATCTTGAAAATTGGGAGTAAGAGTTGTCAAAAACTCCTTGTAGTGCTTTTCCAAGCTTACCACAGCACCTGCTTTACCTGCTACAGATTGAACAGCACCCAGCCAAATGCAGTGCAGCCGTTTGTTTTTTGTTCCTGGAGTGTGTGACGGTGACCTCCACCCGTTTTTAGATTTGCTCTGCTCAGATTCAACCCAAGCAGAGGTATAATTAGCCTGAATGGGAGAAAACAGCTGTGTAGGTGTGTTCAAGGTGCATTATAAAAAAACCTTGTAAAAACCTTGTCAATTTTTCTTTTTCAAGATAAACAGCAGGGTCTGAATTAAAATGTTTAAAATCATGTAAGAAAAATCATCCAACCAGAGCAGCTGGTCGGGTTTGTGATCAGCTGTCTTGCTGCAGGACTAAAAACACGTGATTGGAAATTCGGCCTGACTTCAAAATTTAGTCGTACAAATCAAAAAGTCGAGGCTAAATCGGGCTGAAGTTGTTAAGTGTACATCTGAAACACTCTAAAGGTCTTGCAAAATGCATGACATCTCTGTAAGTGGTCATTTTTATCAAGATCCTTATCAAGGAGGCAGTAAAATCTAGCTAATGGTCTCGACTGAGGGAAGCAGAAGTTACATTTCTTAACCTATAGAAACATTGTCAGTGGACACAGGCTCCTAAAGCTCCAACTAACCTCAGTTCCCAGCTGTTTTTTTTGTGCAGCAGCTCAAAGAAAAACTGAACTTTATCCAAAGTGACGGTTTTGGCGTGCCTTCAAAGTTTATGTCTCGACTGTCCAGACTGCATCTAAAAGATTCTTGATTTATTAAATTAGTTTCACACAAGAACGTTTTCTGAGATGAACCATAACAGGGCTGCAAAATGATCCCAAAGCTTCCCCTGGCTCACAGCGTTATCCTGAGCTGACTGTTTATCCCCACCTTCCTCCTCCTCCTCCTCCTCCTCCTCCTCCTCTCCTTCTTCTCTCTCCTCTCTCTTCTTCCTCCTCTCTCCTCTCTCTTCTTCCTCCTCTCTCCTCTCTCCTCCTCCTCCTCCTGCTCCTCTCTTCTTCTTCGTCTCCCTTTTAAACATGCGAGGGGAAAGAGGCCGGCTATTTCCAGGCTGTAATAATTTAGGAGGGGGCTAATGTTTGCTGTGGCCTCAGGGGAGGCAGATTTAGACGGCCAATAGACTTGGCACATCCAGACTGTTGCAGCTGAACCCCACCACCACACACACACACACACACACACACACACACACACACACACACACACACACACACACACACACACACACACACACACACACACACACACACACACACACACACACACACACACACACACACACACACACACACACACACACACACGCCCGCCCTCCTCTTTCTCTCGCTGCCTCTGCCTATCTCTCTCCGCCTCTCTGTGTCCTCTCTCTATTGAGTCAGTGGTTTCGGGCTTGCCAGAGGCGAGTATAATGGTTCCCAGTGTCTGCAGAGATTAAAGGCCAGGGCTGCATTGTTCAAATGCCCCGAGATTAGTTTCCAAGGAGACGGGTTTCAGTTGCCATGAGAACATAGTGCCTGGCTTTAGCCGAGCCGTTTTTCCCTTTTAACTCTTCCTATCCGTTTACCACTTCACTTTTATTCACACTGGACATCGTAGTTTGTGGGATTTGGAGGTTTTTGGTATGAAATTTCTGTTTAATATGCAGAATTTTTATGTCATTTTAATGCAGTTTTTCCATCCAGGTCCAGTCGTCTCTTACTTTAATACCTCTCTGACAACAGCACAATCAAATAAATCTGCACATTGTTTGATAAAAAATCTCATTAATGACATTGAAGACAACATGTATAATCTTAGGGTGGTTCCACATTAGGGACCCGGGCCCTGAACCGAGTACACTTGACCCCAAAGTCCAGTTCATTTGATCAGTCTGACTCTGAACACAAACGTACTCGTACCATACTCGGGTACTGTGCCCGAGTCCGCTTGAAGAGGTGGTCATCGTTGCATTTTGTATTTGTATCATGTTGAAGTTTAAAACCCGATCAGTGAACCGTCTCATCAACTACTGGATTAATGTCATATAATTCCAGCATTCTTGTCCCCCTCCCCATAAATTGTAACACGTTATGTTATCCCGCCTTTTCCCCTCCTTGAGAGCTAAGTAGTAAAAGCTGTCATGTCTTTCTGAGTTGTTAGTGTGGCTGCAGAATCTGCCATGTGAGTGAATTAAATAATCCTACAAGGTGAATAAGAAGCCTCTCCTCTGTCTTACATCCTTCCTCCCTCATCCTTCTGACTGTCCTCTTGTTTGCACGCTAACATTTGCTTAAAGTCAAACTAAATGTGCAGCAGAAACTGCTTTGAATGCAGCCTCGTCGTTGCAGTGTGTGTTCAGGGCTCACACACACTGGTTTCTGCCCGTGTGTGTCGCGCTGTGGCCCGTCTGTCTAAACTGTGTTTCATCTGGTTCCCCCGCAGAGGCCATGGCTCAGATGAGGAAGCTGGCATGCGACGGCATCAGGGCCAACTCCCGGGGCGAGCTGCAGGTCCCGCTGGTGTCTGCCAGACAGGAGATCCTCACCAGCCTGGTGTCTGCGCTCGACTCAGTGGTATGTCCCCGATCATGCAATGTTTTAAAGATCTTACCCTGTTGACTCAAGATGAGGAAAAGTCCAACTGAAAACATGCTAATACACAGCTTTGTTATATTTCTGTTTCTTGTTTATAATGATAAGCATCAAACTGAACAGGGTATCAGAGAGGGGAATCTAAAATCATGTTCTTCTAGTTCTGCTTTTGAACTCATGTCTTGCATGCCTTCCTGAAACATTCTAATATTGACTTTATGAATAAACGATTTCTGTGTCTCTGTTCTGCAGTGCATGGCGATGTCGAAGCTCAACGCAGAGGTTGCGTGCGTCACGATACACGAGGACAGCGTGATCGCAGTCGGCACGGAAAAGGGCAGAGTGTTCCTGAACTCCAGGAGGGAAATCCAGACAGACTTCTACAAGTTTTGCCGTAAGTTTTTTGCTGATCCCCAATCATTGAAGCTGCAGCAGGAACGAGGCGAGTTACGTCAGATCATCAGACGCCATCTGTGTCATTGTCAGGCTTTTTCTCCCTGCAGGATTTTGCAGATTTTGTGATCGCACACATGCAGAATCAGCCTCAATAATGCAGCATGTCTGCAGTCAAAACAGGAGCACTTTCACCATTTTTATCTTCAAACACACAGTATGCATATTCTAGAAAAAAAGGATTCAAAATAAAATCTAAGGAGATAGATTTATGCTAATGTTGCAACTCTTGCTCGTCATTTAGAGAGGTTAAACCAAAGGTCATAGAGGAGTTAAAGGTCACGCCGCATTCAGGAACATTCAGGATCTATTGTTAACTTCAACATCAAGTTCAGACTTGAGGCTCAGTATTCCTTCGTGTGCTTTGTGAGAAAGTATTCCAGTCTTAATCAAAGTGAAAATCTTCGTCTATCAGCCTTCATTTCTTTTAAACAAACTAGTATGCAAGTTAGTAAGCTGAGCCACCTGTTGACCTCGAGTGGAAATGTAAAAACGGCCGATCATTTTCTGAGACTCACTTTAGAGTTCACCTTAAAGGAAGAATGTGCGACATGTTTCACATAAATATATCAGAGATCCAGTCTGTCCTGTGTAAATGTGTCTCTGAGTCCTGACTGTCTACAATGAGGGAGAAGCTCGAGTCCCGCTGGCTGTGTTGTTGTCAGAGCCGTGTTTACATGGACGGGACGGCCGGCTCCTCCCCTTGTGTATAAAAGCTGTTTTAGTCAAGAACTAGAGAGAAGAAGAAGAACATACTCACTGATTATTTGGATGTTAGTAAGAGTTTTTAGATCACGCTCATTCTGTGTCAGTTGCTAACACAACAATGCAGGACACAGGGGATTGCTCGAGCCTTCATGCTGGTGCTCAAGGATCAAAAAGTTGCATATTCTTCCTTTACGCTACTGCAACTTCAGTATTGCAAATCATTTAGACTGACAATTAGCTTAAGTTCCTGTACACGTTCTTTCAATGTTTTTATTTCACTGGAATTTGAATGTTGTCTGTCATCTGGCTTCAGGGGCGCCATGTCTTCAAAGTCTGACCACATCCAACGCCCATACCAAAGACCAGGAAGGCGATCACAGCAAACCGAGTAAGGACGGTGATCACGGGAAACCGAGAGCTCCATCGGACGCTCAGTCCAACGTCTTTGTTCTGAGGAAGATGGTAGAGGAAGTCTTCACTGTACTTTACAGTAAGGAGTCACGTCGTTTAACCTCTGATCTCCTTTTTATGCCTCAAAACGCTTTCATTTCGATCATCGTTGACATGTGTGCTTCAGAGTTACCTGGATAGAAATACATTCTTACCAAATAATCAAAATAAAAGACCAAATAAAATGCATTTTTCTGTTCTTCAGGAGCTGAGAAAAAGCTGTTTTTATTGAGATTTACTTGCATATTTATTTCTGGTGCGTCGTGCAGGTGAGGCTGTGGGGAAGAGCAGCCTGGTCCCTGTGCCTTATGAGTGGATCCAGAAGGACCCCGGCTGCGTGGTGGCTAACGGTTTGCCTGACGGAGTCACCCTGAAGAAACCCTCGGAGTACGACACCAAGACCCTGATGAAGATCCTGGAGCTGAGCCACAGAATCCACTTCACAGTCAAACGGTACGGTCTGCACACTAAGAGGTCTTTGTTGCTGCTTTTAATCAGATTATGAGAAGCAGCTGTTTCACATCCGGTCACTCTGATATGGGAAAAAAATTGAGTTTGGCATGTGAGCCTCTACTGCTTTGCAGAGATATACACGTTTGTATGACGGGGGGGGGGACTGGGACCGAGCTGTGTTTGCAGCTGGTTATTGGTAGCAGACAGGCTCTGGTGCATTAGTGAGGGATTGTTTTAGGTTTTAATTCAGCTGTAAGAAAACAACTTCTTCATGTTTTCACACATGCACTCCTCAGAATCTCTAGAACATTTCAGGCAGACTGTTCCTGAAATCTTCCTTTACCTACCTGCTCATAAAACGATCATTTCACTCTCAGGTAGCTCGTGGTCAGTCTACCTCTGGATGGTTATGACATCATGACTAATAATCAAATCCCCTATGGAGCTCCATGCCTTTACTTTCATATCAATGCTACATGTAGAGCAGCATATATCAACAAAAGATTGGAGAAGAAATGCATCATCTTTTCTTGCACTTGCGGTACATTTTCCTGAATATTTCCTGCTGCATTCTCACATCATCTCACCCTGATTTCATGTGGAAAAATGACCAGCAGGAACATTTGGCTTGTTGCGTTCACACATGCAGCTCAACCTGAAAATTTCAGGACGTTTTCAGCTGTTTTTGAGTCTCATATTCGCTCCTTTTACTAAATCTGGTAAGATTTGAACAGCCCCCCCCCCTTTTGTTGAAGCCTGTTAATAAGCTGTCTGAGGAAGCTGGTTAAATCCATGGAGACCTAATCTGAGGCGTCTGTCGGGGATACGACGCTTATCCTGACTGGAGTTCAGCAAAATGTAGAACACACATTAACGGGTAAATCAAAAGCCCCGGAGTTACTCAGTGACTTTAAAAACTCTTTCAGACAATTAACACTGAAGGAATCCCTTAAAAAAAACAAAAAACAGCATCTTGGAAGAAGCTGAGCAAACAGTAGTGGCAGCTCTTCTGGCAGACACTCCTGATGACCGATTTTGGCTGAGGAGGAACTATTGACATCCCTCCTGTGAACGATTGCAATGTCTCCTCTTACTGTCTAATCTGGACACTATGCTATTGTTCTTTGTATGCTTTAAGAGATTTTAAGTTGACATTTATATCCCCTGTCCCATCCACAGTTACAGTTTCAGTTTAAAATGAAACTTAACTGGTTGTTGGAGGCATCAAACCAAAGTGCAAATGTTTATGTTTTTAAGATAAAGAGAACTTAACTGAAGGGAAGAAAGTGGAGAAGCTACAGATGAATATCGTCAAGGAGATGTCAAAACACTCAAACAGATTTGTTTTTGACAGACACTCTGATGGATCCTCAAAATTACCTTCTTCTTGTTCTTCTTCTTGATTTTGTGTTTCTGTCTGCAGGCCGGCAGAGGATTTGTCTCGAGAATCCAAGCCCAGCTCGGACGTCAATCACAATTCCGCCTCCGCCGTCATGACGCCCGGCGGCCACAGCGCGGGGAAGACCTCTGCGCCGGGGGTCGCGCCATCAAGTCCCGCCACGTCCAGCAACTCTGTCCTGTCGAGCTTCCTGTACGGCATGCCCATGTCCTCCAAACCTCACCCTGATGGGAAGCTGGATTTTAAACCCATGTCCCTCCTCAACCTGGGCAAGGACAGAGCGGCCAACTGGAGCGCAGGGGCCGAGAAGATGTGCACGTCCATCAAGGACGGTGAGAGTTTCATGATTGGTTTACGGGGTATGACGAGGAATCTACTTTTGAGCAGGGGAGACGGTTTGCTCCATAACACCTGTTCACATTTCAGACTGAAATTCAAGTGCATTTTTCTTTTTCAGATGAGACCGCGAGGCTAACCGGTGAGCAGGGTCAGAGCCCTCCTGGTATCCACATCTCGAAGAGGCTTCTCTTTTCTATCGTTCACGAAAAGTCAGGTAAGATTGACGTCTAACTGCTGACATGTCACGTCTTTTGTAACCATCTGTGATCCGGACACTGACACAGCAGGAACAAACATGTGCACAGCCTGGTTTTAAAAAATGATCTCCATCTCTCTGCGCACATTAAATGAAGGCTTAATGCTCCGCATATTTGCATATTTAGGGGCGGGGCTGAGTTGACTGACACATTGTTGCATTGTAGATGTTTGTTAGGAAGCTTAAGTCCCGCCTCTTTGCCTGTTACTATGGTGATTAAAAGTAAGTTCAGCTCAGCGTTTTCAATATAGACCTGCAGTCATGGGGTCCAAAATGGCTTCTCAGAAATCAGTGTGTGCATGGTATATTTATCTTTATCTTACAAATAAAGTCTGTAAATAAATATAACTCTATCATAGATTATTATTATAATCGGACCCCGGTTCATACAGGTACACTTTCATCATGTGCGGAGATGATGGAGCCTTTGCACATGACATAAAAATGTGTGTGTTTTTGATCTGGACGAGATGCCCTTGTTGGCTTGATTGTTGCAGTCTCTGGAACTCAAATCACATCGGTCAAGTCTGGACTCACAGTGAGCCGGTAAGAAGTGCCCCCCCTCTCAGGTCATCGTCTATATGTGGAAAGATTTGAGCTCCGTCATGATGAGAGCTCTGCAGCAGCAAGGAGTGGGGGACTATTCATCAGACACGAAACAGAAAGAGCAAACTGTAAGAGCAGGGAAAATTCATCGGTGCTCAGAAAAGAATGGAGACCAGGAAAATACAGGATGTCACACAGATTTTTACCCAGAGCTTTATTTGTGGTAAATACCCCACATGAAAATAATTAAAGGTTAATAATAAAACAAACAAAAGAAAAGGGGCCATCCTTGCAATGGGTCGTCTCTCTCTCTGCACCTCCCCACTAAAACTACCTAATGAAAACAGCTAATGTAGAGAAAACAAGAACGCTGTAAAACAGGACTCCCAGTGGTCTCCTAAAATAACAAAACTCAGCAATCTAAACATGCAAAGGTAGGAAAACAAATATCTGAGAAAACATGGAGAGCAAAGAGCTCCTCACCTTCTGCTGCTCAGAGTGTGCCAGCCTGAGACTCTGCACCTCCTGCCACCCTGTACCACCTCCTCCTACGTGTTGCAAGCACAGGGAGGAGGGAGGGAGAGAGGGAGACCAGTGAGAGAGATGGAGACCAGAGAGAGAGAGAGAGAGAGGGGGGGAGACCAGAGAGAGAGAGAGAGAGGGGGGGGAGACCAGAGAGAGAGATGGAGACCAGAGAGAGGGAGACCAGAGAGCGAGAGAGAGAGGGGGGGAGACCAGAGAGAGAGAGAGAGAGCGGGAGACCAGAGAGAGAGAGAGAGAGAGAGAGAGAGAGAGAGAGAGAGAGAGAGAGGGGGAGACCAGCGAGCGAGCGAGACCATAGAGAGAGAGAGAGAGGGAGACCAGAGAGAGAGAGGGAAACAGAGCGGGAGACCAGGACGATATATGACGTCAAAATAATTCTGCATCTCTCAGTTTTTCAATCTTACATCTCAACTAAAGTCAACAAAGATGTCGTATTAGTAGAGCTCCGATACGTCGTCCTCCCTGACCTAATAACAGAAGTGAACGTCTGCTCTCCCAGACGAGGATTTGTGCACTTAGCTTAGCGTCCCTCCTGTGTTCTCCTGCTGAATGTGCAGGCTCACGCAGAAAGCCAAGTGTTGTTTACCGAACAAAAGGGCTTAACGAACGCTAACGCTCAAACATTAAGGGGTAAGCTGCTAATATGTCAAGAATAAGCCCATAAGAAGATTGCATTTTCCCCAAGTTGATACTGAGTAGATAAAGAAGATTAATGTTGGATTGTTTTGCCTAACCACATTGAAATAAAGCCTTTAAAATCAGCGGGCCTCTCGGTTTGAACAGAGTTGTTTTTTTGTTTTTTTTGCAGAAAAATGGGATTCTTTCATCCGGGAAACTGAAGACATCAACACGCTGAGGGAATGTGTCCAGATCTTGTTCAACAGCAGATATGGTAAGGGAAGCCTCGCTCGATTTTGCATATTTTCATTTTTGTTTTGGACTGGATTCTCACGTTGTACATGAATATCTGTCTACCTACTCGAAGCTTTTTGTTGAAGCACAGCAGAGATGATGCTGCTGTGTGTATCTGTGGATGTTGAAGGATTGGGATCAGTGTTTTTGGTTTCATCATCTTTTCCTCCCTGATATTCAGGACCCTAAAATAGAAAAAAACAAGATGGTTTCCAAATGAGGCGAGATCACTTCCTGAAATATTTGCATTGTTTGCAATGTATTTAAACGTATTCAAAAGACTGCACTGAACCATTAGATACTGTGTGTGTGTGTTTGTGTGTTTGGGAGAGTGTGTGTGTCTCTACAGGCAGTTTCCCCAAATTAAGTAAAAACCACACATATCCACATTGCGGCTCGTGGGATCTGTTTCCAGACTTTTTGATCCCGGCCCACAGCGCCGATTATCTTCCCCTTAAAGTTGACTTTCTTCTTTCGCTGGAATTATCCTCCCTCCTACAAACCTTTCCATGGGGGTGTGCATGCCACTGGAGGCTGATTTTCCTCATGCAAATTCATCCCAATGACACACTGTGGTTCTGTAGCATCATCCCGCCTCCTCAGCACTGCAATAATATATATAAAAACACTGAGTTCTTTTCGTCTTTATTGGAAGTCTAAAGTCAAAGTGCAACTTTCCTGGATGGAACAACTTTCCTGGATGGAACAACGCAGGGCGCTCTCACAAGAGGAAGAGTCCAGTTTGTTTGACTAGTTCGAGCTTGCATGACGTTCTGTACAAGAGGTAACCGTGCTCAGGCCCGGTTAGTCCTGGAACAGTGTGAGTGCAGGCCAGCGGGGGGAATGGGCTTCAGTACAGTCTGGAGGAACTTTGCCTCGTGTGAGAGCTCCCTAAGAGAATTTTAACTGCAGTTTTTAACAGTCCAGAGAGGTGCAGCTTTCCTGCTGGTGGGCGTGGTCTCGGCACATTCAACCAACACGCTCACAGCATTAAAGAGCTCATTTCGAAGCTAATCATCATTTCGAAATGTAAATTTTTTAAATAAAATTTTTAATTTTTTAAGATTTATTTTTGGGCTTTTTGTGCCTTTAATGTAGAGATAGGACAGTGGATAGAGTTGGAAATCAGGGAGAGAGTCTGTGGTCTTCCCGCTTGGAAGACTACAGCCTCCATACATGGGGCGCGCGCACTGACCTCTGCGCCACCAGTGCCCCAAATGTTTTCACTTCAATGCAAATACTTTGTTGCTTTTAAAAAACTTGTTTTCTATAAAAAATGTTCAATCCCTGTGTCCTCTCCCTCCAGCTGAGGCTCTGGGTCTCGATCACATGGTGCCTGTTCCCTACCGTAAAATAGCCTGCGACCCCGGGGCCGTGGAGATCATCGGCATCCCTGACCAGATCCCCTTCAAGAGACCCTGCACCTACGGAGTCCCCAAACTCAAACGCATCCTGGACGAGCGTCACGGCATCCGCTTCATCGTCAAAAGGTGATTGACGCTTAGCATGCTAAACTTAGCTTGTGGTTAGCATTTAAAGATGTTATAGGAATCAGTTCTGCCTCAAGATGTTTCCAGAGGGAGCACATGAACGCCTTCTTTCTTCTTCTCTAATTAAATTAGCCACTTGGCGCAGATTTCAGTTCACTCACTCGGAGCTTCATCGCCGTCCAGCTCCTCTCCAGAAAACTCCAGCATGGCATCTCCTCTGAAACATTTAATAAGCAGCGAGCGAGCCGGCCTAAGCCATCTGTCCGTTTAACGCCTGTTTTCCTTCAGCACACCGAGTACCCGCTGACTGCTTCACTGTCTCCTCTCGCGTCCCTGATGACTCTCCCTCAGTCGCCAGCATATTGCCGCTGCTCGGCTCATCCATTTGTTTGAGCTAATTTAAACGAGCCGCCATGCCCTGTTGTCAGATAACGAATCCAGCAGGCAGCTCATTACTGTAATACAATTAGGGAAAGATGGGAAATGTGATTAATGTAGAATTGCATCAGGTTGTCATTGTCACTGTGAGATGTTCCAGATGTGGGGGCCTGATGTTCTCGTCTTGTGACAGCCCGTTTTCAAATCTTAATGAACCGATCATTTATCCTAATCGTCGGCAGCTTTAACTGAAACCTGAAGTTTGTTTTCATTTAAAGCTGAAGCTCTCTTATTCATCGTTTTTTTAAGTTGCAACCAGTTCAAGGACAAAACCACTCTCCTCTCTCAGGGCCAGACCATCAGCAGCAGCCATGACTGCGTCCGTCCTTGCCCACTGGCTCGGCCTCTCGATCTGCCCGGTCCTCTCCCTGACAGCATCTTCAGTATCTGAGTTCACTGTAAAGTAGAGTACACTAAACATCTTATTTAAAGGTTATTTTGCATGGAAACAAGACGTTAATGAGTTTGATGATGCCCTGATTTTTTTAATCAAATGACAGTAACTTTAGTTAGAGTTTACATCATCAAAACAATCCTGAAAACATTAATGACTAACTTCCCCAGGTGTGTTTTAGGTTTAACGCTAACGTCCTGTTGGCGAGGTATCCATAGTTAGGCGCTTGTCTGACAAGATTGTTAGCCGGGTGCGTTGTAACGGTTTGTCAAGAGGTTTAAACCCCGACTCAGCTCCAGCTCTCAGCCTGTTGTTAGGTTGACTGAAAGTTAGACTGAGACAGCATTTCCAACATGGCGGCTGCTGTCACCAACGGGCTTTCTATGAATATGTACAGCGTATGGACAGAACGCTGCAGGGCTGCCAGGGGAGGGCTGCTCTCCATTGCTGGGAGAAGAGAGTCTATGTAAGAGGTTTCAGCGCCTTACAAAGAGGCTTGAAGGAGTCTGGTGAAATTCTTGGTTTCATATCGGGGAGCTGTCGCCTGATTTACAGGACAAGCCGCTTAGCGCCCTCTGCAGACTCATCCTGGGATTACTCCAAAACACGTTTACCTCATGAGCTAAAACTTTGCCCTCGTTTAGTCTGAGCATACAGTTTTAAAAAAAGGTATCAGCAGAATCGGCTTCATATTTCTTTTTCCTTTTCGATTGTGGAAAAACCACTAAAATAATTATAAAATATCAGTCATAGACCATGATTGAACATATTTAAAACCCTGTTGGGAGAGGGACTGTAAAAGTTTCCCCGTGCTACTTTAAAAAAAGAAGTCACAGTAACAGCTGCAGACCATCAGTCTTATTCACCAATGACCTCGATATGTAAAATTAGGTCATGTGGCTTAAGAAAGGAAGATCGTGAAGTAATTATAGATAGTCCCATAAACTCAAAGAACGATAAAAAGGAAACACATTTCCTCTCTCCCGTCAAAACGTTTAAGGTCTGAAGTGAATAGTTTCACAAACGAACGTAAATAAAGGAGACTTTAGACTGAAGATTAGGAAAGCAGCAGGAGAGGAATGTCTCTGACAGGCTGAGCAGAAACATGTGCCAGGAGGAGGAGGAAGTCCAGAGAAAAATTCCCATCCACAGATGTATTTTTAGTCTGAGGGATTGAGTGATAAGAGAGGAATGAATCAGTGGCTCGATTGTTTCCCTGAGACTGATTAGTGAATGTGCTCAAAGAGCTCTCCACATGTTCTCTCTATGCATCATCATTTCTACCCCGAGAGCTCAAACCCTCCCTCAAACTAAAAACTTCTCCCTCTTCTTTTTGTGTTTCAGGATGTTTGATGAAAGGATTTTCACAGGTAAGACTGTGGTTAATCATCTTAACTTGAATATGAGCTGTGGTTTCCTCTCTTATAAAACAACGTTTGCTGTTTTTTTTTTTGCCTCTGTGTGACGTCTCATGCCAATGTCTCTAATTAAACTGGAAAATATGCCACTTTATCTCGAACAGCGGGGAAGAAGGGTGCCAGCAGAGTGGGAGGAGGATTTCTAATTGAGTTATATATTTTCTGAGACTGAAGGCTTTTGGCTTTGTGTCCTCCAAAGCTTCAAACATGAATGTTTCCTTTAGCTTACAGTATCAACCTGTGGCAACTCTGCAGACTTATCTCTGCAGGCTGTCTTCATCAGTGGCCTTTTCTTTATAAAGTACGTCCATGTAGCTCAAACAGTGGTCACTGTTGCATTCAAAAACTGGACATTCAAGCCTTCAGAGCAGTTCAGTTTCTGCAGATTTTTTAGGCTCTGACCGACCCAAACACACTGACAGCTGACTATAGGAGATAACAGTCATTTGTTCCACCAGCTGATTGGTGTGCACAAACCTCAACTTTTTAAATTCTGAGAATAAACAAAAACAAAAAAATCAGAGCTAATTTGGCTCCTCGCCCGAGTGGAGTCTGCGTTTCATGACACTGAAAACGATCTTTTCAAAGGGAAACTTTCAGCCAAATATAATTATTTTGTATAAGTCCATCTGCACCTCTGTGGAACTACCATATTTGTAATTTTTGCTTGCAATTAATTAGAGTAAGCGGGCAAAACAGAAAAGTGCCCTGTCAAGTATTCATTTATATATGCTTAGGCGTTGTGTGGGCGAGTGGGATGAAGGAGTTTGTTTATCTGCTGTGTCTCGTTTTGTCGGAAGCTGCTGGCAAGATTGCAAGAGAGGAGGGCAAGCATGACCTGGGCTCCACGCTCGAAGACGGCTTTCCCGACGGTCTGAGCATCCCGCCCAACGCCGCCGAGCTGGTCAGCAATCCTCACAGCAGCAGGTCAGAGCTCAGCCCCACACACACACACACACACACACACACACACACACACACACACACACACACACACACACACACACACACACACACACACACACACAAATATGAAATGCTCTCAAACATCCGGCTTTAGTCTTAATCTGGACTGAATTAGAGTTTAAAAATGGTTTTACTGAATTTATTTACATTTCCTACACAGGTGCGAACTGTGATTTGCTTAATTCTTGAGACAGCCCTTCATTCATATTTTGATTTGGCCTCATTTTGGGGCGCCTTTTTAAAAATATCCTTTTCTTCCTGCTGTGCCAGGCTTTAGTGAGAGTAGGCCGGCAAAAGAAACAGAATCACATTCATCCACAAATGTAACTGACAAGGATGAAAATCTTTTAAATCCTTGTGCAATTTAACTAAATATTCATCAGTCCTCAAAGCCTCTTTGGACTCACTTTGTAGAGACTTTTAAAATGTGGTCTAAAAACCTCTCATATCCTGGCACCTTCTGTACACTTGAAGACTTCGAAAGGACTAACATTAAAGGTCACATGAAGCAAGATCATGTTCCTCTAACTCTAACATGTGTCTCTAGTCCGCCTAAAAACCCCCCAATCATGAGAAAAGTCCATCCTCTCCGTCTTCTGCCTGCTCCACTTTTCAGAAAATGTGTGCTCAAACAGGCTGTTTGAAGATTTTGCCTTCATGACATCACAAAGGGCAGTAGCCCCTCCCCCAGGTGGGTGACACTCCCACAGCTAGGTGTTTGTTCTGCCCTCTGAGTCTGCCTTCTCACCGTAAACAATAGGGCATGGAGCGGGAAAGCACCGAGACCACCCAAGCCCTTCCAGAGAGGGGGCGTGGTTAGACACAGCTCATTTACATATTTAAAGTTACAGACACAGAAACAGCCTGTTCTGAGCAGGGCTGAAATAGAGGGGTTTATAGACATGATCAAATACAGGATCAGAGTGGATTTAGAACAAGAAACTTCACACACATGTTGAAGAGGAGCTCTGAGACTTATTTAAAGTTGTTTAAAAAAAAGGATGATGATATGTGACCTTTAAAAGAATACAGCAGGTCTGAAAACAGTTTGGTCAACCTTATTGTGTAGTGTGCACTTCTATATACTCAATTCTTTCAGCTCCCACAAACTGGCAATCCCTTTTATGATGTAACGAGAGATGAGAGATATTCACCACCAGGCTCTTCTGGAAATACTGTTCCGTTTACAAGGTTTTCTGCTTCTTCCGGTATGATGCTGCAGAATTGGTCTTTCCTGTCCGATGCACTAAGATCATTTTAAACTCGTATGACTCTGAAGGAGACTGACTTAAACTGCTCGGGCTAAGTTTTATGACACAACAGAGACTCGAGATTTTGAGAACACCACAACTCGAGGAGAACCTTTAAGATTTGTTTCTGATATTGGACGAATGTTTTGCCCCAGTGAAAAGCTTGAAAAGTCTTTTGATGTGGTGTTACTGGCATACGTTTGACCTGTAAGTAATTTTTTTGGGGTCACCTGAGTTTGTTTTCTTCAATTTCACAGATCAACAAGTGCATGTGTGAGCCCCCTGGCTGACTGTGAAGCAGGTATGTGCAAATAAAAAGCAATAATACACCATAAATTCCCTTTTTTTGTTAGGCTGTGCTGTAAGAAGTTCAAGCCCCCAAAGTATCAAATTAAAGTTCTCAAGCGATGTTAACAATCCCTGGAAGCCTCTCAAGAACATTTCCCATCATGTTTTAGCAGTCAAGTCACTTCAAACACATTCTATCGCCTACTTAAATCTGTTTAACGCTGCCATAAAACACAGTGCCACACACACACACATACACACACACCGATGGGAACGCTCTGTTTGATCCCCGCAGGTCCTTCAGGAGATTGCATTCCTTTGAAACGGATTAAAACGGAGCCTCCAGACGGGGAAATCGTTCAAGTGATGGTGCCAGGTAAGTGTGCACACGCTCGGCAGCCATTCTGCTCCTTAAACTACAAAAAAGTATCAGGAGATGAAGTGTTGTTAGATTATCCCTGACATACTACAGGTCTCTGATACAATGCCAGGAGTCCAAAATATGAAAACCTTGATGTCAAGGGATTTGAAATAAGGTTGTTTTTAGGTATTTATCAAAACAGCTGATCGAATATATACAGCACAGAGTCAAAATTAGGGATTAAAGCTCAGATATCTACTGAGTGCTTTTAAGGCGACCCCCCACACGGCCGTTTTGGACGCCCCTCTGTTTGTCAGATATGAGAGCAGTTATCAGGTCAACAGGTGTTGCAGCGATGGAAGCGGGCCAAGAGAAGTGGTTCAGATAGAAGTGATTGTACCCGACCTAAAAAGCCTCTGCATGTTTCTAATAAGCTCCACGAGCAGAAACGTGCTCAAACTAGGATCAATATTGGAGATGCTTTTGAAAAATGGAGAGAGGTTAGAACACAGAAAGGTTTACAGACCCATGCAGAGCTGGATAAACACTGAAGCTTCAGAGTCCACCACATGGTGACCTGAGTGAGCATCCACTCTAGAGAGGAGGGGGGGGGAGACAGCTCTCTACAATGTTTTGAATTTAGACTGCAGTACCCATTTTAAACACTAGGGGTCAGAGTTATATTTTGCTTTCCTTGGGGACTGGCAGAAAAAATTACCAGGTAAAGTCGGGGTGAGAAGTTCACCTGCAGCTCACCTCAAAAACTGTGAGAAGTTTTCAGGAGTTTTGAAGTGTGAAACTTTTCTTCTCCAGAGCCGACGATGAGCGAGGAGGAGCTGAACGAGCCTGTGGCCGAGTCGCTCGCAGCCGCAGCGTGTCCACCTACCGCCTCGCCCCCTGCACCCTCTGCTCCCCTCCACCCAATGGAAAACCATGCAGGTAAGCTCAACCCCGTCACCCCTCCACCTCCTTATACCTCTTCCTTCTTCTCACTGCAGCTCCTGGACTACCAGTGACACCCACCCAGCGCCCACCCATGCACACCCTGGCTGGTTTTTTTAGCCAGCTAAATAAGCTGCCACACGTATGAAAACACTTTCCTCACTTTTTTTTTCTTCCCCCCCAACCTCCCCTCCCACTTTAAAAACTCCTCAGCCACTAGTAACTACAACCCCAACCCCACCCTTAAGAATCCCCCCTCCCCAACTCTGGCCTGTAGCTCTTCTCTGCTCCCTCTCCTACAGATACTCTCATCTGTAAAAGGCAGAGTGCATCAACTGCAGCATTTCCCCTGACTCTGTGATGTCAGATTGCAAACGTTTACCTTTGCAACAAAAGTTATTAACCCAGAACTTCCACCAGATACGTGTGCATTGCGTCTCCGCTCCGTTACAGCTCCTTGCTCCCTCGTCCATCAACACCCACAGCTTGCCTTCTCAGTGCGCAGCCAAACAGCTGGACTATCAAGACAAAGGAATTCCTGCAGTAATTTAACAGATTCTCTTGCGACAGCGCTAGATAATACGATGTGTGTGGTATAAAACCAGTTAAAACATGTCAACAAACACACATAAGGTCATTTATCTGAACCGTTGAGATTTATTCTGAAAGGAAAGCATATTTTTTAATGTTGTTTCGGTGTCTGACTTCCTGTTTCGCTTGATCTTTTCTGCGCTAAATTGATGCGCCGTGCTTCGACATTCTGCTAAAACAAAAGCCTAGTGTATCTGCTACAGAGCGCTCTGGACTGACGGAGCTGAGACGCAGCACAGCCAGAGGAAGCACACACATTGAAGGAAGTGAAAATCACCTCCGCTGCCATAACAGAGCAGAGACGGACCGAACACACATCTGGTGGAATTTAATCTCAAGACTGATGCATGATGCATTTTTTACAGATCTGGAGTCACACCGTCCTCTAGTCCTGCTGCCCCGACTGATTAGAGTTAGTTCATATGTTAGAGAGCCAAAACTGCTCCTGAAATATCCTCCCTCCCTCCCTCCCACACACACACACAACAGAGGAGACTTAGACCAAGTGATCTGAGTAGACTTTACTCTCTTTCTTAAGCTCCCTGGCATCATTAGCTAACTCTTTTATATGAGTCATTAATGCATAAAACTGCAGATTGTAGAATGAGTAAAGCGCTTTGTTTGAAGGCTGGAAGTTAAGCTTTTATTTTCTGGATACAGAAACAAAACAAACAAACATGGTGCTGCCAATCAAAAAAAACAGCTTTTAATGAACCAAAACGCACGTGAGGCATTTCTCAGAGGTGAACAAACAAGAAGAATGTGGAGTCTACTCAAGGTGATCTTGGGGGCGTAGCATTACGACGCTTTCAGGAGGCGTTTTGTTTTCCTTGATTTCATTTCATTGTGCTTTATTTAAGTTTCTTTTTCTTTCACAATTCACCTCTAAAGGAGACGGAACGAAGGTAAGAGCAGCAAATATCACATGTAGCTTTATTTGCTGATTCAGATTTTTTTTTGTGTCTGTTTTTGCATCATATGTGATGAAGAAATATGGGAGCGGTTGAACAAAAACGAGCCAAGAACTCGTAATAGAAGGCTGTTGGGCGCTGCTCTTTCTCTGAGCCGACGCCTGCTGCTGCAAACGCTCTCTACTCTTTGAAAACAATTTAAATAAAAGAAGCTAGCGTTCAGAAAAAAACGCTAGATGGACACAGGGCCTTACACGCGACAGAACGTTTACATTTTTTTTTTTGATTAAATTTGATAGGAACGATGCAACGCAGCATAGCTCCATCAGAGAGCAGAGAGAGTTTGTAGCTTCTGCTAGTTTTCAGTTCTTGTCCTTTGTTAAGCTCTTCACAGAGGGATCAAATAAGCAGCATTCAGAGACGTTAAACCACATATACAACTTTAGTTTCCTCTGAAACATTTAAAACCTGAATGATAAAAACACAAATGTGAGTAAACAGCTGTTGGTTTGTTTGCTCCTCTCATGTTTCTTCTTTCATCCTGCAGCTGAAGCTCTGTCTCCGAGTACGACCTCCCAGAGCATAAGAAGATCCTCCGAAGGTACGCTGAGCCGACTCTTCCTCTCTGAGCTAAATGTGCTCAATTTTTTGCTTCATGACCGTCTCATTCATAGCTTTAACGTGACATCACACACCTTTGGATCAGCTCACCTGGCGGGCAAGAAAAGGCTTCATACTGTTGCTTGTTACAGTCGTTATCAAAGTGTTTTAAAGGAAGAATGTGCGACTTTTTGATCCAGTAGGTGTCGCCCTTGAGCTCCAGCATTTAAACCAAAACAAACTTCTGTTTGGCCACGCCTCCTCTATACTGAAGCCTCCGCTCTCCTCCAGAGACACACCTCCAACCCACTTGCAGGCGGCGGACAAAATTGTCCTTTGCTCGAGCTGCAATCCCCTGCATTGTTGTGTTAGCATGCTAATGTTAGCGCTCTTTAGTTAGCTCGTAGCTTCACATTTCATGTAAACTGACACAGAATGAGCGTGATCTAAAAACTCTTACTAACATCCAAATAATCAGTGAGTATGTTCTTCTTCTTCTCTCTAGTTCTTGACTAAAACAGCTTTTATACACAAGGGGAGGACAACAACACAGCCAGCGGGACTCGAGCTTCTCCTCGCACATTCTTCCTTAAACCAGTTTTATTTTTAAATGAAATACAGTTGTTGTTGAATGTGATGCACTAGTGGACAGGGAGACGCGCCTGGGTTTCTGTTTGAGAGGCACACAGCAACAAACCTTCACTGTTCTTCTTCTCTGTGTCCATTTGTGTTTTGTGTCTCCGGTGATTAATACACCACTCAGTGCTCGTTATGGTCAGGAAGGAGGTTTGAAAGACTCTTCAATGACCCCACTTAAAAAGCTGATCATTGTGTAAATGTCTTTTCCTCTGTTTGACTCTCTCAGCGGGCAGTTTGGTCGAGGACATCGGTGAAATGATCCTGCAGCTCCGGAGACAAGTGGAGAGCCTCTTCAGCATTAAGTTTTGTAAGCTACTCACGTTCACAGCAAATTTTAATTTCTCCCACATGTACAGCAAGTGAAACGTTACAGCTTTTATGGTCTTTTCCAATATTAATATTATCACTTTTAACTTTTCTTTAATAATTGAACATATAAAAGTTAGTCGGCTCAGCATGGGGCAAATCTGAGGGGAGGAAGAAGACGGGGGAGCAAAGAGATTCTGCTGCTGTGTTGGCTCCGTCATATGTCCTCTGCCTCTACACTGACCCTACTGATCATGTCAATACTGCATCTTGCATCGTAGGTGTTCATGTTTTGAGGGCGTGCACAGCCTACGCTCCAAACAGACGAGAAAGCCATCATGTATACGCTTAGTTAAAGGTCACATATGAAGCAAAACACACTTCACCATGTTCCTCTAACTCTAACATGTGTCTCTAGTCTGTCTACAAACCCCCCAATGATGAGAAAAGTCCATCCTCTCTGTATTCTGCCTGCTCCACTTTTCAGAAAATGTGTGCTCAAACAGGCCGTTTGGAGATTTTCCCTTCATGACATCACAAAGGGCAGTAGCCCCTCCCCCAGGTGGGTGACACTCCCACAGCTAGGTGTTTGTTCTGCCCTCTGAGTCTGCCTTCTCACCGTAAACAATAGGATATGGAGCGAGAAAGACACCCAAGCCCTTCCAGAGAGGGGGCGTGGTCAGACACAGCTCATTTACATATTTAAAGGTACAGACACAGAAACAGCCTGTTCTGAGCAGGGCTGAAATAGAGGAGTTTATAGGCATTCATAAGTTGGGTGCTTCTTTTTTACGATCTCCTCTCCCTCAGCCGAAGCTCTGGGCCTTCCTGAACCAGCCAAGGTGCCGTACTCAAAGTTCCAGATGTACCCAGAGGATCTGTATGTCACCGGGCTGCCGGAGGGAATCTCTCTGCGCAGGCCAAACTGTTTCGGAGCGGCTAAATTACGCAAGATCCTGGGTGTGAGCAGTCACATCCAGTTCGTCATCAAAAGGTGAGAGGTCATGTTAGCAGAGCTTCTGAGAAGGATGTGACAGTTTTGATTCTCTGCTTTTGTAAATGTTTTGAATCATCTTCTCGTGTGTTTACAGACCTGAGCTGTTAACTGAGCAAGTCAAACAAGAGATGCCTTCCATCCCCGTCTGTGAGCCAGGTACCATGCTCTTAGATTTGTATATCGTTTTTTTAAATTAAATTTTTCAATATATGAAACTGAAAGTTTGATTTCATGAACGTGACTTCACTTACTGTAAAACTTAAAATATAAGCCCGGGCTTGTATCTCTTTCCAGCTATGAAATGACCCTGCCTTTATCTGGCACCGGCCATAATCATAAAATACGTCTTGACTGTTTTTTTTTGTTTTTTTAAAGCAGATTTTACTTTAAGGTCCACGTCCTGTTAATAAAATCTAATCAAACGTCTTTGCTCCCTTCATCCTCGCCTGTCATAACCTCAGGTGTTCTTACTCCAGCTGTGTTTCTTAAATCTATAGAAAAGCAGGTAATTTGTTATAGCTGAGCTCAAAAAAAAGAATCTGTACTCACAACACTACATTTCCCATGATGCTTTGAGGTTTAAAGGTGTGATTCTCAGTAATTCTAGCACATCTTTTCTCTTTTTGAAGGTTTCTTTGCACCAATATATTTTTCCTGAAAGAGCAGAATTCCTGCCGGAGGTTGAGATTATGAGATTTAATTACTTTTCCAGTATCTGCGCTCTCAGTTTTTTTCTATCCAGCGAGTCATTTTTCATTCCTATTCCAACAGCAGAATACATTTCTTACGGATATAAATGCATCATGCGATATTTTCTCTGCAGATAAAGTGGTATCTTGGCAGTCAGGAGGAGGCCTGTGTGGAGAAAATCCTCCCATCTGGTCTCACATAATGCCGGGTTTAAAGATGCTGTTTGCACTGTCCTCTGCGTACATGAAACGACGAGGTCAAATCGAGTCCATGTGCTATTTTTGAAACGGCTCTTCAGAGGGAAAAAGGAGAAAGTCCTTGTAGGGATTTCTTGCGGCTTTCGCTACCTTTTTATTTGTGACAAAGCTGAGCCGCTCTGAAGGTTTGTTGTCTTCAGTAAATCTTTCTCTTAACCTTTGAAATGCTTTTTTTTTTCAAAGAGCTGGACACCAAGGACGCAACACTGCTAACAGAGGACGCTGCAGCTCTATCCAAGAGACCTGGATTCTCAGGTGGGTTCAGAGCTCTCCTCTTGAAGCCGAGATTTGAACATAAAATCAGCTTCTTTGTGTTGACATTCTTCACCCTCTCACTTTTAAAAAACACTTTTGTTTGAATGAACATTTCAACTGGTTTTAACTTCAAAGTGCCGTCGGGTCTCTCGTCTCCAGAGTGCCTGGAGTCCAAGCTGTCCAGGATCGACTTGGCCAACACGCTGCGAGAGCAGGTCCAGGATCTGTTCAACAGGAAGTACGGCGAGGCATTGGGCATCAAGTACCCGGTCCAAGTGCCTTACAAGAGGATCAAAAACAACCCCGACTCGGTCATCATCGAGGGCCTTCCACCCGGCATCCCCTTCAGGAAGCCCTGCACCTTCGGCTCCCAGAACCTGGAGAGGATCTTGGCGGTCGCTGACAAGATCAATTTCACCATCACCAGGTGGGAATCGACCTCACGAGATCACTGAGACATCAGAGACTTAATCTCTGTGTTCCCAGGTGACACTGTCAGGTTCAATCTGTCTGTGGTGTGTGTGTTCAGTTTTAAATATTCTACAGCTTAGACACAAAACAACAAATATTACTGATGATGTCATAACTTCGTTTCAAGCTGAGATATTTACGCCTCTGTGACCTTTTGCCTTCAATGTGATTGTCACAGAGGTGTAAAATACTCCCCCATCTTTAACTTCTGAGGAGGTAGTTACAGAGGAGGTATGCGTGCGTGCGTGCGTGCGTGCGTGCGTGCGTGCGTGCGTGCGTGCTGAAACGCAGTGTGAACTCAGACACTGGGACACCAACATTACCCCGTATGACGGCTGATCTATTGTAAAATGTTGTATGTGAAGACGACGAGCTGCTCTCATCACCTTCTTTCTGTCTCTGCAGACCGTTTCAAGGACTCATTCCAAAACCAGGTCAGAGCAGGATTTGTGTTTTTTTTTTTTTCAACATCAAATCTCAAACCACAAAAATGAAGCTCAGACCACAAATCCAAATGTTGTGAAATATTAACTTTTATTCTCTGTTTTTATCAGCACCTCGACGCGTCACTTTACTAAAGAAAGCCTACGCCTCGATTAGCGGTGAGTACAACGACTGTTTGGGACATCTTTACCGCTGTTACCTCATGAAGAACTTTTATCTAAACCACCATCCATCCATCCTCTCACCCGACAGACGACGATGACATCAACCGCATGGGGGAGAAAGTCGTCCTCCGAGAGCAAGTCAAAGAACTGTTCAACAAGAAATACGGTAAGTGTGGTGTGAGTTCTTGTCTCCTGATAGTTATTTATAAAGATTTCAATAGAGAGAGTATGAACTGAAGTTACTAGAATCCAATACAATCTAACAAAAATAAAACTAAAACAAAATCAAAAAGCAGATGAACTCTAAAGCATTTTTAACATTTGATTAATTTGCATTTTAAGTTTTTTTTTTGACTAACTACACAATTTAAACCTTCCCTTAATTTAAAAAAGAAATGTTGAATACCAAAAGGAAGACTTTTATTTTTAGCTCGATAAAGTATTTCTAATGTTTTTGTAAATACACGACATCTACAAATGTAAGGGTAGAAGACCTTATGAACAATGGATTAGTAGAATAAGGTTGGTATCAGTAGAGAGTATGAAGTGAAGGCGACCTCTCCTCTCCTCTCCTCTCCTCTCCTCTCCTCTCCGTTTCCGTTTCCGGTTTCCGGTTTCCGGTGAGTGTGAGTGTGAGTGTGAGTGACGGTGGTGGTGTTGCGAGTGGCGCGGAGATTGAATTGTTTGCTATCCTTTCTACTGTTTTCAAAGTGCACGATCAGGTCAGTTTGTTTTCATATTTGTATTGAGTGTTGTTGGCTGTGTAAGACAGATCGTTGGAGGGGTTGGAGGGAGGAATGGCGTCTGCTGAGACGCCACCTCCGACTCTCCGACAGGGAGTTCGGATAGTCCCTCCGAACGGTACTGTCACCGTGGAGGAGGTTCTGTTAGCTGCAGGTGAACAGGTAGGCCATGATAAACTCTTGTATGCATCCCGAATGAACAAGGCTGTGGTTGTTTTTCTGAAGAGTGAGCCTCTTGTGTATCAGCTGATTGAGAGTGGTGTGTTCATTAGGGATTTGTTTGTGCAGGTTTCCCCCGTTGTCGGTTCCCTCTACGCGGATCACCGTATCCGGTGTTCCGCCGTTTATTTCTAACAACTTGTTAGAGAACGAACTCCGCAGGTTTGGGAAGTTTGCGAGTGGTTTCAAAACTGTGAGTCTAGGGTGTAAAGATCCCAAACTGAAACATGTTCAATCTTTGCGGCGTCAGGTGTTCATGTTTTTGGATTCGCCCACACAGACTCTGGAGGTTTCCTTTCGAGTGAAACACGGTGACGCTTCTTATATGGTGTATGCGAGCTCGGGACAACTGAAGTGTTTTGAGTGTGGTGATGTGGGACACAAACGTTTTGCGTGTCCGCACAGACAGCAGGAGGCGGCTAGTGCTGCCGCTGACGCGGGCAGCTCTGTTAGTGTGGCGCATGTGGCGGGGGCCGCGTCCGCGTCCGCGCTTGGGGCGGAGGCCGCGTCCGCGTCCGCGCTTGGGGGCGGGGGCCGCGTCCGCGCTTGGGGCGGAGGCCGCGTCCGCGCCCGTGCCTGGGGCGGAGGCCGCGTCCGCGTCCGCGTCCGTGCCTGGGACGGGGGCCGCGTTCGTGCCCGTGCCTGGGGCGGGGGCCGCGTCCGCGTCCGCGCCTGCGCCTGCGGCAGAGGCCGCGTCCGCGCCTGCGCCTTGTGCTGAGGCCGTGGCTGAGGTAGAAGTGGCTTCGACCAGCTCTCAGGCTACAGAAAAATCACAGACTGTAGATAATGATAAAATTGAAGATTCCACAAGTTCTGCAGTTGTAGATGTTTCATTGAAGGAAGGTAAGACAGTGTGTTGTAGCCAGGCATCATGTGAAGGAGAGGACATGGATGAAGATTATGAGTCAGACAATGCATCCATTGCTGATTTGCCAAATAGTGGCTCTGGTCTTTATTCTTTAGAGTCAATCAATCAATTTATGGATGAAACGTACAACAAATCAGTAAAAATCAGTGACTACTTTAGTGATACTGAAAAGTTCATAAAGTCAGTCAGCATACTGAAAAGACAGGTTGGGTTTGACCTCCTGGACGCGAAAAAACGGTTCCGTCTTAAAAAGCACATCACCGCACTGAGGAAAGTTGGACGTAAGAGTGTGAAGAAGACAAAGAAATGATCATGCATCACAAGGTGTTTTTCTTCTTCTACTGCTCCCTGTTTGTGTCTACTTATCTGTTCTTTCTCTCTGATCTTTCTATGAGGAGTCTTAAGATAGGATCTCTTAACATTAATGGTGGGAGGGGACAGACAGAAAAGGGGCCTTATCTCTGAGATCTCAACTCAGAAAAACATTGATATCTTGTTTTTACAAGAGACTCATACCACACCATCAGATGAGACAGATTGGGGTTTATGGTGGGAGGGCTCTAACTACCTTAGCCATGGCACCAACTTTAGTGCAGGAGTAGCCATTTTGTTTAGAGCATCTGCAAATGTAAAGATCGTCTCTTGTGCTGAAATTGTAAAGGGAAGGCTTTTAATTGTAAGAGCAGAAATAGAGGACACTGTTTTCTGCTTCACTAATATTTATGCTCCAAATAATGGAGCTGAAAGGGTAGCTTTCTATACCCGCCTCCAAAAGGAGTTAGTGATCTATAATCAGGATCAGATCATTCTTGGTGGTGATTTTAACTGCACACTTGATTTCACCGTGGATAGAATAGGAGAGGAGCCACATCCACATTCATCCCAGACTTTAAACACTGTCATCTCTCACCTGGATTTGTTGGACACATTTAGAGTGAAACATCCACAATCCAGACAGTATACATGGGTCAGGGTTAACAGTAACAGGGTGTGTGCAGCTAGACTGGACAGGGTTTACATCTCCAGAACTCTCAACCCCAGATTAATTCATTGTAATATTCTGCCTGTCGGCTTCACTGATCACCATTTTGTTAGTGTGGAGCTGATTATTTCACCAGGTGAAAGGGCTAAGTCCTTCTGGCATTTTAATAACAAGCTTCTACTGGACAATGTTTTCTGTAAAAACTTTGGGTGTTTTTGGGATCAGTGGCAATTAAGAAAAGTTGAGTTTGATTCTTTGAAGCTTTGGTGGGAGGTTGGTAAAGCTCAGATTCGTGTTTTTTGTCAGCAGTACACGTCACACTCTTCTGCTAGATTAAAAACAGTCATTAAAAATCTTGAGGACAACATTAAGAACCTTGAGGAGGGGTTAAATGGGAGTGTGGATCCCACCGCTGGTACCCTGCTGAAGGAGAAACGTATGGAGTTGAGCTCTTTCCTGCAGGAGAGGGTGAAGGGAGCTCTTGTGCGGAGTCGTTTCCTTCAACTCAAAGACATGGATGCCCCAACGTCTTTCTTTTTCAATCTTGAGAGATCTGTGGCTCAAAAAAAGCTGCTGACTTGTCTGAAACTGCCAGGAGGTCGAATAACAGCTGATCCAAAGGAAATGAGCAGTCACGCCATGCAGTTCTATAGGATCTGTTTGGAGCAGAGAGTTGCAGCCAGGAGTGTCGCAGGGAGCTCCTGGAGGGTCTCCCTCAGCTCAGTGTGGAGGAGAGGTCTCTTCTGGAAGGGGAGCTGTCTCTGGAGGAGCTCACTGCTGCTGTCACTCAGATGGCAACAGGAAGAGCACCTGGAATAGATGGGTTGTCCACAGACTTTTTTAAGAGGTTCTGGAATATTCTTGGGTCTGACCTGCATAGTGTTTTAATGGAGTGTTGCAGGACCGGGTCTCTTCCTGGTTCTTGTAAGAGAGCAGTTCTTTCCTTGCTCCCCAAGAAAGGTGACCTGGCATTGTTAAAAAACTGGAGGCCGGTTGCTTTGCTTTGTGCGGACTACAAGATCCTCTCCAGAGCTTTATCGAACAGACTAAAGGACGTTCTGGGAAGTGTGGTCCATAAAGACCAGAGTTACTGTGTTCCAGACCGGACAATCATGGATAATGTTTTTCTTATCAGAGATGTCATTGATGTGTGTAAAATCTATAATCTAAATGTTGGCATTGTGTCTCTGGATCAAGAGAAGGCGTTTGACAGGGTGGATCACTCGTATTTGTTTTCTGCACTGAGGTCTTTTGGTTTTGGGGATGGTTTTGTGTCATTAGTTGGTTTGTTGTATCAGGATGCACAGTGTTTGGTGAAGATGGGGGCGGGGTTGAGTCGGCCAATCCCTGTACGGCGAGGGATCAGACAAGGTTGTCCCATCTCCGGCCAGCTGTACAGCTTGGCTATTGAGCCCTTGCTGTGCAGGTTGAGGGACCGGCTCAGCGGGCTTTCTTTGCCCGCGGCCTGTAGCATTGAATGTCCCCCTACAATTTCTGCCTATGCTGATGATGTAAACATCTTCATCTCCAATCAGGGGGACGTTCGGTGTCTGCGGGACACCCTGTCCCTGTATGAAAGGGCAACAGCTGCACGGGTGAACTGGGAAAAAAGTGGTGCCTTATTGGTGGGAGAGTGGAGGGACCAGGCAGTGCCCAGTCTGCCGGGTGGACTTGAGTGGGGGAGGGAGGGGTTGAAGGTGTTGGGGGTTTATTTGGGTACCGAGGGCTTTAAAAGTAAAAACTGGGAGGGAGTTAGGGAGAAAGTGTGCGCTCGGTTGTCTAAATGGAAATGGTTGCTACCCCAGTTGTCGTATAGGGGAAGAGTTCTGGTGGTCAATAACTTGGTTGCCTCGACTCTCTGGCACAGACTTGTGGCTTTGACACCTCCAAGAGGGCTGGTGGAGGACATTCAAAGGGCCATCCTGGACTTCTTCTGGTCAGGCAAACACTGGGTCCAGGCGGCAGTCCTCTACCTGCCGGTGGCTGAAGGGGGACATGGACTTATAGACATTCAGTCAAAAATTGCCTCATTCAGACTCCAGACTGCACAGAGACTCCTTTTCACTTGTGGTCCCAGCTGGATGGACATCGCTCGACTGCTGCTGAGGAGAGCTGGACGGCTGGGGTACACTAAGCAGCTCTTTCTGTTAAAGCTTGAGGAGGTGGATCTCACTGGATTAACATCCTTTTATATGTCTGTAATGCAGGCATGGAAAATGTACACATTCAAAAGGGAAAAAACTGAGAGTCTGGGAATGTGGATCTTTGAGGAACCGTTATTTTTTAATGATTTTATAAGGACTCCAACTTTGCAGTCAGCCAGTCTCCGGGCCAGTTTCAGAGAGGCAGGCTGCACAAAACTGGGTCACCTGGTAAGACTGACCCTGGACGCCCTCAAAGAAAGGACCAATATCACCTCCAGCCGGGTGGTTGAAAGAGTGGTGGAGGAAGTCTTTGCTGCACTTCCAGTAAAACTTGTGACATTTCTAAACATTGAGAATCTGTGTGAGCAGTGGAGTGAAGAGGGCGAATACAGCTTCCCATCTTTGTCTGTTACCCCAGATGTCGGGGAGTGGCAGGAAAGAGGAGGTGGACTGCTGTCCTTTAGTACTCCTGTTCTGGGAAAGTTCCAGGATGCAGGGAAAAAGGCACTCTATCAGTCCTGTGTTAAGGTCCTACATCTTCGTGGTCTGTCGGGAGTGAAAGAGTCGAGGTGGATCGAGTTTTTTGGCCCGGAGGTTTCCCCGAAAGGCAGCTGGCGGTCCCTGTACAAGCTGCCTGTTGAGAAGAGAACAGCAGATCTCCAGTGGAGAGTTGTGCATGGGGTTATAGCCACGAACAGATACAGAGCGCACATTGATCCAGGGGTGGGAGAGGAGTGTTTGTTTTGTTCACTAACTGAAACTTTGTCTCATCTGTTTGTTGAGTGTCCCAGGCTCTCACTCTTGTTTGTCCTTATGAAAAGCTTGTTTGAAGCTCTCGGGGAGGATTTCTCTTATGCAGTGTTTGTTTTTGGGCCAAAGTATTCTGCAAAGAAAAAGACTGTACATACACTGATGAACTTTTTATCTGGCTCGGCTAAGTTGGCCATTTGGCTTACACGCAAGAACCGAGCTCAGGGTACTGGCTGTGTGGAACCGGTGCTGGTTCTGGAGGGACTTTTGAAGGCCAGACTAAAGGTAGAATTTGCCTATTATCAAATGATGGACAATGTGCAAGACTTTAATAGTGTATGGGCTGTGGAAGAAGCTTTGTGCTCTGTGGGTGGGGATGGAGAGCTGATTATTCATTTTTGATGCAGTAAATGTTGTTTTTGTTGATGTTGTGATTTTTGTTGCACTTGTTTTGTTTTATGTTTTATTTTTTATTTATTTATTTATTTCCTTCTCTTGATCTGAGTGATGATGTGACAGTGTTATAATTTTCTCCTGGTAGTGGTAAAATAAAAGGTATTTTGAAAACCAAACCTCTCTCTCCTCTCCTCTCCTCTCCTCTCCTCTCCTCTCCTCTCCTCTCCTCCTCCTCTCCTCTCCTCTCCTCTCCTCTCCTCTCCTCTCCTCTCCTCTCCTCCTCCCCTCCCCTCCTCTCCTCTCCTCTCCTCTCCTCTCCTCCTCTCTCCTCTCCTCTCCTCTCCTCTCCTCTCCTCTCCTCCTTCCTCTCCTCTCCTCTCCTCGATAAAAAACTGAGTCAAACGGACAAATATCCTCTTAAACTCGGGACATTTGGACTCAGCATAGATCTCTACAGTTACCTGAAGACACAGTGGAGTGTGGACCTCCACTGCACCTAAATGCAGCAAAATTGAAGAATACGTTAAATATATTCACTTCATTTTGTCTCAGGAGCGACTTCCTGTTCACTGCTTCATTCATAAAAATAAAAAGGAAACCCTGTTAGCTCAAATGTTTATTTATTTTTTTTAATGCAGCTGACGTTAAATCTGTGCACGCATGAATCAATTATTTTTAGGAGAGGTGACAGAAAAACAGCACAACTGTGTGTGTGTGTGTGTGTGTGTGTGTGTGTGTGTGTGTGTGTGTGTGTGTGTGTGTGTGTGTGTGTGTGTGTGTGTGTGTGTGTGTGTGTGTGTGTGTGTGTGTGTGTGTGTGTGTGTGTGTGTGTGTGTGTGTGTGTGTGTGTGTGTGTGTGTGTGTGTGTGTGTGTGTGTGTGTGTGTGTGTGTGTGTGTGTGTGTGTGTGTGTGTGTGTGTGTGTGTGTGTGTGTGTGTGTGTGTGTGAACTTTTTCCCTCTTGCTGTGTGTTCAGGCGAGGCTCTGGGCTTAGACCGCTCCGTCGTGGTCCCGTACAAACTAATCCGCGGCAGTCCAGAGTCTGTCGACGTCAGTGGCCTTCCAGACGACATCCCCTTCAGAAACCCCAACACCTACGACATCGTGTGCCTGGAGAAAATCCTTCAAGCTGCCGACGACGTAACGTTCAACATCAAGAGCCAGCTCCAGTGAGTGGAGAGAGAGAGAGAGAGAGAGAGAGAGAGAGAGAGAGAGAGAGAGAGAGAGAGAGAGAGAGAGAGAGAGAGAGAGAGAGAGAGAGAGAGAGAGAGAGAGAGAGAGAGAGAGAGAGAGAGAGAGAGAGAGAGAGAGAGAGAGAGAGAGAGAGAGAGAGAGAGAGAGAGAGAGAGAGAGAGAGAGAGAGAGAGAGAGAGAGAGAGAGAGAGAGAGAGAGAGAGAGAGAGAGAGAGAGAGAGAGAGAGAGAGAGAGAGAGAGAGAGAGAGAGAGAGAGCACCTGAATATTCAGCAGCTGGATTCATTTCAGGGGGGGATTCAGGGGGGTTGTGCTGCTCTGTGGTTAAGCTCATTATGATTTTATTTATGCTTTTGGCTTTAAATCCAACCTCTGAGAAGTGGCAGGATAAACCCTCGGCTGCAAAGCGATATATTTGACGCTGAAGCCGTTAAGCTCTGATGAAAGAATTTATTTTCCTTCAAAGGTTTTAATTAATTCTCTTTCTGTTTTTTTTTTCTGAAGTGAATTTCATGTCCTGCTGTTTCTTGTCTCCCCCACAGACCGTTTGCAGAAATCTGTAGCCAAGCTTGTAACACAGGTGAGAGTTTGAACATTTCTTCAGGTTAAACGTGCCGTCAGGGTCAAAGGTCAAAAACAAACGTCTGCTTTTGTGTCCGCAGTAGGAACGAACGTCTCCACCAATCGACGGAAGCGCAAGAGAGTCCAGGAGAGCAGCCGAGCACCCGTCTCCTCTGACCTGGGGATATCGACCAATCAGATTCCAGTGATGGTAAGAGACAAAGTCAGGAGTTCTTGTGAGGGCGTCGCTTAAAACCGTTTACGACGCGCGACCGGAAAACGATTTATGTGCTCCCTCTGTCTGAGTGAAGACAGCGGTTGATTCCAGTCGTCTCTGAAGTTAAAAAGAAATGTTCAGGGGGCGCTGGTGGTGCAGTGGTTAGAGCGTGTGCCCCATGTATGGAGGCCTTGGTCTGTCAAGCGGGCGGCCCAGGTTCGAATCCCATCTGTGGCTCCTTTCCTGCATGTCATTCCCCTCTCTCTCTCTCTCTCTTTGATTTCCAACTCTATCCTCTGTCCTATCTCTCCAATAAAGGTACAAAAAGCCCAAAACTAATTCTTAAATTCTTCAAAAAGAAATGTTCAGCTTGGGCGCAGCGCTGCATGATGTCACCTCAGCGTGTCCAATAGGAGGGAAGATCAGGTCACAACAGACGGTGTCCCACGTCCCTGAGCTCTAGATTAAAGACCGACCAGGACATTGGAGAAACCTGTTGTGCCCTGAGAATCTCATGAGACCGGGACGAGGCTACTTCTCCTTTGCAGAAGAAAGAACAGAGTTTAACCTTCCTGAGATGTAGACCATCGCTTCGGTTACCTAGCAACCCGTGCCATCGATCCTATATCACCCGGCTCTACCTTCCTGTCTTCTTTCTAACACCTCTCAACAAACTCTCACTTTCTCTTTTCTCTGGTGGGTATGACGGGCGGGGCGAGCGAGCACAAAGGGGGTTTTACCTCTGAGACACAGGAACTGTCCAGTTTCCTGTGAGACATTTCTCACAAGATGACCTCAGCGCGCCGCACTTTCCGCTTTTCTTCTCAGCGCTCAAACGCTTTGTGCAACCCCCTCACGAGCGCACACAGCCAGCGCTTATCTGCCCGAAAAACAACAGTAGGTCGACACGGGGCCTTAAACTCTTCTCTTGCGGTCAAATCATCGCGTCTGCACAGTGCGGCCTTTTACTTTAACTAACAGCTGAATGTTCAGACTGCGTTCTGAGGCAAGGTCGTCCACCTCTTTGTGCTAATGAAAGCTTCTCCACCGATATGTCGCTGACATTTGTCTCTTCTTGTCTGTCTGTCTGTGTGTGTGTGTGTGTGTGTGTGTGTGCGCGCCTGCAGCAGTGGCCCATGTACATGGTGGACTACAGCGGAGTGAATGTGCAGGTTCCCGGGAAGGTCAACTACTGAAGGTCGTCAAACCTGGACTGCAGCTACGGGATTAAAGGAGGAGGAGTCTGTCGGGACTCCCATCACACGCAACACTAACACTTTTTATCGGAGTGCTACGACTAAAACAATCTCTCCAGACTGAGTGCAGAGAGCTGAAGGCTTGACGCTGTGAATGACCAAGAAACAACAAAGAATGTATGTGGATGAAAATGTCGCAGGGCTAAAAAAAAAAAACAGAGCGGCTCGTTTTCTGTCTCCTGCCTCCTCACAGTGCCAGCAGGACAGCGATCACTTTTTGAGTTTCCTGTTCGAGCTGATAAACGGCAGTCATATTTGTTTTTTTGTTTTTTTTTAACCGAGCTGAAGTTATCTGCCCTCGCATTACTGAAATGTCTATCCACTGAGTCGTGTTGTTGGATCCAGCACTTGGTTGAAATGTATTAACTGACTAAAAAAACAAAAAAATGTCTTTGATAACAATCTGGTTCCATAACATTCAGATATTTGTACTTTTTATTTATTATATTTATTGAAATATAACATTACGTGCAGGGATGTAAAATACATTATTCTGTTTCACAGCTCCTCGAGGAGCCATCACGACGCTAACACACACACGCTACCAGTCACTCGCTAACCGCGGGTTAGCCGCTGATATTAAACAGCGGCCATGAAGTGTCTTCATTTACATGTCGGCTTTTTGTCCTCTGACGTCATCGTGTGCAGGGTGGGAAGCTTTTTAAAATCCTGTTTTAATGCTGTCCAAGGGCTGGGCAATATGCAGATGTGTCGAGATATTAGGGTGAGACAATATCGTTTTTATCCACGTCGTTTGTTGAGTTAAAGTGACGCCTCTCTCTCTCTCTCTGAGCCAAACTCAAAACCCGCCTTCTTAACAAACTACACAGCTGTGTGTGTGATGTAATTATTTATTTTATCATATTTAAGGAGCATTTTCTATGTATTATTATTTTATATTTCACTAATAGCTCGTTTATTTTTATGTCATTTTTCATGTGTGACGTTCGGCTCGTGTGGATTTGACCGAGGACCGAAACTATCAAGTATCGCCAATCAGTTAAAAAAAAAATATGGAGATATGATTGTAGGTGCGTATCGCTCAGTCCTTTGCTTCACTGCCGTGTTCCTGTTTGCAAAATCTAAAACAAAGAATCATCGTAGTTTAATTCAAAGCCTGATCCAAAGGTAGCTGGACGGGTCGATGCTCTTGAAGACGTTTCACCTCTCCTCCTCCGAAAGGATTCTTCAGTTTTAAACTTTCCGGTCGGACGGAGTGAGAAACTTAAGCCTCTGTGGATCGTTAGCATGCTAATGATCAACGTTAGCTGAGTCATTAACCTAGAGTCGTCACCACCCCCAGTCGTCTGTGAGTCGGAGTCGCATCATAGTTTAGCTAATTCTCAACCGATCATGAACTGGGAAAGCTAACGTTAGCATTGGACTAATAGTTTGATCATTCATTAGGTAGCGATAGCGCCAGTCCAAACAGCTAACGTTAGCATTGAACCCATCCTAGGATAACTTCTCGTTTAGCTCGCTATCATTAATGCTATGACTTCACACCTCTTCTACGCTATCATGTTTCACCATGAGCAAACATAATGTGTTTCAGAGCTAACGTTAGCTGTCGGCAATTTTACGCTGCGTTCCATTGTACTCGAAACTCGGGGAAAGAAACGACCTCCGACTCGGGAAAAGTGCAATGGGACGGCAAATTCAAGTCGGAATTCAATATCGGAAACGCGAGGCAACATCCATGTAGACCGAGTCGGTAGAGGTGATGTCACAGCAATATGGCCGTCCCCATGAAACAGGACTTGGAGAGGATGTAACTGTCGTGATGTGACGTATTTCAAACTAAAAAGGGATTGAACCAATCACAAGATAGAGGACGGGACATAATGTATGTGGATGAATTTGATTGGCTTGTTACCTTCGACAGAGCTTTTTAAATCGGTCGAAAAAATTATTTATAAATGAAAAAAATAAGTTTTTAATTTAAACTCTTAAGCTGGTCCTTGCGCACATCACTTAGCTGGCTAACGTTATGAGTTTACGGGAAATTGTAGAAAGCTTAACATAACAGCCATGCATTGTATCGTAATTTACTAGCTAACGGTACTTTGCAAGCTAGCGTTACTATTGGCAACGAGTTTTCCTAGCTGTTATAACTGTCGAGCGGTAATGCTAGCTTCTAAGTGCTTGAAAACTTGCGTTAGCTGAAACCAATTGTAGCTTTCAAACATTCCTTACGTACAGCTAGCTTATTACCGTTAGCTACATGTAGCTTAACTTTTAATACAAATTGCAAACCTGTTGCACACGCGGTAAAACAGCATTTCAGCTTCCCACCTCGAGCGTGACGCAAAAGGAAATTAGCCGCTGAGTGAAAATGGCGGATTGGGTTTTGTGGCAACGTGCAAGCCATCGGAAATTAAAGTGAAAACTGAACTGTCTGCAGTAATCACAAGACCTTCAGCAAACGGCCTCTTCTATGTTAGCACCACAGAAACGACGTGTAAAATATCTCATTAAAAGTCAGCCTGAATGTAACATGTAAAGGAAAGAATGGTATGTTATTCTGCGATGACTGTCTCTGGACTAACGATATTTAATATGCTGTACCTTAACGCCAATTAGGCCTTTGAAATAAAATGTGTTGCCTTGCACTTTCATTTGGTTGGTGTTTATTTGTGAATTAAAAAAACTTCACCACAGAGTTTTTTGTCTGGAATCCAAAAAGATGTTTTAGTCATTTATTCATTTTAGAAACTTATCCAAGAAAAGAATCTGAAGAACGCTGCTAATCAGGAAGTGGAGCCTCATTAGGACTTGTCTTCAGCCTGCATTCTTTCTAATGACCAGCAGGGGGCGTCTCCACTGGTTGCAAAAAGAAGACTAATAGTATTTAAAGGGATACTTCATCCATTTGCATGAAGCTTTGTATCATTAGAAACCTGGTAGTATTTTTGAATGGTCGTGCATCCCGCCTTAATTTTCCCCTGGGACGGGTAAGCTTTGTTTTTCTAAGTCTGAAAAGGAGCCTTTGATGACGCAAAAATTGTCATTTTGCGTCATCGGTGGTGAAACTACAACGCTAGTTCCTCGTGTTTTCATCACAACAGAAGCTAGAGACCTATCACAGATCAGTGGGTGGGACCTCACTCCCAGAATCTAAAAGACACGTCCGCCATCTTGCTTGGAAGCTATGCTAACAGGCTCTATGGAGAAAGCTGAGAAGAACCGACAATGGCGGAATTTCTATTAATACTGCATGCTGTTAAATATTTTAATTAAGATCCCACTTAAAAGTCTTTATATGTGATTTTTCACACTTAAATGTAGAAATCAAGTATCTCCTCTGAAAATAACTCTGTGAGTCATGACTGTCTACAATGGGTGTAACACCCGAGTCCCACTGTCTGTGATGTTTTCAGAGTTTTCAGAGTCCTATCTTCACTTTGTTTACATCGCCAGGACGGCCGGCTGACTCCTCCCCTCGTGTATAAAAGTTGTTTAATTGAGGGACTAGAGAAAAGAAGAATAACATACTGTACTCACTGCTTAACTGTGTTTCTAGATCACGCTCATTTCAGGTAAATTTACATGCAGTGTGAAGATACCAGCATCATAAAGATCGCTAGCATTAGCATGCTAACACAACAATGCAGCACAAGTTGTTTTGGTTTCATGCTGGTGCTCAAGGGCGACATCTGCTGGATCAAAAAATCACATATAAAGCCTTTAAAGAATAATGTGACTTTCTGATCCAGTAGGTGTCGCCCTTGAGCTCCAGCATGAAGCCAAAACAAACTGCTGTTAGGCCACGCCTCCTCCATACTGAAGCCTCCGCTCTCCTCCAGAGACACACCTCCAACCCCCCTCCACTCGCGTTCACATGAAGGAGTTATGAATTAGAACGCACCATAATTAAGCCTTAAGCGCAACCGAACCAATTTTCTTTAATGGTTATTTCATCATGTGATGGTCGAGTGTTTGTCCGTTGAGTTACATAAATCACAACTTGAAGGCTCTTTAAGGAAAGGAGGCGACATCGACTTCTCGTTTCATCTTCTGTTTTGTATTTTTCTAATGTGTAATGGTTTTAATGTTCTCTGGAGGTCGGGTACCTCTCAGCAGGACGATGGTTAATCTATAACGCTGGAGGGCAGCCATTAGCTCACCTCTGAACGCTCACACAACAGCCGAGTAATAAAACGACCACAGAGAGGAACCGGGGTCGACCTGAGGGTTTACACGATTACAATATCGACCTCGGAGCTCGAGGATCATTTAGCTCACTCTCTTTTCATGATCACTGCAGCATCATTGGATGTTACCTCTAAACCAATCACAGAACACAAACGGCAATCATCGTCTGATTGATGATCTGTGATTCCCTCAGTGCTCCGTCTGCACCCCCTCCCCTCTGTGCTCCCTCTTAAGCCACGCCCCCTCACTTACATGCACGAGCGCCGTCCCTCCAGGTCCAGAAGTGGACCTCAGCTCATCTCTGTCATTGTGTAGAAACTACGTCGTCTCATGTCTCATTCAGCGGTCAGTAAACTCTCAGTATAAACTCCTAAAGTCATCGGTGACGAGCTTTGAGTGTAGAGAGCGAGCAGGGAGACAGGGAGGCGTCTGATTGGTTCATCAGATTGGTACCTCGTGGCAGACAATGGTGGAAGTTTTTACAGACTTACAAACTGATACAGATGATGGATTTTCTTTGTTCCTTTTTCAGAGAACATGAGTTATTAATGTCTGTCAGGACTTAAAGACAATTTACACCAGAATCTTTAAAAAGTGAATCTGGAGGAAAATTACAAACCCTGAATTCAAACAACTTTCAGGCAAGACTTCCTCTGTCCGTAACCTCCCGGAGTTTAGCGCCCGTGCATCTCTAACGAGTCTCAGGTTAACGGTGAAATGTGAGATGTGTTGCAGCTTCACTCGGGGTCACTTCACTCGTATGAGCATGAAAAAGAAAACTTTTTTAATGTGGTTTTCTTGCAATTTATCACTAAGTAACTCTCTCTCTCTTCACTGTCCTATCTCTAAATAAAAGGCATAAAAATACAAAAAAAATCTTTAAAAAAAAAGAAAGATTTGGGAATCCAGCTGGCTTTTGACCCAGTTTAATCCAACAGATTAACTTTCGCCGCTTGCTTCCAGATGTATTTAAGAAAAATAATTCTCGACGTCAGATGAAACCAGAGACAGAGTCAGGATTCATTTCTTTATTGCAGACTTTTTTTTTTTCCAGTTTTGCTTGTATACATGTCAGACTGAGTTCAGCGCCTGTACTGCAGTACTGTGAGCAGATTAATGCGTGTGGATACAGGAGGTGAGTGTGTCTTGTTGAATCAAGACGAGTTTGATTACCTTGATTGTCACACTGTGTAAAGTTCCTAACCAGAGCTGCTGCTGCTGCTGCTGCTGCTTCTTCTTGTCTGTTTGGACAGAAGAGTCGAGGTCGTCGGAGAGGTTTTCCTTTTTCCCTTCTCACAAACTAACAAGTGACACAAATCATAGCTGAAGAAAACGCATGTGGGCTCATTTTCTGCAGTTTCAAAAAACAGGACAAATCTAAATGGAAGTGCACGAGTACGGAAGCCCGAGAGGACACACATCCATACATTTTATTCAACGCCGCTCTCTGGGAATAACCAGTCAATTTAGATCTTTCTGAGCTCTGGACTTATTTATCTTTATATCGGGGGTAACAACGCTGGGTTTCTTACTGACCGGTCTCTAAACTAAAAGGCATAAAAAGCCCAAAAATAATAAACCTTTAAATCAGCGTTATCTTTAGACGACTTAAAAAAGCCGAGATGAAAAAGATGACAGCTGATCTGTAATCCTTTCAGATCCCACCCCCTTCAGTTCACGATCAAAAGCAAACCTCTAAAAATCTAATAAATGCACTACTAATGGGACTGCAGATGGCCTAGTGGTTAGGTCTCGCCTCGTGTATGGCGGCTTTAGTCCCCCAAACGAGCAGCCTGGGTTCTAGACTGTCATTCCCCACTCTATCTCTGTCTCTCTGGTTTCCTACTCTACCCACTGCTCTCTCTCTCTCTCTCTAAAAAAAAGACGAAATGCCCAAAAATAAATCTTTAAAAAAATAAAGGACTGCGGTTAAATCCCCGGGGAGTCTCTGTGAAAATAAAAGTCGTATCTGCTGTTCAAGTAGGTACGGTTACTTTGATTTGATCGCTGCCTCGACTCTTCTCCGTTTCATCTCACAGTGTGTTTAAGGTTCAGGTATCAGCTGGTGACTGCGTCTTAACACCAAATCACAAACTTAAAGTCAGAAACTTAGTAACAGCCTGTTTCTAGTCTGTGCTTGTTGAAGATTTAGTCCCTTACAAATGCCCTGACTTTGTCTGGTTCACACATCACGCTCTGCAGACACACACACATCCGCTTAATGGTGTGTGTGTGTGTGTAGATTACAGCCAACTTGTGATGGAAGGATTTCTATTTAGTGTTTGTAAAGATGACGGTAACATACCGTTATTGAACTGATGCAGCTTTTTAAAATCACAGACTGTTCCTCTCAGATTCCTAAAAACACTTTTTAAACCCAAACAGAGTTCAGCTTCATCCACCAGCCTGTGTGATGATTATTATTAGTATTATTATTATTGGAATGAGAGCGATGTGTGTCGCCTACAGTGAAGGATGTGATACATCATTAAGATTCATGGAGACATGTTTTGATCTGTAGTCGAGAAGTTAAGATTGTAAATATCTTCTTTTTTTTTTCCACAGATACTAAAAACTGATCCGATCTGAGCCGGGAGATTTGTGATCTGTTGTCTCACTTATAAAATGTATAGAAGTATGTCCCTGTCGGGCTTCCGTAGCTTAGACATCAAATCAGTTTGGGGATTAAAATCACTAAAATTAAAAACAAAGAGGTGTTAAAACAAACGATTCTCCTCCTCCTGGACACAACTTGTTTTTCTTTTTTTTTTTTTACAATATTTTCGTTTCTTGTTTTTATTTATTTACATCATTTCAGTTATTCCCCCACCCCCCCCCGTCTCGTGGAATCGGCTGATATATACTCCCTCTGCTACGAGAAGTTTCAGCGTCTTTGTGCCGAACACACACAAAAAAAAAACGGTTTCCACTTCGATTGCATAACTTTCCCAATTCTGAAAACAAGTTAACTGCCCTTTAAAACAAAAAGAAATCACACATCATGTCAGCTAAATGCACGGTCACAACTAAAGTGCTTAATGAGATTTTTGATCCCCGATGAAAGCTGCCATCGTCATGGAAACTAGACGAGGGGGATACAGACGAGGCGTTCGATGAAGAAAAAAGAACGAACACAAAGACATCTCCAGTGTGTGTGTGGAGGGGCCGATGAAAAGAGGCTCGGGGGGGTTAAGAGGAGCCTCAGAGTTCAGTCTCCTGGAATATGTGAGGAGCAGGAATGTAGTGGAGCATGAAGCACTCTGCGTTCTGCTCGCATTTTCCCCCGTACGTCCGCTCCATGAGGTTTTGGACAGATGTTGACATTAACGTTATAACAGCGGCGGTGGGGGAGTGGGGGTTGCAGGAGGTCCACCCGGCCGCAGAGGGTGGAATATGAAGGGTTAATTCAGCAGCGAGAGGAGGAGGAGTGTGGAGCTGTGACCTAGCTGCTGCTGCCGCCGCCCCCGCCGCCGCCCGGAGCTTTGAGGCAGTCCTCGTTAACGCCCTGAGAGGCCAGCTCCGACAACACATTGTCCAGGTAGTTGGGGTCGGGGTAGCCGTGGCCCGAAAGGTTGGACATCATCTCCGTTTTGTGGTGGATGCCGTTCCACACCACCGTGTCGGGCTCGCCGGTGGTGCTGGAGGTTCCCACGATGAAGATGAGGCGCCGCATCCACGCCACCTTCAGCAGCTCGAGCACCTTGAACAGAGAGGAAAAAACATCAGAGAGGAAAACCTACAAAGATAACGCTAATTAGAAAACATCTGTAACAGCTCTGACGTACTAATCAAACTCTTTAAAGGTTACTGATTATTCAAAATCCTCTTCTCCATGTTCCTCTAACTCTAACATGTGTCTCTAGTCTTCAAACCCCCCAATGATGAGAAAAGTCCATCCTCTCTGTCTTTACCCTGCTCCACTTTTCAGAAAATGTGTGCTCAAACAGGCTGTTTGTAGATTTTCCCTTCATGACATCACAAGGGGCAGTAGCCCCTCCCCCAGGTGGGTGACACAGCTAGGTGTTTGTTCTGCCCTCTGAGTCTGCCTTCTCACCGTAAACAATAGGACATGGAGCGAGAAAGCCCAAGACACACAAGCCCTTCCAGAGAGGGGGTGTGGTCAGACACAGCTCATTTACATATTTAAAGGTACAGACACAGAAAGAGCCTGTTGGAAATGCTGTCTTAGCCTAACTTTTCAGGGCGCACTCACACTAGCAAAGTTGTCCCAGACTGAGATCATTAATGGTGGAAGTGAGGATAATAACTTTCCTTTAAATTAATAAAAAAAACAAGTCATAAATCTAAAAGAAGAAAGTGAAGTATTCTGTGAGGGTTTTTTTAGACTAATAAACACTTTTATGAGTTTTTAATGAAAAATGTCCCTCATACATATTTGATTCTTTAACCCTGATGTGAGAACACTAAGTGTCACTGTGTTTCACTTTCCTGAGAGTTAGTGAACTCGGCCGTAAAGAGAAAACAGCTTTCATTGTCTTTAAATCGGTCGTTAAAGAATCCCTTAAAGATGGATGTGCCAGTTCTCTGCGTCTCTGGACTGAAAGTCTGTAAACAAACACTGAAGCTTGAAGAGGATGATGTAACTTCTGTTGATGAAGGAAAACAAAGCCGTCTAACTGATGGAAATGAACCGAGCATCTTAACACTTAAGTCTGATTTTAACTGACGAACTCCTTGCGCTGTTTTTACGACCCTGTCATCACTCCGAGATGTTCCCGTCATGTTTTCTGTTGAGGTGGGAGTGTCTGAGGAACGACACGGGGGAGGGGGGGGGACAAAAAAACTGCAACTGGAATAATTTGATCCAATTCTCCTTTAGTGGATTACATCAGAGATTATTTATAGAAGTGTGCAGCTGCAGAGAACCAGCGTGCAGGGAAATGAGCCACTTAATCGCCATGGAAACAAAAGACAACTTTCACAACGAGCACAAAGTGTTTCTTCATATAATCACAGAGAAACGCTGCTCCTGGTGGAGCTGATGGAGCTCGTCCTCTCTGGGACAACGTGTGAATGAACGTATCAGAGGTTAGGGTAAAGCATGAAGAATAATCGATCCCCGCCTCCTTCATCTAGAAATCCCGGAGTGTTCTGTTTGTATCCGACTAAAATGACTCAAATTCAAAGTCGGTAAAGTAACTCTCATGTTCTCTGATGTGCGATGTGGTCAGAGCTTTCCTTTTTTTCCATCAATTTTTTCCTCCTGTCTTGTCGTGTGTGTGTTGTATTAGGACGTTATGTTCTAGAAGTAACCGTGCTCAGGCCCGGTTAGTCCTGGAGCAGTGTGAGTGCAGGCCAGCAGGGGGGAAAGGGGAGGGGGGGTAAGCATGCTTCAGTGGGATATGGAGCAACTTCTCCTAGTGTGAGTGCACCCTCAGTCTCATGTATAGAGGCGCCGAGGTACAGACGAAGAAGAGAGCAGATTTATCAAATCTGTCCAGGGACAACAGATGAAAATGAGCCTTTTTGATAACTCTGGCATATTTACCGAAATGTTTATTAATATGCAATGTCCCTGTAAAATAAAATGAATAAAATTCAATACAACTCCTCAGAGAAAACTATGATGTAGCAATCAGGGAGAAAACATGAATTAAACCGCTAAACCAAATAAAATCAACTCGATCTGAAATTTAAACTTGAACTTTGAATTGTGTCGTTGTTGTTTATGTGGTCGGCTTCAGTTTTTAGCTGCAGCAAAGTCAAAGTGTTTCCAGTAAAGTGAGAGAGAAGTTGAGAGAAGTTTGCTCCATGAATTCTCTTGTGTGTAGTGAAGCAGTGTTGAGAGTTTGAGGCGTGTCTGTGGAGCAGATGTGGTCACAGCTGTGTGTCTGAGTCGGGATCCGTTTCCTCACCTTCCTGCCCTTGTCGTTGTCCGGGAGGAAACAGAAGCGAGGGAAGCCTCTGCAGGTGAACGGCTGCCCGGGGTTTGGATGCTCTGGACCCTGGAGGAGAAAAAAGGACTGAGTAAAAAAAACAAAGTTCTGATGAATGGAAACATTAAAGGTTTGATATTAGAGGTCTGATCTGATAATAACCGAGCTCTGGATTAACAGTCAACAAACGGCTCGATACTAATCTGATCATGTGACTGTAAGTCAGTGACACATGAAGCTCTTTGTTAGGAAGTTTCCCCAGAAGGACAAAAACAAAAAAGAGAGAGCGTCACTGAAACCTCGACAACAAGAAAGCAAGTCTGAAACTTTTGGAATAAAACTGGAGTTCAAACTTTTTAATGCAGTGTCTCTATTTCAAACATCTCCTCATCTGTCATATCGACCAGAACACCAGAAGAAACTCTTTTTTATGCTGGAGAAAAGAGGATTATTTTAAAGGAAGTCCAATTAGAAGGGAGTCTTTAAACTTAAAGCCTTTCCGCCTGTAAAAACTGTAACAGGAAATCCTTCAATTAAGAACACAAACTGACATATCTCACTCACATGGAAGAGGTTTCAGTGGGTTTTTTGGCTCACACTTTTTAATTTTTAAAGTTTTTTGAGGAGCTTTTTAAGCCAAAAGTGCAAAACATACAAACCATAGAGAAGAGGGGACGTTAAGACAGTTGGACAGAAGAAGAAAAAGAAGAAAATCAAAGAAAGGAGGAACATTTCAAGATGGTGGCGAGTAAGAATGAGAGGGGGTGTATGAATAGGTTTCTATGGACGGGTAGGTTTGTGTGTATTTTTTATTTTTTTGGCTGCTATCATTTTTCTGCGCACTAACCACTCAGCTCCTGGCATCCCAGCTCCTACTGATTTTTTTTATGCAGTAACCACCTTCTCCCCAAAACATCTCACCTCCTTTTGGGGCCAGATTTGTCCCGTGGGTTGAAGTTTGACACCACCCAGAGCTGTACCCCTTAGCGTTCAAGCGTACCTGTAAGCCCGGCGGTATGCTGTAGATGATCTGGATGGTCCCACAGTCCGGGTGTCCCGGCAGCGACTGGGCCACGCTGTAAATCTCCATCTTTCCTTTGGGCTGCGTGCCGGTCTTCTCTCCGTAGATTGTCTTACACGAGGGGCACTGCAGGCTGCCGTCCTGACGAGGAAACACACCACAGGAGAGATGTTTAGAACCGCTCTCATCAACACAGACTTTCAGAGAGCTGACTAACATGTGGAATATGATGTAACTGTGATGATCGTCAGACATGAACCTTTATGTAATGTGACTGACTCAGACAATAACGAGACACATAAGGTCAAAAAACAACTGGTATCTATCTATCAATGAATCTGATGGGTGTCAGACTTGGCGGTGTGTTGCTGTGGAGTTAGTGCCGTGCTGATTGGGAAGTTTACATGAGCTCATATTGTTGCTACAACATTTCAAATTGTTTTGCTGTGGCGCAATACGATGGAATCAAAAGCACCCGGGAACAGGAGACAAAGTGGAAACACGCGCAGGAGGAGGCTCACCCAAGGCCATGTTACTTAGGTCGCTGAGAGTACTGGACAGGACAGGACAGGACACAGCCGATAGTGCAACGTTTCATTTTGCCAAATGGAGGCTAAAACACTCGAGCTAACGTGGAGATTCAAGGCAGACTATTCAGACCAATCAAGACTCTGCCAGGTATTTCTGAACATAGTAACATCTCAGCTAACATGTACAAAATGTTTTAATATCTGTATATTGTTCTACGTCTTTCTTCTCTCATGAAATGTGTATGAGCGTCTGTGCGTGTGTGTGTGTGTGTGTGCGCGCATGACTGGTTGATTAGCTAGCGAGCTAAATCTGGTACAAATCTTCTCTTCTGAGACTAATGTTGTCTTTTTGTACACTGTCCCTGATTCAGCGTCGTCGTCTGTTTTCTCACTCGATTTAGCGACTTTGGGAGCCATCCTCAGCAATAAAATATACCGAAAAAGACTGTTGTGTTGCTCAGAAAATTGCAGTCGAGTGGTCATATGCAGGTGGGGGGAACTTTGAAATAATTATTATGGAAGGTAAACGCGTCTCTACTCCATGTGCGCTAAACCGCACTGTCCCTGATTCAAATAAACTGATAAACTGTCTGCAGTCTGCGTACCTTTGTTCCGTTGTTGTACATGGCCAGCATGCAGAGCATGTGCAGGGTGTGTCCACATTTGATGAATTTGCCCACAGTGGCGGGCAGGATGCTCTGACCCCCCTCTTCTGAGACCGCTGTCTCGTAGCCGGACGCATTGGACAGTTGATCCATGCAGATGATGCAGTCCTGAGGGGGTCAGGGGAAAGTTTGATTAATGTCACACATGCAGTTTTATTTTATACAGTGTTTAAATTGATCTTTTCACCTCTTTTCCATCACTGTCAGGTAACATTTGACCCTAAAAAAATCAGTGTCAGCACAGTTCTCTGAAGAAATCCTCCAGTAATATTCAGGAGTGCATGTGTGAAAACTTCTGAACACTTTCTTTTTTTTTTGGTTGATGTCTGTACGGAGCGTCAGACGTTTACCTCATCAGGTACTCCGGCCACCACCTCCATGTACCGCTGAATCACCTCCTCCGGTCGCTGAGAGGAGGCTGAACGAGGGAGAAAAGAAAGAAAAGACAAAATGATGAATGAGCAAAAAACAGGACAAAAAAAGTCCAACAAGCTGCCACATAAAAAGAGGAACTTGGTTTTCTTAACACTTTAAAACATGACCCTTATACTCTGGACTTCTACACATCATGTCTCTGCTACAAAGTCCAGGCTGCTGCTAAAAAAATCAAGAAAATGACTTCAGACAGGAAACAAAAAGATGCAAACAGGTGAAGCCACAGAAGCAGTCTGACTGTATGATGACAGAGTGAATGTGATGAACAACATGAGCGATGGAGACATTTAGTTCAGATCATTCTCTCAAACACACACACGAGCGTCAAGTCTGTTTAGGAGACAAACTTTCCATCTGAAGCTAACCCAACGTTCTTCATCGAGTGTGTTTTTAGGTGAATAACACGGAGAGACAGCGACGCGTCTTTTGACTCCACATTCTGAAGGTGTTGGAGCTCAGCTTGTTGAGAAATCAGATCAAATAAAAAGTACTAACTGAGACGTTTCAGGACATTTTGTTTTCCTGTTTTCCCTCCTGTTTGATTTTGAAGTGCAGGAATTTAAATTAAAAGTGACGGCCAATGAGAGCGAAGGACATGTCATCCTGATCAAAACAAATGAGAAGCAATGAAAACAGACGTAATATTTAAAAACCTGCCGAGTTCAGACACCACACAGACCGCCTTTATGTTTTAAATTAACTTCTAAATCAATCATGTTTCTATTCACAAAGTTAGACAGTGACTATGATGCACAATATGTCCAACATGACGGCATCAAGGTCTTCAAAAATATCTTTAGGGCGCAGAGAAAGTCAACAAATAGTGAGCTGTTGTTCCAGTCTGAGACACTCCTCTTTGCAACCACCATTTACTGTAAATCAGACGGAGCCTTTGAGTGTCTGTTTCTTTTCTTTTTTTGTTCATTTATGTCAATTGTCTTTATTATTTTTAGTTATTGAAGAAATGTTGTGGAATGTTTGTGTAGTGTGAAAAGAATAATATATAATATGAATTTGCAAAATGTATTGTCACAATATAAACTGCAGAAGCCAGGAAGATTAGCTTCCCGCTATGCTGAAGCTAATGGGGATCCAAATAAAACAAACAAACAAACTGTAGAAAACATGGACACTGGCTCGGTGATGTTTCCGTTTGTTTCTGAAGAGGAGTTATGAAGCTCAGTCTGCCTGAGTCGGTCAATCCAGAAACAGACAAAGTTATGGAGGTGAGGCGGGCCTTAAGGGTCCTGGTCAACAGCTACCATACGCCCACCTGTCAGTCAATTCAGCCACGCCCCAAAATATGCAATTATGCATTTTAGGCTTAATGAAATATAAATGTGAGTTTTAGGGCCGTCACTTTTATTTTTATTTTTTATTGAGCCGTTTGAATTCAAACATTCGGTCTCTCAGCGCACCAAGATGTCTGAAGTAGTTTGTAGTTTGATCCAGCAGGGGGCGCTCTCAGCGGAACTTGACCATTTAATGCACTCTTGAGGAGTGTTGTGTTGTAGCAAAGCAACGGGCCGGGGCGTGATTCAGGAGACTCGTCTCTCTGCTGACAGCAGCCGGCTGCTTCGGTGTCGAGACACGGGGTCGCTACTGACCCGCAAATATTTGTGTGTTCCTCTGTGAACGGTTGTTCTCGTCAGGAGGTCATATTGTGAATAAACAGAGAGCTGCACTCGGTCCCAATCCAGTGTATTTACTTGTTTTTTTGGAGAATAATATTAAAACATAAATCAGTCCTTTTGGATTGCCTGAAGGCGGTTTGGTTTTAGTCTCATTATTACAGTAAAGTTAAGAAAAAAAAAAAGTTTTTGTCTGTACATTACGTGTATTTTTATACCTTTGATCGAAGTTTATTTAAATAGAAAGTGACATCACGAGTGAGTTTAGCACCAGGCTGTTAAACTGGCTTTTTAACATCGCCTCTTACGTGACTTTCTGTGCTTTTGCAGCCAGCCTCAAGTGGACACTGGAGGAACTGCAGTTTTTTTGAACTTCCAAATTATTTGTCGTAGTTTGCCGCTTTCTATCGCCATGGAAACGACTCATTCATCCTGGTAAGTCGTGCCCTGGGGCGTAATCTTCCTAATCAGCTGCTTTACTCTAAATACTTACTAAATTGGAAAACAAACTACAAAAGGGAACACCACGCTGTGTCAAAAAGGACTTGAAAAAGGAAAAACTGTTGAGACCATGAAGTCATTGGGAGGATGTTTGCAGAGGTAATGATCCAGGTCAGGAGTAAACTGGGTTTGTTATTGATTTAAACACAGCGAGGCCTCATGTTTAAACCAGCAAGAGCGCACGTGAAAAAGCCAGTTTTAAAGCAACCTTATATGAACTTTACTTTTAAAACGCAGTTACTATGCCCACTTCCTGTGTACAGTCTGTTATCCAGACTCATGAGTGAGGCCTTGTATCCTGCGCTGAAGCATCTGGGTTTGTTTTTCAGGTCTTGTAGACGCTGGTTACGCTTCATTAAATCCTGTCAAATATTGAAGTTTTGTTATAAATACTAAGTCTGGAGTCACACAGCTGAAGGCGCTGTTTGCACTGTTCCACATTTGTCAGACTCACAGCACCTTTTTTTATTTTAACACCATTGGGGGAGGGTGGAGGGTGGGGGTGGGGGGGGGCTAGAAGGTGGTTTAAAAAAAAGAAATTAGCTGCTTGTTAGATCTTTGAGAGCTGGAAAGTTAAGTGTGGGAAGCCGGATTTCACGGTGGATGAGCTGCTGGAATTGGAGGCTGAACGAGTGAAATAAGAAATCGGGGAAGGCAGAGAAGTCGGAGATAGCAGACAAAACACAAGCAGGGGTTTCCAGAGAAGCGTGAACACACACTATGAACACATGAGGACAAATGGAAGCGAGCCGATGTGTGATGAAATGTTGGTCAAGCCTGCGGAGATGGGGCAAAAAGTAAAAAAAAGGAAAGAGGCGGATGAAGGGTCGGTGGCGTGGTAGCTACCTCTCCTGTGCTGCCTCTTTGCTCTCCTAACTGTACTGCTGCTGCTGCTGCTGCTGCTGCTGGGGGGGCTTGCTGGGCCTGCTGGCTGGGGGGAGGAGAGGAGGAGGAAGAGAGAAAGGAGCAGGCTGTTGCTGCTGCTGATGCTGCTGTAGCTGTAGCTGTAGCTGTTGATGCTGCTGATGCTGCTGATGCTGCTGCTGAGGGAGGGGGGCAGAGGTGAAGTGCACGCCGAGTCCCACTGCTGACATCAAAATGGAGGCCATGCCTGGAGCAGGGGGGGAGGGTAGGGGTTGGGTGGGGGTTTAGGTAGGATGGGATGGGGTGGGCAGGGCGGGGCGGGGGGGCAGGTGAGGGTTGAGAGCAAGTGGAAAGATGCAGGAGCAGAAAGGAACAAATCAAAGGTATGAGAAATGTAGCAGCAAACTGATGTTCTCCACCGTGTCCGTCATTCATTCACACAAAAACAGACATCAGGTACCTTCAAAACAAACTGACCACGTCTTTACATTTAGTCGTGATTAAGAAGTCGACCACAGATCTCCTTTAGAATAACTACAGGTAATCAACAAACCTGTAGCCATGATGGAGCCATATTTGCACAAACACTTTTATTTATATTTATGTCCAACATTTATTTTTGCTCTGCCATAAGAAATTATTGAGTTGTGTTTTTTTATTCATCTTATTGCTTGAGACTTCTCTCTCCCCTAAGCCCTGATTGGTTGAAACATCTTTTTTTATATGTGTTTTAGTCGGTTTTAATAGAAGATATACTTCAATTCAACATTTCACTCCTGAGCTGGTGGGGGTTCAGTTCTTGCTTGAGGTCACCTCGGCAGTGATCAGGAAGTGAACTGGCACCTCTCCAGCTACCAGACCAACATCCAGATTTGGTCCCCCCCCAGGTCTTGAACTGGTGTCCCTCCTGTTCCCAGCCCGAGTCCCTACAGACTGAGTTACTGCTGCCCTCATAACAGTTTTCCTTCTCTCTCATGTGTTGTTCATTTCTACATCAGTGTGTCATGATGGAGGTCGATCTTGCTGACTGCAAACAAATCTACCTACAGGTACAAATAAAGTTACCTGAACCTGATAAAATTCTGCAGCCTGAGCAACATTTGTGTAAAAAAAGTATATTTCTGTCTCTGCTTGAAGCTGATCCAGTCACCTCTCTACGAAGCTGAATGTGTGTTAGATCTTCCTTCAACACTGACGGCAGCAGAAGTTTGTAATGGGATGCGTTTGAAGCTAAAACTGAAAAATAAACAGCGAGCATTAAATAGAGAGCTGATTAGCTCTAATATTCATTACCCACTAATGATCATTAAATCTCCACATTTAGAGAAGACACCACACGAGTGACCTTCCATTTGAAACGATTCACCAAAGTCACGGTGCGGCACGTCGCTCACTAATGAGGTTCTGCTCCAGCAGCTTCCTGCACGCCGACTCTTTTCATTCAGTCGGCTTATCACGGCCCACAAACGGACTTATAATTAGAGAAGCGCTTACTGTGCATGGCAATTTCACCATTTTGCAGCAATAACTATTTTCCTACCCGCAATATTAAAAGCCTGATGTGCTACAGTATCATGCTACGCTTTAAATCACACTTCATGAGAGGGAAGTGAAAGTCATAAATATTTAGAACGGCCTGGAATTTAAATGAAGTGTCAGATTCTTAAATGTAATCATATCCGTCCTGTATGCGAGGATTTCAAACTTCAGATACTTTTTGGATTATAGTGAAATTGTGACATATTTTCACCGTTGGTCAACTCGACAACTCTTGTCTGGTCGATAAAATGTCATTAAATAAACAAAGGTCAGAGTGAGCTGATGTGAGAACACAGCAGGATATTCTGCAGAGAATTCAGCTCGAGCCAATAGGAGGGTGGAATGACGTTTATATCCTGTTACTGCTGCACGATGCACAGTGTCTGCACGCCACCGCTACGATCTCCAAGCATGTAATAAAACTGCTTTTACTGGAGAGTCTGGTGTTCTCCACTCTTTTGTTGACAGAGCATTGATATAAAGGCAAATATTTTCATTATAGCGTCTTATAGCGGACTCTGTTGCTACGTCCCGTACTTTCTTGGAGACCCCACCGCACCCCCTCCTGTCTGACAGGGATAGTCTCCCACTGTGAGGAGAATATGTGAACAGACAGGTCAGGAGAATATCTGGAAATGATCTAGATATTATCAAGAGTGCAAATGTGAAAACGGCTTTAAGTTATCTGGTGGCGATTTGCATTATATTTTGATGTCTGGTCACAATGGTCATCCGCACCGTTGGGTGCCCCCCCCCGCAGCGCCATTCCCCCGCTGGCCAGCGCGGCCACACTACACAGGACTATCCATGCCTAAGCACGATTACCTCTTGTACATAACGTCGTAATACAACACATGCACGCTTTATGTTATTATGAAGCGTGCTCAGTTTACAAACAGGCGGACGAGAGAGAGAGAGAGAGAGAGAGAGAGAGAGAGAGAGACAGAGAGAGAGAGAGAGAGAGAGAGAGAGAGAGAGAGAGAGAGAGAGAGAGAGAGAGAGAGAGAGACAGAGAGAGAGAGAGAGAGAGAGCGAGAGAGAGAGGGAGAGAGAGTGAGAGATAGATAGAGAGAGAGAGAGAGAGAGAGAGAGACAGAGAGAGAGACGAGAGAGAGAGACAGAGAGAGAGAGACAGAGAGAGAGAGACAGAGAGAGAGAGAGAGAGAGAGAGAGAGAGGGAGAGAGAGTGAGAGATAGAAGAGAGAGAGAGAGAGAGAGAGAGAGAGAGAGACAGAGAGAGAGACGAGAGAGAGAGACAGAGAGAGAGAGAGAGACAGAGAGAGAGAGACGAGAGAGAGAGACAGAGAGAGAGAGAGAGAGAGAGAGAGAGAGAGAGAGACAGAGAGAGAGACGAGAGAGAGAGACAGAGACAGAGAGAGAGACGAGAGAGAGAGACAGAGAGAGAGAGAGAGAGAGACAGAGACAGAAAGAGACAGAGAGAGAGACAGAGAGAGAGAGAGAGAGAGAGAGAGAGAGAGAGAGAGAGAGACAGAGAGAGAGAGACAGAGAGAGAGAGACAGAGAGAGAGAGACAGAGAGAGAGAGACAGAGAGAGAGAGAGAGACAGAGAGAGAGAGACAGACGCCCGCACATCAGAGAACAACAGAGAACATGACAGCTACTTTGTGTCTTATATTGAGTCTTGTTATTCAGATACAGACATGAAACTCTGGATTTCTCCTGAATGAAGGCTGTCAGCGTTGTTTACCTGCGTGTTTGTGCTCGTGCATGAAGTGTACCGTGCTGAAGTACGATACGGAGCGGTCACACCGGTCAAACGAACTGGACTTTAGCGTTGAAGCGTGCTTGGGCACGGTACGGATGGCCAGTGTGACCACGCCCTAATACATAAATGAATGTATACCACCGGTAGAGGCATCATTCATTAGATATATAAAAATCAGTGTTGGGTGGAGCTGTGGGACAACTGGTCGTCTTACTGGTTCAAACACAGAAAGCTCAAGTTAATCATGCTTTTCATTAAGGAGGAAACTTCTTCACACTGTCTTTAAAACAAAGCCGGTGTGGAGGCTGCTTTCATGAGTCCTGACAGGCTCAGATTCTTTTGTGCTTCATTGACAGGACCCCTCTCTTTAGAAAAAAAAGGACATAATGGTCACCTGACTGTTTTCAAGTTTGACATTTAGGGAGTGTTTGTTTTATTTTTAAACCTTTTGTCTTCCAGCTTTTTGTGGCACGCTGTTCCTAACCAGACCGACACTCGCGGGACAAACGCAGAGAGAAAAAGCACATTTAAAAAACATGCTGAATAAAAACCTGCAAACTTCTAAAAAAAAAAAAAAGAAGTGTGCAGCAGAGAGAGACGTGAGTAGAGGTCAGACAGGATGGATGGTCAGTGACCCGTTTACCTGCCAGGGCGGAGCTCACACTGGTCGATCCGTTCAGCTGCACAGAGATGGAAGGAACACTGCAGGACAGGAAGCAAGGACAGGGACGTTCAGTCAGTGAAAACAGGAAGAACAAAAATAACCGTTTCAGATCATGTTCATCTTCACAGACGTGCGGTGACATTTGGAAAAAACTTCTGGCACAGAATCAAAACAAGATGACGAAGCTTTACTGCGAATGAGCTGTAAAGGATGATTTGGATTCTAGAGCCGGACCGATTTATCGGCACATTAGCTTATCCAGTCACTATCGGCATCGGCTAATTTTATCACAGATATTACTTGATTTATTCACCAGTCATAGAGCATTTCATTTCAGTTTCACTGTATCAAACTAGCAGTTCTCTTTGACCAGCAGAGGGCGCTGTATGGATTACAACAAGCATCATCACTCTCCAGAGTGTCAAGCGATGATGCACACACATGTTCAGTTACTTTCATGTCGAGTGACCATCTTGACTTCATTATAAATCTTTCCTATAAGTTTTTGATTACTTCATTTGAGGGATCAACTCAATAAAATGTTATATCTATGTGTCTCTTTAGATCGAACATACATCGCAGAAAGATATCGGCCGATATATATTACAATGTTACAATTCACTTAGCAGACGCTTTTATCCAAAGTGACGTACATCAGAGAGTAATACAACACAAATCCATTATATCCAATATATTATATCATTTCTCTCCCTAATATTGGTATTGGCCTCAAAAATTCCATATCGGTCGGGCCCTTGATGATTTATATTCACTTAAGATAAGATAGTCTAATAAAAAACGATAAGGGCTCGCAGATTGACTTTTCAGCAGAACCAACACCCTTAATGATAAGGAATCTGAACTCAACAAATCTGTTATGATGTTAAACGACCTTCTGCAACAATGAAAGAGAAATTGTCAATAAAGAAGTATGATGGAGCACTTGACCTATCCAGTATGTGGCGGTAAATAGACTTTTTTTGATGGATTTGCATATTATTTTATATTATAGGATTACCAAAGTCTAAAAAATACAAATCAAACATGACAATGAAAAGCAGCAAACCCTGCCTGATTTATGAGAGGAGAAACCAGTTCTTCTATGTGTGAGAAGTAACTTATAACACTCATTTATTATTTAACTCAGCTGTAGTTGCAGCTCCACTTTGTCAATAAACAGTTCAGTCTGTAAAATGGAATTGTTAAAAATGGCAGCTTTGTAGACCTCTGAGGGACTTCTTCTCGTGCCTGTTTTTTCTTATTAAGAGCACAAAACACAAAATTTAAAACAACAAAAGTTTCAAGGGACGAAGAAGGAGACGGCAAAGGTTGTGGTGTGTTAACAAAACATCTTAAAGTCCATGTTAAGCATTAGAAAATATGTATTTTATGTTTGTTACACAACAGAAGACTTTGTTCTTAACTACCAGGACAAAAGTTCTCTCTGCTCCGAGATGTCCGTTGAATGTGCTGAAACCTCCAACCCCTTCAAAAACGCCGTCACACAGACGCAGTCCACCCTCACCCCCTTCTACTGAACAGTCAAGGCTCACAGACCCCCCCCCCACAACAGAAAGACGCGCCTCTCTCAACAGTCAATGGCCCTGTTCATTGTGCAATTACGCCACAGCGCCATACTGAATCTCTGTCGTCATTACGCCTTTAGACATTCATATAGATTCCACAACTGCGTCATATCGGTCTCACAGTCTGAATTATCATTGGCTTGCAGCTTGCACAGCAGGAGCTCAACACGCACGCACGCACGCACGCACGCACGCACGCACGCACGCACGCACGCACGCACGCACGCACTGCTCCCCTGCTGGCTCTGCCAATCCTGTCTCGCCTCTGTAACGCCACCATAACTACCTCTGAAGCAGCACTTTGTACCTTGATTACGCGACACTCATATTGAGGACCAAACGTCACAGGATTGTAAATATCACATATTGAAGCAGCAGTCTGAATAGAGTTATCAATGATAATGACATCTGACATGTTTGAGCCACCAAAGAAAAAATCAGATCCTTAACCTGAGGACCCTGACCTTCCTGAAAGTCAAATAAAGTCATTTATAGTTTGTTTATGCAGGCGGTTTTTGAGTTTTGCTAAAAGAAGGAGAGAGGCGGAGGAGGATGAAGAGCGACAGAGGGAGAATCTTAAGAACTCGATATATCTCCAGGCCCATTCAAATAACACGGACATCATGTGTGTTTGACCATCAAAAATCACTTTTCAGACGTATAAAAGTTTAAAACAAAAGCAGGAAATGTGTCTTTGACCATGTGAGGCCCCTGATAACCTATCGACAGAAGGAAGCAGTTGGCTATCTTTCTACTAGCTTGTGCAACATTTTCAAAGAATCCCTGAACACACTGATTCGCATCAACTCAACACAAATAATTATGCAAACGGAAAATAGGTTAGAATAACTCAATTAGACATCATAATAGAAGTTGTCATCTATTCTTTATAAAAACACCATCCAGTATAATAATAACTGTGAGCATTCATCTGGAAGAGGACGAGTGTGTGCTACAATACACACCATTTCACATTCCTATTACTGATTCCAGCGGCTGGTGAAACACTAAATTAAACTTAATGTGGAAGAAAATTAAAGCTCAGAGCAACTGTATGTTAACTGAATATTCATGGCAGCACTAAGTAAATAATGTGTTCTGGAAAGCTTTTTTCCTCTGCTGTTAGGAAAAAGAAAAGAAGGAAGGCTGGAGATGACACAGACTAAAAGTCACAGGACCGGAGCCTTAAACAAACAAACCACTGCAGGGCTTGAAGCTCCACATCACTGTGTGTTATTCTTGTTTTACAGGATGGGTCAAAGTGGAGACGGACAGGAAAGATAGAGGAGGACGGGAAGAAGGGAAGGGTGGAGACGGGCTACCCTGATATAAAATCCCACGGCGGGATGACCCTGCACTCATGTGGTCCCAACTCGGAAAATGATGAAATTCAGTGGAAAGAGAGTTGGAAATATCTTCCAGCCAATTTTGCTGAGTTGACAGACTTGACGTCATATTACAGAGCCACATGGCTGACCACAGAAATGTTTTTAAATTCCCTTATTGCATATCCATTCTTGAGCCATTTGTAATTTTCAAATGGTATGATGATGCAGTGTCTAACAATTGTTTTAACAAACATGAAGAAGTCAGATTTGGAACTATTCAAATAGCCTGTAAATTAAGGATGACTCTCAGGAACATCTAATTCTGGTTTCTTTACTTAAACCTCTTTCACCCACACACACACACACACACACACACAGGTAGGTACCAACCTTAACCCGTTGGCACTGGCGGAGCTGCTCAGAAGCGGCGGAGGCAGCTGACTACCAGAGGGCGGTGGAGGCCAGGGGCTGCCCCAGGACATCCCCCCGACAGAGAGGGGTCTCCTGGGGTAAGGTGAGTAGACAGAAGTAGGGTGAGCTGCCACAGCCCTTCCTGTCCCTTGCAGACTGGGCCGGTTCAGGCTGCCGGATGAAAAGGAGTGTCGTGAGCGGCTCGGCATGGGTCCTGTGCTGCTGTGGCTCAAACACTGCTGACAGGAGCAGGTGGGACCCGAGGGGATCGCCGGGGGGCCAGAGGAGGCCAGCGGGTAGGGGAGGTTGCACTGCCGTCGAACTTGCCGCCTGAACCCGGTGGCTTTGTTCACCTGGGCCAGAGACGTGAGATCCACAATATAATTATATCCGTGCGGGCCCAAGTCTGCAGTGCCTTGTCGGGCCTGATAGCTGTGCTCTAAAAGGATCGAGGTTCGAGTCTCATATGGAGTCCATCCGCCTTCGTCGTTGGCCCATTCCCAGTAAACACCACTGCCCAGACCTGAGGACTGGGCAAACAGGGAGCGGCGCACTGATCGGGTCTTTCCTGGAAACAAGATCAGATAATTTACAATTCACACAGTAGAATAAAGCTTCATTTTCTAAGAACTTGCATTGAAGTTGCTGGATGCCCATACTACACACGGCCGAAGTTTGAACTCATGAGGTAAACATATGTTGGAGTAATCTCAGCATAAGTCTGCAAAAGGACGCTACACGGCTTATTCTGCCAATCACGAGATAGATCCCTGTTAAGGTTCAACGTAAGCCGTTTAAACCTCTGACATGGGCTCTCTTCTCCCAGCACTGGAGAACAGGACTTCCCTGGCAGCCCTGCAGCGTTCTGCCCCCCCCACCCCTCCCCCGAAGGCTTCCAGAGAGCTGACCAATCATCAGAAGAAAGAGGGCACCAGCGGAGGGAGGGGCCTTAGATCAGGAGCTTTCATTTAAAGCACATATCAATAATCTGGTCACTGAACTTGGGTTCTTTTTCAGAAATAGAAGCTGCTTCTCTCTCAGGGTCAGAAAGAAATTAGTGACAGCGACCTTCTTGCCCATTCTTGATTATGGGGACGTGCTTTATTTGAGTGCATCATCCAAATGTCTCAACTCCTTGGACACTATTTTTCATTCGGCACTGAGTTTATTTGTCACTGGCTGTAGTCGTCTCACCCACCATTATGAATCGTATTTGAAATCCAACTTGCCTTCTTTGAGTGCATGCAGATACGCACATTGGCTGACCCTAATTGATAAGGCTCTTTTAGGCTTGATTCCTTTATATTTGTGTGCTTTATTACGGAGGACAAGCGGTCGCTATGCCTTGTGTTCTTGTACTACACTTGTTCTATCTGTTCCTCGGGTAAGGACTGAATCAGGAAAAAGAGCTTTCAGCTTTGCTGCCCCCTCGGCATGGAATACTCTACAGACTGAACTAAAACTCCCTGAACTTATTCCACTTGGAGCGTGCCGTTCTATCTTGAGGGACAGACAGCGTGAGACCATTGAACAGTGCCTGTGTTTTTAAAATCTTAAATCGTTGTTTTATTGTTGTGTCACAGCTCCCACACTTGTTAATCTGCACTGTCACTTCATTGTAACTGTTCTTATGACGTGCTGCTGACCTCTTGGCCAGGTCACCTTGTGAAAGAGATCCTGATCTCAATGGGTTCTTTATCTGGTTAAATAAAGGTTCATAAATAATAATAATAATAATAATAAATAAAGAGACTGACTCTGAAACAAACTGTTTCAGGCAGAGGCTGAAATGACAGTTTTTATTGACTTACAGTATCACATGAATAAAGAGGTTTTATTCAGCATCACAGACTGACAGCATGAAGGTAGAACATGAGGATTATATAAACCTTTAAATAAATATGTTTTATGGATGGTTAGTGAGAATAAAGAAGTTTGATTAGGGTCCTTAAAGTTGAGAACCTTAATCAGAAATGCATCAAAGAGATCTTAATTGCGACAGTTTATTAATTCTGCTAATTTATGACTTTTTACACAGAATGATCAGAACAGCAGTTTGTCAACAGCAGTTTGTTGTTTTCTGTTCAAACTAGTAAACACAAATCAGCTGAGCTCGTAAAAACAATACAAACAGTGTGACGAGCTACAAACAGGCTGTGGATGAGTTAGCTGATAAATCAAAGTATTTTAAGTGTCAGCTACATCTCCACCTTCACATCGGGGACTTTCACCTGGCTCATGTTTTCTCTTCGGTTTGTAATCACTCATCAAAACAACAACGCTCATGCTAACTGAGCAGCTAACGTTAGCATGGCCCTTTAACAACACTTTGTGAAATGTTGTTGTTGTTGTTGGTTTTAAGTCAGGCTCACCTGTGTCCTGTCGAAACTGCTTCAAGCTCGGTATGTCGATGAGATAAGGCGACAGGCTGGGGTCTGACTGTCCCAGGCAGATGCTGGTGGAGCCGGGTCCCCCTCCTCTCTGGCCCCGCGGAGCCAGACTCCGCTCGATGTGTGCGCTCACCTGGCCGCTGTACGGCCTCCAGTGCCCCAGGTCATCCTGCCATTCCCACACCGCAATCATGGGCTGAGCTTGCCCCGCAGATCCAGAGGGTGTAGCGGACACAGACGGCCCGTTTCTAGACCCGTTAACTCGGGCACAGGAGCCAGACACAATCGCCATATTCCCCCGGAGCCAGCTGGAGCTAACAGGCTAACAAGCTAGCTCTGGTTAGCTTCTCTGATTGTGGCTAACGGCGAGAGAGAGAGAAAGAAGAAGCCAGCGAGGCTAGCTGGGCTCGTTAAATAATTCCATTTAAATATGTTAACACGCTTCTGAGTAAGCTACGAAGAAAGCATCAACGTGAAGAGTGAAATTAAAATGCATGTTGACAAAGCTGGAGCGTTCACGGGGCTTAGCGCTTCGTGGGTCACGTTAGCTTAGTGACAGCTCCCTCCTCCTCCCCGGCCGCCTTCAGGGACCGTCGGGAAAGTTGGAATTCAAATCACGTTTATAGAAACCCAAACTAAGAGAAGGAGTTTTTGAAGCGGCCAAAGGTCTGAGATATTGCAGACGAACCGGATTAATAAATTATGCAATTTAAGGAAAGTCAGTAACGTAGATTTAGTTTCACATTTACAGATTATATAGTTTTGTTAGAGGCTATTTCAGCAAATTCATCCCCATAGGGCTGGGTGATATATTTTATTATATTATTATATTAGTCTATATTATATAACATTTCATTATATTACACTATATTATATTATATAACTGCACTCTGCATTACTGTGGTACAACACTGCCTCTCTTCTCTGCTGTTTTACATTACTTGCTGCTATTTATCATACCAAGTCACTTTAATCATCACTTGTCACTTTATCTTGTCATTAAATAATGTCACAATTCCCTGCATAGTTAACTTCATCATTAATTTTGTACTTGTATTTACCCCCTGTTTTTTATTTTTATTTATCTTATCTATTCTGTTTAATGTGTATTTGAGATTACTTGTCTGTGCTGCTGTAACGCCCGAATTTCCCCTCTGAGGATCAATAAAGTATTATCCTATCCTATCCTATAGCCTAAAAATTAAATCTCTGATTTCTTTCCCACACCAAACTCGATTTACGTTCTTTAATCGATGTTTTTCTCTTCTTAAAAATAACTACAAATCGCAAAGAAAGGACTAAAAACAAGTTTTGCTTTAAAATTATCAATAAAATGTAACAAAAACAAAGTGAATTTCCCTTCAAAGGCTTCATAAAGTAACCTTACTTTCTCAAAGGTGCAATCTGTAATCTTTAAAAGTGACCTATGTAGTATCAGGCTATCAGTATAAGGCAGAGCTACTTCAGCAAAATACTTGTGGCTGGATGGCAAATACTTGAGGCCAACCAGCCACTCAGGAAGTAAACAAGGGGGGAGGATGTGAACTACTGTACATGAACCCTAGGGCAGCAGAGGAGTAAGTTAAAAAGAAAATCTAGATTTTCATTTTTGAAAATCCTCCCAAACCACAAATACGATGGATCATTAAAATCGATTTATCTCCCAGCCGGAGGTCCCCCATGTCATTATCATTACAGTTGTTAATATAAGACTGATCTGTCTAGCTGTTGCTGCTAATACTACACATACGTTTACCATTTTTACTGACATTGTAGCTATATATATATATATCAATTGCATTCATTGCTGTTTCATCTCTCTCTCTTTCTGCATCTCCCTCTATTCCACTTTCCAAGTCCAACACAGTTTTCTGCAGACGGCTCTTCAACATGAGTCTGGTTCTGCTCGAGGTTTCTGCCTCTTAAAAGGAAGTTTATTGTTGCCACTATTGATTTGCTCAGGATGGATTAATGTTGGGTCTTTGTAAATAAAATAACACAGAGTAAGTCTTTTACCTGCTCTTTTTGTAAAGTGTCTTGAGATAGCATTTGTTATGAATTGGCGCTTTACAGATAAAGATTGTGATTAAAGACTGAGGTGCGATCAAAATATAAAAATGACCTTACTAACCTCTTTTACCTCCTCTGTGTAGCCTACACTAACCCTCCCTGATAACGGGATGTTAGTGTGCTGAGAATCATCAAACAGATTTTAATGCTAAAGTATTTTTGAATGTGATATATTAACAGCAAACATGTTTTGAATCAACCACAACACTAGAGAAAATCTGCATTCTTATTGTTTCAGGGCTAAAACTCAGCACGCACAACCTTCACCACTCGTAAAGCTGTATCTTACAGGATGCACCTGAAGGTTGCATTCTTCTTCTTTACAGCAAACTGCCTCATTGTCCTTCCTCCATCTCTTTCTCTGCTCTTCCATTGAAAGGAGATTAGATCCCTCTCAATGGTAATGCTGCCCCCAACTGGAGATGGATAAGTATGACAAAACAGTCTGTCAAAAAAATCTCAATAAATGTGTTTAAAAATTCAGACTGCACAAAATGCAACAGAACAGAATCAATCCATTTGAACAGCACATCTCAATGTTATGACTGTTTTTATAATCAAAGTCTGTGACAGTGCTAAGGTGTTGGACTTAAGCTGCCTGAGGGGTAGGGGGTAAAAACAACAACAACAACATTGGTACCAGTTGCATCATGCAGTGATGCACCAGGAAGCAAAATGTGTATTTTGCATGAAGCACAGCCTGCACATGACTGTATCACATTTTGTCTTTTGGAGGGGGAAACCTGCAGGTGTTTTTTATCCTGTTTTCTCCACCGGGAAAATACCCTGAATATCTCTTTATCACATTCCCTCAACATGAGGAGCACCCTGCAACGGATTTCATAATTTCTAATCAATCACAGGGACATTAAGAAGGACATTTCAAACATTGAGCCCCAACTACGATGGTCAAATTGTTCAATACTTCAATATTTTATGATACCATTGAAAAGTGTTATAGTTTTTATGATGCATAGTTTTGAAATTTGCCAAAGTTAAAGTAACGACAGATCTTCAGACATATTTTAATCCTAAAGCTGCAGCCGGCAAAAGACAGCAAGGGAAGCTGTGGTCAAAATTCACAGGTCGGGTAATATCGACGACGTCTCTCGAGTCGTTATGATGTTATGACGTTCATGTCTCATACAAACAGATAGAGAGGTGACAGTGTCTAAATTACACATACAAATGATGTCACTCTGCTCTCCTGTCTGGTAAAGACAAAAAAAAGAAGTTTGTCGTAAATGTATATTCCACAATTTCAGTTGTTACATTATCAAACCAGTTATTTATATTGTTGGATTTGTACAAGTATCATACTGAAGTTTAAAATTCTGGTATTGTGATAACCCTAGCCTGAAAAAAGCTAACTTAAGATACAGTTGGTTTTTCTTGCTAGATATTTTGACAATTTAGCTTTGAAGTAGCTCTGACCCTCCAAAGGGGCATCATACAGGGCAGAAACATTTTAACACATTGTCTATGTACCTGATGGGCATTTTATTATGTTTTCTGGATTGTAACTACATCCTTAGAGGGTGATTTATCAACTGTTTTGGGCTCTATAGGCCACCCTTTAACTCCCCCTTATTGCATTAGCTCCATGTCAGGGCATCAAAGAGTGCACACTGTGCTGTTTTTCTGTCATAAGGAGATCAATCCTTCAGTTTGCTGTTACCTACAGCTAATAAGTAAATAGCTTCTGTCCCCGGTATAACATAATATGGCTAGTATAAAATATTAAAGATCCAAACAAAGTGAGATCTGATCTTTATGGAGCGGCCTGGGAGAATATCCGTCTTCAGTTTATCTGCCGGTTGTTCATTAAGTTCACATAAAAGATAATAGAAGTTGACAGCTCTGACACCGCTTTGAACAGTGTTTAAATTAGAGCTCAAGGGGGATTAGAGCATATTCCATTTAACCCCGGGAGCCGACACATAATCAATACCCAGTCCAGGCCAAGTTGTCTCAAAATGACAAATGTAATAATAAGCCCCAAACAAAACATTAAGCTGCTGTTGCAAAAACAGAAAAAGGCTTCCATTGTTTCAGTTCTGCCTCTGCAATGTAACTGGGACATAATGTTCAATCAATCAATCAATCAAACTTTATTTTTATAGCACCTTTCAGACACATTAAATTGCAGTTCAAAGTGCTTAACAAGAGTGCAGAAAAGTTATTGACGAAAAGTAGTTTATAAAATCATTGAGAGACCAATGCACACCAATAAGAATTAAAAATAAAATATATGTATGAAAATAAAATACAATAAAATACGACACATAAAAGCAACAAGACATTAAAATAAATACAAAAATAAATGTTCTACTACATATATGAGGACATGGCTTTTATTCAACATCTGTGAGGGTTTCAGCTGCAAGGCTACATTTAAAATAGTGTCTGAAATATAATCCTACAATCTGAAGGATCCATTTTTATTTTTGGTCCAAAGATAAAGTTCACCATGACTGTAAGACTCCACAGCTTCTTTCTGATGTCTTTGACAAAGTTGTTACAAGTAGAGTTACATAGAAAGTCATATTAGAGGTAGAAAATGGCTCAATTCTCAGGATGCTGCTCAAATTCAAAGATGCAGATGAGAAGCCATCGCGGTAACTAAGTTGCGTTGCATCTTGGACAATGTATAATAATATAGCAATATAATAAACATGAATAATATGTCCATGATAACAAAGTGCAATATTGAAACAAACAGTGCAATAATCTTGATAATGTGTGTATATATTCCATCTGACTCCTATTCGTGTAAATATTTATTTTACCTATTATTGACATTACTTACATTCCTATTCTATTTGATTCTTATATGTATGATTATATTTCTACTGCTATATTGTATATTTTGGAGCAACTGTAACGATTGAATTTCCCTCTGGGATTAATAAAGGATTTCTGATTCTGATTCTGATTAATGGCGGCTTGTCGATGTCTGAGCTTCTAGCAGATGATTAATTTTGCTTTCACAGCTCGTAAAGAGTCCTCGATATTCATTTGAAGCCGTTTCAAAACCAGATAAAATCTCCACACTGTTTTAAATGATTCAAAGATCCCTTATTGTTCTTATCGTTGTACTGATCAGCAGTATAGGTCAACTTTAGTCTTACTAAATGTAAATATCTGCTACACATTTTAAGGCCATTGTTCAGGTTTTTTTTTTTTATTCAAACTTCTCCCAGCTCTTTTTTTCATGAACCCGTGTCGCCTCCGTCTCCATCATCACAGGTTTACTTCAGAGCACCTCAGGAGTGAGCACGGTGATGGAAGGAGGAATGTGAGGAATGTGAAGAGAAGAAGTGGAGGACTGCTTGGAGTCCTTTTCTTTTTTTTACACCTGTGCACACCTGGCAGGTGTTTGGGGAGTACAAATATTTGGAAATACAGACCTCCCCCCGTGTGTGAGCGGAGCTTTTCCACCACTTTCAGACTGCACAAACATGTTTGAAAGAGCAAATATCAGCTTTTTATATTTCAGTCTATCTGGCAC